CGGTTGACCACTTGTCTTATTCAAAAAAATTTAAAACTATTATTTATTTTATTTGTGACTTACTTTATTATCTACAGTATCTTAAGCACAACTTTTTGTTTTTTATATTTTAAAAAAAATTGATTAAGATGAGTAGTCAAACGTTGTTATCAAAAACTCAAAATCCCTTATATCGTGGGACGGAGGGAGTGCGTTACTGAGCAATCGAGGCAACGTGCATGACAGAGTGGCTCACTGGGTAGTGACAGAGCGAGCTGAGAGCAACGTCTGTGCTCCCTTCTCCCCTCTAATCATTTGGTTAAGCTCGACCATATAATTGGATATGATGCATGATTCTTTAATTTGATTGTTATATATTTCACTGTTGAGAAACGCCCAGCGTTTTTCGGCTAACTCCATAGGGTGGTAGACTAGCCGGCCTAGATTCGAAGGCTCACACTTCTATTTATTATCTAATATTTGTGTTTTTTTTTACATTCCATGTTATTTGTTTGGGTTGAACTGACCTAGTACTATGTTTCACGTAATTTGGTAGTCCCACGCGCGGTTATAAATATTTAATGTTTAGGATAAAATTCTATCAAACTTTTAAATTCTAAAAACCAACTTTTTATTAGAATAAGTTTATGATATCCAATAAGTTTACGATATCATGGTTATGATACTACTTTTGAGACAAATCCATGTTTATTATTTCTTAAAAAAACTAAGCATTTGATAAATTATTCATGGTTGGAATTCTAAAATTTTAACTGAATCTCGCCCTAAATATTTTCTATAGTAACAGGCAGCAAATTTAAAGAAATTATTGATGGTCGGAACTTTAAATTTTTAACGAAATCTCGTCAAATATTTTTGACGAGTATTAGGTAGCAAAAAACTGAAACGTAAATGATTAACAGGGTAGAGTACAGTTTAATTTCACTATTTCAGCTATACACACGAGTCTGTAATCCATGTCCCTTCTTTAATTACGCATGTTCCAGATTAAGTGAGTTGCAGTTGTACTTGTACATGATACATGTGGTTGAACATGCTGCTAATGCTGCTGCTATTAATAAGTCCATTGATCATGTTGGCACCGGCAAAATCCTGAAAGAAAATGTCGACATGTTTGTGCAACCCCAATTCGTAATTTGTCATGAGACCACCAAATCAAGATCGATCGAAGCATCAAGCACACGCATGTCATTTTCGATGGAGAGCATGCCACTTTATGACGAAGCATGCTCTCCAATCCATGGCAGTTGCAGGCTTGCAAAGGGGGACCGTTTGGTTGTCACTGAAAGCCTGAAAGGTTCTTGGATTGAATGCAGAGAATGGAAATGATGCCATTGACATATATAATCCTGATATTTAGTAGTAGTACTACGAGAGACACGAGTGTAGGTCAGACAGATTAAGGCGTCAAGCTAGATGCAATTATGTCTGTCGATCTCCGTATAACCGTATTGATTAATTCTTGCATCGAATATGTATATGTATAGCTGAAACTTCATGGAGTTAATTGCTAGCTGATTCCAACGATAAGTATTTGCCCTGATAAGTATTGTGTCTGAATATGCATAGATCTGACGAACATATGTCCTTCAAAAGTACCATGATTTATTGGTGATCTGTTCGGTGTTGCAAGAATTTATGTTCTTCAGGTACAGGAAGACTTATGGCACTTTCAGGAGAAGGGCAGGCAATGCTGCAATTGCGAAGGAGCTGCCATGTCAGGTTGATCAATCTTGGCGAAACAAATTCTTCATTGCAATGTAGTACTCCTCGTTTTGAATGCGATTATACTACAGTACACATGCATCTACTCACTTGCAGTTGCAGATTGTAATGTCGCTTGATTGATCAGGAGCTAGTTGTGTTTGGCATTCTTAATTTCTGATCAGTGTGGAAAAAGTTCAGTGTTAGGTTCTGAATATTTAGCTGGCAATGGACGAACAGGCGTATGCACATGACATGACGGATGTTTTGGCCATGATAAATTGATAATCCTATCCAGACAAGTCCAATCAGATCCAATGTGGCATCTGTTCCAATCGCTGCACTAAAGTTTATCTGATTTGAGGTTGGATTCCTTGACTTTTTTGAAGCCAAGGGACCCTACGGCCTGCGTAAGTACAAGGATCATATGGGTGGCTGCATGATGAAAATATCTTTAGTGAAATCTAATCCATAGAGAGATGCAAAGTTGGCAATATTTTAGTTCAAAAAAACTTTGGAAGATTCTGAAATGAGTATGCCACACTTGGCAATATTTAGTCAAAAAACTTTGGAATATTCTGAAACAGGTATACACACATGGCAGTATTTGGTTAAAGAAACTTTGGAACATTCTGAAAACAAGTGTTTTCAATGGGTGTTTTCAATGGACAGCAATCCAGCCAGAGATGCAAAAGTTGAGGAATCACTGGAGTTGAGTGCTAGACATATGGGCAATAATTACTGAAAACAGTATAATTTACATGATTCTGAAAGACTGAAACAAACATACTCATACTAGTGAACTGTAATTCAGAGTTTCAGACAGTGGGAGATAGATAAACAGCACTCTACAAATTTTCAGCCAAACAGAAGGAACTAGAACTTAGCAAGAATCTGAAACTGAAGGATAAGCTAGACAGCCCATCTCATGAATGAGACCCAATGCAGAAACTAACCATCCATCATATATATATATATATATATATATATATATATATATATGTATATATACATATATGTATATATACATATATATATATATATATATATACATATATACACACACATACATATATATGTATGTATGTATGTATGTATGTATGTATCCATCCAAGCATTTCGTCTCCCTGAATGTTCTTCAGAAAACCCGGTCGTTTTCATGGATATTCACTCCAACCTTTTCCCTGACAGTTTCATCGTTAGAGCTGATTGGTTAGCACTGGATAAAGGAATTTTCAGTAGCTAGTTAGATCATAATTCACTTGGATTGGTTGCTGAGACGTCAACATGCTGGGTGTTCCCCATCCATTAATTCTGGTATCATTCCATGACAGGTCGTCGTCGACATCAAGCCTGAATCGTATTGAATTGCGCCAAGAAGGACGTGCAAACCGACATCTGTTCTTCGAAGATGAACAGTATGATTCCATCGCGTTTCGTCCACAGTTAATTATTAGCAATTTAAAAAATATAACTTGTAAGATGTGTTTATAGTTACTTCAAAACTAGTGTTAATAAATAAATTACGAAAAAAATTTAAAATCAACTCTAAAATTAAGTTTTAAAATTATAGATTTTAGCTGCGGCTGATCCTACGATACAGGAGAGAGCAAATGACATAGCACGAGTACATATTGGACTGTTAGTTATACTGATGTTTTTTTTTGGTCTGAATATGCATGTTCAGACTTGGGAGAGGACAGCATGTGAATGTTTGGGAGCAGCAACTGTTTGTTCTTACATGGTGAGTAGACGACTGAGCGACCACCTTAAAGAGATTTCTTTTTTTTTTCCTCCTGTCAAGTACTCATATGTAGTACTGTACAATATATGACACTGCACAACGACCTACATGTGAGGGCACTTGTCATACCAGCCAAAGAAGGCCTACCAGAGCTAGCTACAGTGTCATTTGCCAGGGCCCTCGGTGAAATGTATTTCCCGATGACTTCCAATTTAATGGGAAAAGGGGAGCCCCGGTTGGCAATGATTAAGGCCATGTTCGGTTTAGAGGGGATTGAGGGGGAATAATTCCACACCACAATAAATCCCCTCCAATTCCTCCCTCGTAAGGATTAACCAAATAAGGACTAAATGTTTTTCGCTGGGAGCAATCAATAAATGTTATCCGGATAAATATATATTAAGTAATATAATGATGAATAGATATGTTAAAATATTATGGAAATGATGTAAGGTGTGATAATCACATATGCTTTGCATGTTGATTTGTAGAATTCAATGAATTGTAAATAATGTTGAATACTTGTATGAGTTTTTATATGTAATTATTGTTAGTGAATGATGAGCTAGTATATTTGTATGTTGAGTTTTAAACTTAGTGGGTTATAACTATATAGAATGTATAGATGTCTTAGTTTTGACATGTGGAATATGGGCTCGAGTGTTATTGAGAGAACGAGGGATAAATAAGGGAATGAGCACTTTTGGGGGGTAAATAGGCATTTTATCCACAGCAATCCTCATGTTACAAGACAGGTATGAAAGGTTACTCCTACCCTTTGTTTATTTAAATCAATGTTGATGATGTAGCACTTTTGAATTCATGGTTGTTATACTTTTTCACCTTTTAGAAAAAAAGCTAATATAATTCATGGTTGGTTTTTAATTATATTTCCCTCCTTAAAAAAGAGCTCCAATTTGCTTGTGAAAACAAAGTGTTTGGTATGTTTGCCCAAACCAACCATAGCAAATTTCTGGAAGGTAGCAATCCAAACAAACCCTAAGTACCCCACTATACCAAAAATGTAATACGAGGTACCACATCTTGGAAGGCATCAAACCAAAAATACTATCACATCCGCATTCACATACCTCTACCATACAAGTTCCTTTTTTGTCACAATTCAGAATTACATTTTTGCTGACGCAACAACAAAATAGAGGAATTACATAATTTGATTTATCATGATTGATTTGGGTAACATACCAAACACCAAACAGTTCAAGGCCCTATTTGAAGAGTTTCTATCACCTCCCGCTTCTCCCAGAGCTTTTCGTCCAGATTCTAAGAATCTATAGTTGTAGACTAAAAAAATGAACTGAAAATTAGAAGTTGAAAAACCTATTTTTTTTTCATTATCAAAAACTGGTTACCAACCAATTATTTCTTACAATCTTAACATTCCCCAGAGAGGCTCCTGTAATTTTGAACTTTAGGAGGCAAAATACTAGCGAAATAGTGAATCGGCCCATCATTTGGTCTGGGCCGAGTAAGCCTCGAAGAGCCCAAAGCCCAAACGGCCCAAAACTCGAGCCTGATAAAACCACCTCCTAATCCATCCCCGACGCCGGTGGGTCCCCTCCCCTTCCCCCCTCCCCTCCGGCGAACTCCGAGCTCTTCCCGGTGAGCGCCGCCGATTCGGCCGGAGAGGCTCGCCGGAGTCGCCTCCGCCCTGCCCACGATGGCCGCCAACTTCTGGACGTCGTCGCACTGGTAAGCGTCCAACCTCCCCCACGTTTCCCCCCCTCTCGATTCGGTTTCTTGGGCTGCGAATCCGTGAGCTGAGCTGCTGCTGATTTGGGGGGTGTTCGTTCGTGTGTGATCCCGCGGCGAGCGAGGGCAGCAAGCAGCTGCTGGACCAGGAGGACGTGGACAAGGTCCCCCAGGCGGACAGCGACCGGGGCATCACGCTGGAGGAGTTCCGCCTCGTCAAGATCCACATGTCCTTCCGTGAGCTTCTCCTCCCTTTAGCTTTCCTGTGATGCTTTCGTTGACGCGAATTTGTTCTCAGCTCCGGGCTCGGTGTGATTGCCTGGTTTCTGGAATTGGGGAGATACTGCTACTTAGCATAAACGGATTTGAGAATGATTTTAGGAACTAGTATGCGAGCGTTAGTGGGCTCGTTCTAGATGAATTCGGTAGTCAGTATATACAACTTTGTGTCACATGCATACTAGTACGTTTTAATTGGGTTGTGTTGATCAAAGGAATTGGCTATAGTTACAAGGCAATTAGAAATTTGTGTAGTATGCTTGTAGTGTATAATTGTTGTATGCAAAGCATTTTCAGCTCACGGCATGTGTTGTTTGGTCATTCGGTGGTTAAGAAAGGGAACTTTTAGCCATTAATATGCACAGATTTTTGCTGTAATTGCAATGAATCAAGTTGTCATAGGATGTGTAGTCATGCCCTTGCGCAATGTTATGCATCTTCGTATGGAAAATTCTCGAACATACAGATTTGTATTCTTATTCGGTTATAGTGGGGTCACTGCAAGCTATGCTAGCATTGTTTCCATAAATCGACAAAGGTGTAGCATAACTACCGTAGGTATGAAAATGGATAGGAGCGCATAGTATTTCGTTCCATTTATAGAAGCTGTAGCGTCTCACTTAAGATTGCTCGATGTTCATGTTTTGTACTTTTGTGTTAGTCCTACAAATTAAGGCAAATCATTTGATGATTTCAGATATCTGGCGATTGGCACAACAGGTGAAAGTTAGACAAAGGTTAAACCTTCTCTCCACTTTCTGGCCTGTACCATTTGTTATAGGATGCCCTTATCGAACAACCAAAGTTGTCATTTTGCATTGGGACTTAGTTAGCAGGCTTTCCTTGTACACTCTATGCGCTGTAGACTATTTCTAAAAATGTTACCAAGGGTGACTTTTTTAGGGTAATTATTTTAAGAAGGGGATTCTGCTTCCTTTCTACTTGCAACAAATTTGGCAGTTACTTTTCTGAAGGATTACTTTCAAGCCTGTGGAAATATATGTTATAGTGTATAAATTGCTGGCTCATTACTTTAGAGACATAAATACTTTGGTTTTGTTTTAATGTTTCCCTCGTCAAGATTCATTTTTGCTGTAACATTTCTGCTGTCTGCTTGGCCTTAAAGACTGAGATATAATTTCTTTAAGAGAAAAACGAACATGTTAGTTATACTTTTATATTTTTCCCTTTACTGTAGTATCTGTCAACCATAAGGGCATTTCAACGTTCTCACAAGGTTAACTGTAACTCATAATGTTTACTCTATATCTACTAATTTTGTCCATTTTCCACCAGACTTATCCATTATTACCTTGAGATACCGACCTCAAGTTTTTGAAGATACTGATCTTATGTCATTTGTATTTTCAGGGTGATAGCTACTGCTGTTACTTATTTCAGGCGTGTATACACAAGGTATGATTCTCTTTAAGGATACATGGGAAAGGCAGTTGCCTTCTATTCATCGAGGAGAAAGAGTGCCTAAGATATCCATATGAATTTGACTGTCAATTTAACTAGCTAGAGAAGGGAAAATGATAACCTTATTAGGAAATTAGAAAGCGTATTTTTAAGATTATAGGGTTGCCACCTTAATGGGAAAGTAAAGCCATCTCTCATGTAAGTAAAATAGAACTTCTCAATTTGGTGCACAATAAATATATTCCCTGATATACAAGAGAGAGGTGGAGAGGAGAGTGACTTGATTATGGGTTCCAAATGTTAATTAGGAGATGAGTAACACACTAGAGCTAACAATGCTAAGCTGCGAGACTGCTTTATAGCTTGTTTGGTGCGAATTCACACTGTAGATGGCCTTACTTTCCCATTAAGGTGACTACCTTATAATCTATAAACAATATACTTTCTAACTTCCTAATAAGGCTATCATTTTCCTTTCTCTAGCTAATTAATGCCCTAAGAATTATGGTATGTGGGGGGCTTGCAAAATGTTGATGTGATTCTCTACTATGTTGATGTGATTCTCTACTTTCTTCGATAAGAACTAGAGTACACAGTGGCACAGTGCACAGTGCTTTCTAATATTTCATTCCAGAACATTTAATTCTTTGTTGCAGTGGAACATCAAGCTATTAGAATTTTGTTCTGATGCTGGATATGTTTACAGAAAGAGCATGACTGAATATGATCCTCGTCTGGTAGCACCAACCTGTTTGTATTTGGCATCAAAGGTGGAAGAGAGCACAGTGCAAGCAAGACTTCTTGTCTTTTACATAAAAAAGATGTGTGGTAAGGCTCATAATCATAAATGGACACATATTTATCGGGAAGAACTGCACTAACCTAAAACTAAACATGTGCTCTCCCCCCGCAAAATGTAGCTTCTGATGAGAAGTACCGGTTTGAAATCAAGGATATCCTTGAAATGGAAATGAAGCTCCTGGAGGCACTTGACTATTATTTAGTTGTTTACCACCCATATCGTCCTCTTTTACAGTAAGATTCTTTTTCCACTATCATGCGATGAAACAACATTATCTTTCACCGGAATTACCGAAGCCCTTATATATACTTTAAATGAACATCAGAGCTGCAATGGTATTAACAGATGCTTTGATTTTAGGTTATTGCAGGATGCTGGCATAACAGATCTGACACAATTTGCCTGGTACTCTTCTTATAACAATTTGCATTTTTGTATCTGTGAAGTCTGTTTTGAGTTTTGTTTTATGCAGAAAAGCTGTTTTAGATGCTTTCTGGCATTTGGTGGTCCAAGTCTAACCCTTTTTAATTACCACATGGATAATTTGTTGACATTTATTTTTAGATTTGAAGAGAGTATTTCCATTTATTATTGTCATATTGAATATCCTTTGAAGGACTCTTACCACTTTTAATCATTTCAGTGTGATAGAGTACAATAAGATCTAGTAGCTTTTATCTGGAATCACATGAGAAATAAACAAATGAATTGAATTGTCTTTATTATGATTAGTGAACATAATGCACGCAAAATTTTCAACTATACCTTTTCCTATGCTTATCATCTGCTGTTACTTGCAGGGGAATTGTCAATGATACTTACAAGATGGATCTTATTCTCATACACCCACCATATATGATAGCATTAGCCTGCATCTACATTGCAAGCGTTCTTAAAGACAAGGACATAACTCTGTGGTTTGAAGAGCTCCGTGTTGACATGAACATTGTAAGTGTGCCTGTTGATCACTTGATCTTGCCCTGGCTCCCATCGTTTGATTCTCTTGCTATTTTCATCCATTAATGATTGATTGTATTTTCATCAATTCTCAGGTCAAGAATATCTCGATGGAAATTTTGGACTTCTATGACACCTACAAGATTGATCCTCAAAGAGGGCTCCCAGAGGACAAAATAGCCCCTGTGATGAACAAACTGCCTTCAAAGGCCTAAAGCAGACTGAGCCCTAGTTCAGTTGTTATCAGTCTGAGCGTCAAATCACCTTATGCTCGTACAACAGGAAATATGTGTCACCTTCCTTGGAGAACTTTATATTTCAAAGCCATATATATATATAGTATCAGAATTCAGAATTGCCCCTAACGAACGATTTAATTCAGAATTCCGAACTATATACAGCTGTTCCTGTTGCAGCAGCTTGCGAGGCAAATCATTTACAATGAAGATCCCAACGGGTTGGGAATGGTCTGTATCTGTATGTGTTTTTGATGTGTAAAAAAAAACATGGCTTTGGTACTATTTAGTTTCTATAGCAAATGAAATCCTGAAAAATTCTTGCGGTGTCTCTGCTCGTTTGCTCGTTGAAGTGCCTGTCAAATTCGTTCGACCTGCATGATTGCATCCTTCAACCCTCCTGTTATTCCGAGTTCGTTCATCACGGGCCATTTCATCTGAAAAAAAAAACATCACTTCTAACACAAATGTAGCTGCACTTGTGCCGACTTGGTGGCTGCAACTCTGCCACAGAAGGCAAACTTGAAGACACAGAAGACAGAACAGCAAACGAGTACAAGCAAGAGTAAACATGTAATGCGTTAACATCATCACGATTTCAAGCTGATTCAAGGCTACGTCAACAACTATGGAGAGAAGGTAAGGTACATGGCCAAACGCATGGTAAATACAACAGTACACAAACTAGATAAATCTAACCAATGGGGACTATAGTTAGTTTTGTTGTGTATCCTTTGGAGGCAGAGAGGCCATTCGGTAGCCTAAACCAGAGTTGTCACCTGCAGCTGATGAGCTCCTGGTGATGCATCTACATACAAACAACAGTAGCCTTGGATGAACATGCGGGTCTAGGTGGTCATTTTGCCGTGACACAATTCCACAGCAAAATGGTACACGTTATGGGAGAACTCCTGTTCCTCTGAATATATTAGATTGGAGGATGCTGCTGCTGCTGCCAGAAGTTCCTTTGGTACATCCAATGAGCCTGCATTTGATGAAATCAGAAGTTCACTAGAGTGCCAGGTATACAAGAGAAGGCAATCGATTTGATGAAATCAGAAGTTCACTAGAGTGCCAGGTATACAAGAGAAGGCAATTGATAGGTAAACGACTCACCTTAACTATCAGAGTTTGGAAGGTAAATACGGTGGAAATTGTTCGCCCTCAGACTCTTTCTGCAAGTAGGGCATTTCTTCTGAATCTGGATGGCTTGCTTGATGCATGTCGTGCAGAAGATATGGCCGCAAATTGTTGTGGAGGGCTCCTCCAACTTGTTCCAACACACCGGACAGTTAAAAACCGGTTCCTTTGCCTTAGGAGGCTCATTGCTAGTCTTCACAGCATTGTTCCAAAACAGGAAATGCAATCAGTGTTAAGCTAAATGCATAACGCAATAAGCCATCAGCCACAAGTATCAAATGCATGTAATAGATACTTTTACACTAGAATGCATAAGACAATGCTTGAAATTTAGCAAAATCCTAATTGTTTGTGACAAGCAAGAATCTTAACTACCAGTGGCTGTCAAGAACAATTTTAATAGCTCTCTACCAGATCATCATAAATACATAATACTACAAGCATGAGTATTCTATGACATAATGGACCAAGAAAAATGCCTACAAGTTTCAACTTAAAACAAATAACTCACTCCACTGAAAGGCCAACTTGTAAACTCTATAGGGAGGCCAAAAGAGTCAATATTGAGCGCACAGCAGTACCAGCTACTTTTTACATAGAAGAAAATAAAGAGCGACGACAAGTAATCAATAACCAACCAGGCCCTTAAAGCTGAAAAGTTGAAGACTTGGAAATTACTCCCTCTGGGCTGGTTTTATTTGTCGTTTCGGACACAATCTCAAAAACCAAGAAGTCACTAAGTAAAGTTCCTATTTCCTGTTTTGTCCTTATTAAATACGGCTGGGTGTATCATCCAAACAAGCAACTAATTACTCTCAGTTGGCTTAGTGCATCTGTCTTGGTGCGTGGGGACCTGAGTTCGATTCTCGGATATGCGCATTTTTTTTGTCTTGGCGATTATGCATGGCACCATGCATGCAGCTTCGGTGCAGCCAGCGTGCAAGGTCATACGAAAATTAAACCAACCAATTATACTTTGTGCTTATGCGCGCGTTTTGCCGCTAGAAAATCTCGTTTTTGCTTACGCACGCTTTTTGCCGCGCTAATTTGCCACACATTACGCATGTATTTATACCACATTTGCTGCATGCATGCATGCCATCATTAAGTGATATGGGAACGAAGCATTCAAGGAGTTAAGGAGGAGTTGATCTGGGAAGAATAACAACATCAATGCACAAGGGCAATCTCGTCCCATACGTGAGAAAAACACTCGAACAACAAATTTTCTCATCCACAGCTAACTTAGCTCCAACGACAAATAAAACCAGCCCGGAGGGAGTATGAAAATAAACTAAGTGGGGATCAATTGTATAGTATTATAGGATACCTTCAAGCTGGACCCTTCTCCCCTTTCTGGAGAGAGGCAGTGTATAACAGGTGCAACCCTTTGACGTTTGTTCCCTGTGTATTATCATCACAAAACACACTTGACTTAATACATGATTATTGTTGTGACATAGGACAGATTATTAAGTTATGACTTAGGACAGATTGATGAATGGCAAACATAGGAATAGATAGCATATTCCCATGTTTCCCGTGATTACTAATTTATGAATTAGGACAGATTAATGCAATCTTTGTATAAATGAACTAACCTTCCCGGCTAGCATCTACTTCCAGATCAACTACTGCCACAGGCTGCCTCCTAGTTCTCCGGTTCCTTCTCTGCAAAATGCAAGACAGTTCAACAAATGTGGGCAAGGGATGCATCATTTTTTTCATGGAGACAAAGTCACCAGTTCGTTCTTAACAGGAACATCTAGTGTGCCTGAGAAACATAGGGAGTAGTACATAAACCCTGGTAAAAGACTTAAACATCATTATGAACCCAATCATATAACAATAACTACAGATAATAGTACAGAATATAATCAAGACTGAACTAATACTTTCAGTTCAAGATAACAAAAAGTGACATACCGGAGGAGGCACTTGCGAAGCGGACAATGTCTGCACTTCATCATCCAGAGCTTCCACATCAATGGGGGAGGCGCGCGCACCAGTGGAGGTCGGCACCGCGCGACGGCTTCCAACCACTGGGGAGGAGATCGCGTCCAGGTTCACAACGACTTTATCACCAGGACCATCTTGTGATTGCCTCCTTGGGGCACGCCGAGTGCCGCTGACAGTACTCATGCTAACTTTGGAGCTGAATCAGTGGCACTCAACTCTGAAATCAACCTGAAATTCAAGGGGTTACGAACTTATATGATTCAATTCAAACTAACTGTTGAGAAACACCTAGGGGTCTTCCGGCTAGCTCCACAAGGTGGTGGGCTAAATGACCTGTGTTCGAAGCCTCGCCCCATCTAAATATCTAATTATTTGATATTAGGTCCTTCCCTAATATTCGCGTCTTTCAATTCAAACTAACTGTTGAATTTATTAGGATTTCATACTTCTAAAATTCAGAACACAAATTTACGAATCTTGAAACAACATACACACTTACTAGGAAATGAAAATCGCGAACAGTTTAACAGAATTGGGAAATTAACCTCTCGACTTGCCAAATCCAATAGCCTTATCACCAAAAAACCTACCAACCCACCAACCCCCTACCACCAATCGTACAAGTAGCCATCAACCCCGGTTAATCCACACGAACAATCCAGAAACTGAAGAAGTAAACTAGAACACGTAGTTCACGGGCTCCCAAATCCTAACCTCCCCCAAGAAGAAGAAGAGATCTCCACCGAATCAATCCACCCAAACCAAAATTCCCCGATCAAATCCAAACCTAACACCCCCCCCCCCCCCCCCACGAATCGGAACCATCAAACCTAAACTCCCCGTCGATCCGCACGCGAAATCGCTAACGCCTCCCAAACCCGAGCCAATCCCACCCACGCGAAATCGAAACGAACAGAAGCGGGAGGGATTGGAGATTCCGCACCTGCTCGAATCCTCGATCCAGCCGCGCGGCTCGATGAGGAGGAGACCGCGATTTTTTTCTTCTTTTTTTTTCTTTTTTTTTTATCTTGACCGCGATTTATTTCAATTTCAACACGAGTGAAGAGAGAAGAAGAGGAGAGGTCGTTTCCCATTCTTCTCCTCCTGTTTAAAAGGGAGACGAGGAGGGGGTAGAGGACGAGGCGGAGTGGGCTTCGACCTCTTGCGGGTGGGCCCCACCTGCCGTGGCCCATGTGGCTGAGAAGCCGGCTGGTGGGCCGGCCCGGCGCGTGGGCCCGTTGGTTTAGTGGCAGTGGTTGGGGGGTAAAAAGGTAAAAGGGTAAATTTGGTGGGAAAAATTACGGAAGTGGCCATGCCGAAGCCCACGCGCGCCGTCGACCACCGGCGGCGGAGGAGCGGGCGAGCTCCGGCGATCGCCGCCGTCGCCGTTGCCGCGGAGGATGATGGCGAGGAGCACCATCTCAATCCGTTCTTGGACGCCGCCCCGTCGTCGTCTTCGTCGAGAGTCCAGTTCAGGTGCTGTCTTTTTTTTTTTTTCCTTTGCTTCGTGTTAGCTCATCGGGTTGTGTAGCGGGGGAGCAGGAAGGTGGCGTCGCGCGCGGTGTGGCTGGAGGAGGCTGGTGCGGCGGAGGTTGTGGACAGCAAGGGCAAGCTCTGGCTGACCACCGGTGTCAACCGGGACGGCAAGCTGTACTACAATGTCGAGGAGATTGGGTACGCCACCTGTTCGATGAAATGCCTGCGCTACTCGGATTCCTTGTACACTTGATTGCACTTGCTTCGGTCACATTCCCAAAGTTTGCACTCTGTTTACAATGCTACACTAGCGCTGCTGCACTGCTTTTAGATTATAGATGATTCTCACGCCTTGGATTTTCGCTTCGTTCTCAATTTGAGGCTTGTCAGCTGACCAAACCGTGCAGGTTCTTGGCAGAAAGAGGGGCATTGGTTCTTCTTGATTACGAGGGTGAAACAATTGGAATGGAGGAAATCTACGGAAAGATTGCTGGAGGGAAATATGGGTGCTCCTGGGATGCCTTCCAAGCTTACAAGCACTTGAAGTTGCTCGGCTATATTATTGGACGATATGGCGTTCCCTGGACAGTTAAGCGTAGCCATACTTACAGCGTCACTGATGCCTCCACAAGTGTGGTTGAAACTGATCAGATTCAGAGCTTAAATAGAGTCGGTGGTGCCTCCAATGACATAACTAAATTGCTCAAGGAAATGTGCATAGATGATATGCATCCATCCTTTGAAGTGTATCTACCGAATAGCAAATTTAAGAAGACATCCCCAGGAGACCCTAGTTTCGTCCTATGCCTATTAAGGTACTGTTGCCTTTTCCGGTCACTTGAATGTCATCCATCCAGACCTAGAAACGTGCTCTAGTTTCATCTCATCATGGTTTGTGTTTTATTTTGATCACAAAGTTCATCTTCACTAGTGCTATATTTGAATTACTGCATTGACCGTCCATTGTCAATTCATAAATGATCATTTTTTGTGGTTTCTTGATATAAATTTAGTAACATATATGGTATGAAGCTTTTGTATTTTGTCATGCGTGATGTATCTATGACGTGCTATTCATGTACTACGTAGTCATAGATCTGTTTGTCATCCTGGTATATCCACTCAAAGTGGCTTCTATGTTAATTATATGAATGCGATTCAAGCTTAGCACCGAAGTTCCAGTTGGTTGCCATCTCATCAAATTGCATACCCAATCATATGATTTCTTTTATATTTTATCATTGACTCCATCTATTTTGACTTACTCTTTTTGTTCACCAACTTCCCCTAAAGAATACTGAGAAGTAACGAAAATACCATACAAGTCATAAGGTAGGTAAAGAAATGCGCAAGAGGTCACATTACATGCAATAAAATTGAGAACGACGTATGGTTCATGACTTTTGGGTTATTTGCGTGTACTTCGATTGTTGTTCCTACCTTTGATGTATTGCTTTTCAATTTGGTGCAGCAACAAACCACCATCAAGGGAAGAACTAGAAACCGTTGAAAACAAGTTTGAGGGCATTCCTCTGAAATTTTGCCATGTTGACAACGGACGGGTCAGCTTCCTCTCCTCCAACAAAGCTGCTCTCCCTAGTTTGCCCTGATGAGATAGCAGCAGGAGAATCTGTTACTGTTAGTTTTTTCTGCTTCTGATCTTGTGACGTACATCACTTGGTATTAGATGCAATTCTGGTGTTCTTGTATAACTTCAGATCAGCATTAACACTTACGGAGGATTTTTCAGAGGAATTATTACCATGTTTTGTCTGCATATGATTTTTCGACAGTAATGCATAATCTGATGCTTTAGAACCCAAGTTCAAGATACACTTCGTTCCAGACTCCTGAATTTTCGAGTTCTTAAGGCCACTCCACAAACGTAATGCAGTCAGCGTCAAATCAAAGAATGAATGCATATTACATTGAACATCAGATGGGACGAACTAAAATTCATCTTTGTGCAAAATTACACCTGAAAAATGGATGACAAAATAATATTGCATCCCAGAATACAATGAAGGCTATACTAATGATTTAGCGAGATAAACCAAGCAACCTCCTAGATGCTACAGCAAAAGTTGCTTCAAAATTTAACCATATCTTGAGCTACACCGAGCCCTCTTTTGTATTGATTGTTCTTTTCATGTTAGAAAGCTGAGAAGTATTTCAGTGATCACTGGTCAGCTGCAGTGCAAAACAATCTAAAATATGGACTTGTCTGTATCCTCAGAAAATTTGCCATATAGATCTTCAGGTTCTGCAGTGGCGCGTGGAATCACCTCTAGTCTCTGCTTCTTAGTTAAAGTTGTTCCACTCGAACTAGCAGTGGCTTTCGGATTTCCTACTGCGATGAATGCAACTCTCTTCTTTGTCTCAGGCTTGACATATAGATCTTCAGGTTCTGCAGTGGCGCGTGGAATCACATCTAGTCTCTGCTTCTTAGTTAAAGTTGTTCCAATCGAACTAGCAGTGGCTTTCGGATTTCCAACTGCAATGAATGCAACTCTCTTCTTTGTCTCAGGCTTGACATCAGGGCATGGAGTTGAATGCACATGAGTAGCAACTGCATCTGAAAGAGAATTAGAATTGTTGTCATTCACCAATTGCCTCCTACTTTGAGAATCTTCATCACGATGGCAATGGGTTTTCTCTGGCTGGTTTGCTAAGGTGGCATCTGGTAGCTTCATGGGAGAGTTCAATCCTTCAGCATTTTCCATATCTGAAAAAAATGTCAGAAGCACTAGAATTATCTGAAACTTCCTTTTAAAGTTTGACGCTATCAAACCATAAATAAAAGTAGTGCCCTCTCATATTAAATACTCCCTCCATCCACAAAAGTTACACCTATTTCACATTTGAGTTTTTCCAAATAAGTTGTTCCTATTTGTAGTCTTTATGTATTCAAGACTTAAATGAAGAGATAAATTAAATGTTTTATTAGAACTTAAGGAGTCATCTAAATACTCATTTGTTGCATGTTTGCAACACTACTTGATTTTGTAACATCCAAGGTGATTTAATTTCCCCTTGGTCTTGGTGTCAAAAGTAATATGTGTAACTTTTGTGGATGGAGGGAGTACATAACTATTGGTAATGAAAACATTTTCATTTTATTCCATGAAGTAATCATTGCAATTGAAGAAATTTGCAAAACATACTAGCCAGCACCATATCACCTATCACAATCAAATTATCTGGTGGTAACGATACAACAATCAGAAGTTAAATGCCATACTAATATACATCATGATACCATGCAAAACAACATGCCATGGACATTTGTAAATATTCCAAGAATGCGACCAAGAAACCAAAGTATTAATAAATATATCATGAAGAACAGAAAATATTGCATCCCAACCTTCAGAAACTTGTCCAAGAGTTTCATACAGGACTGCTGATTCGGAAGCACATGACTTTTGATCCTCAGCTTGGGTTTTCTCACAGTTACCTTTTGTATTTTCATGCAAAACAAATTTATCTTTCACCCAAACACATTCCAGAAAAGTACGGGCATCATTGCTTGAGGGATAGTACTCTCTGAAAGCCTGTAGGGATTTTTTTTTTTAAAAAAAAAGGTGACATGAATGATTTATGTGGTGAATAAATATAGTTTTCTGCCAATCCAAACATGATTTGACGTAGTATAGTTTCATCATGCTTGACATTTGACAGTTATGCATGCAGAGTGCTACTCTGGAAGCAAACTCACCTGCGCTCCACCAATACTAATCTTAACAGATTGCTTCCTATCAATAAGATCAGAAGCCTTGTTGTAAACTGAGACAACATCAAGTAGCATCTGCACACAATATAGGGTCAGTGAAAAGAGGGAAAGAACCTTACTAGCCAACATATGCTTCCACTATATATATTTCCTACTATAACTATAGCAACACAGTCTTGGCTGTAGGTAATTCTGCAGCTGCTCTCACCTGTTGAACCAGAGCCCTCACTCTTGCTAGCAAAGCAAGAATCGCTGTGCAAAGATCAACAAAAAATGATCTTGCAAGTAAAAACGAGATCTGACTATACCGCAGGTTAAGGAACTATCGATTGTTACCAAAACAGGGAAATGAACATATCTATTTGAACTATATGAAAGTAAAAGAATGGGCAAAGATACTAGTACAAATATGAGGCACGCGTTGCACAAGACAAACCAGTTGTAAGTGTACAGTTTAATATATTATGCATCCAGTCAAAAAAAATATTTCTATGCACAAGAGAATACAAGGAACAAAGAAACAAAAAAAAAGGCAAAGGATACACTGCTCCCATCATAACAGGTTCAGCCATCTGCACATAACAGAGAAAATATAAGTTTCTCTTTGGGTAAAGCTATCATCAGCTAGAGCTGTCCAGAAGCATATCAAGAATGGTGAATATAGCATACAAAGCTTGTCACTTAATTTTCCGCATATACCATAGAGGAAATAAATGGATTTGCATATGACCTAAAATTTCCTTTAGGACTTTGAAATATGCAAGGACAATCACAATAATTTTCATTGGGCCGGTGAAGAGTGCCATCCTAAATAAGTTACAGATAATCACAATAATTTGCATCTATGTCATAATTAGCTGGATAGTAGCAGAAAAGAAAAAAAAATGTCAGTTGACATCACATTATTAAGTCCAAACTACCATTAGTGTTTCCAACTTCCAACTTCTCTAAACACTTAAGCTAAGTGTTGAATCCCAATGGGGTAAAAAAGAATAACAGTATAACACTCACCTCTGATAACAAGCGTGCGACACCCAAAAGCCTCTCATGGTGACAATGGTTTGCACCAGGCTTCTTCTTACTCTGCCTAAAGAAAAAAAACACAATCAAGCCATAATCCTAGAGCGGCTTCGTCTAATTCTACGCCTCGCTACGACAAAATTTTATCAGCGTTGATTCAAGTTCCAAGGGGGGGCATAGGAATGAAGCTTGACCTGTTGACGGCGAGGATGGTGTTGGCCGGCTTGCGGGAGGCGAGGACGGGGAAGACGGCGGTGAGGACGTCCCCGAGGCCGGCGGCGAGGAGCAGCCTCACGTCGCGCCTCACCTTGAGGAGGTACTGGAAGTAGGCGGCGCCGCGGTGCTGGTTCCGGTGCTTGTACACCAGCCGCTCCAGCACCCCGGCCTCCTGCTGCAGGCTCCGCAGCGCCCCCCGCAGCCGCCGCTCCTCCTCCTCCTCCTCCACCACCACCACCTTCCCTTCCCCTTCCTTCCGCTCCGCCATGGCGGCTCGCCGATGCGCCCTGCGAGCGAGAGCACGGCGGCGGCGGCGGCGGTCGTATATCCCGGTGGTTTTACTTGCGGCCCATATAGAAATTGGCAATGTTGAGATGGGCCTTGGTGGCCCATTGCTAGTTTGTTTTTTCACGTACTTCTTTTTCTGATTATGAATTTTGGATTTTTCATCTGTATGCTTTCCAATCTACTAAATCATACGTTTTGTGTAAAAAAACTATATAATTTTTTCCTTGAAATGTTTTTATGCAACAACTTTGAAAGAGAGAATTAATTCGTGGATACCCTTAAATAGTTATCAGAAAAGTCAGACTATCTATTAATCCATCAATTTCAGCTATCTCAAACGTTCAAAGCTGAATTTTTTAGAGACCGAACAAAACTCACTATGGCAATGCGCTGCTATTATCTTATACCGGTGTCACCACATTTTCACATTTTTTTCAGCACCGTTGCTCAAAGACATGGATTACATTTTTATATATAGGTTTTATAGAAAACTAGGAAAGTAGCCCGCGCATACGCGCAGACACCTTATTTAATGTTGCTTTAGTTTTTATTACAAATGTTAGGATGATATTGTTGAAATATTTTTTTGAGTCCATTTTAAACATATTTTGGTTAATAATAGGTTTGGACATTGGTTATGTTTTTCTTCTGATTATCCTTGCAACGTATAAACTCTATACTAAAATTATTTGAAACTGTACAACCAAGAAAAAATTGTGTCACAATGATGGAGTTGGTTCATATATATTTGTACTATATGTGATTCGTTTTTAGAATTTAGCATTTCAGTTTCCAAAATTTTACTAACATTTTTTATTGTGTGCTATAGATGACTTTATGGATTTATTATATATTAATGAAATTATTTTTCGTTAAAACGTAGCTAATAGACTACTTTATCTAATTAAAGATAGACTTATATTGCTTATACTCCCTTCGTCACATAATTTCGATGAGTCAAATTTTATCCCAAAACAAAAGAGGAATTTATATGTAACCGGGACAAAGTCATTTTTTTAAAGAATACTACCAAGATAATCTCCTAAGCACTATATTATTGTTTATATTTTGACAAATATCTATAGTGTAACGTCAAGTTTGTTACGCACATGTTACTTGATTATTTATTTGTTATCAAAACTATATAGCAAAGAAAAAACATACATAATGACCATAAATATCAAGATGGATTAAGGAGTTGTATTATATATAGCAAGATCATAGGCTGGAAATATTTTTGATAATTATTTTCACACCTATGTTGTATTTATTCTCTCACTTCTCAAATACCAATCAAATAGTCTTAAAAAATTCCAATTTTTTGTCAAATTAAAATTAAATCATATCTACTTAAAAACAACTAAATTATGTTATTTTTATTTTTATTTTCACATATGCAGATTTAAATTAGTGTTATATATTCCTCTAGTGGTATCTGACACCCTAAACTAAAATATGATGTAAAATTATTTAAAAATTATTATAACAGTCGGCTCCATGTATTGCGATGTATTTAGGACCATAGATATTAGTAGTTTATTTAATTACATAAATATAAATAATAAAGTAGATATGTAATTTTAAAATAATTTAAAATATAGAACATTTAAAGAACATTGATTGGATATATTATATTTGAATTATATATAGATCAAGTTCAGCTGTGTAAGTTGTTTATCTTTAAATTGTAGAAATATTATTTTAGAACACGTCGACCTTTTTTCCTAACTGTACACGTAGTACGTACATATGTTTTTTCCTTTATCATGATTTATTATAAGTATATATGTGCTTATGGTTTATTTTTCTTGTGGCGAACAGTAGTAAGTAATAATTACTTTATTTCTTTCTTCAATCATACGTACGTAAGAAGTATTTTTTTGCCCAGGTCCACAATAATATATTTGTCCTCATGTATATGGATATATGAGGAAGGTGTTACTTTTTTTTAATAATAGATCTAATCTAATGGTATAAAATATTGGAACCACCCATTTAAGTGAAAATGAATGAATTGATATACTGTGACGGACCGGAAGCGTATTGGATTCTACCCTTCAAATTTTATTAGCTATAGAATAGGATTATATAAGTAGGAGGGAGGGATGATTAGAGGAAGGAAGAAACATATACGTACTATGTATATATGTACTTGCAATGTGGGCTAGTGGGTGGGAGAGAGTATATGCACGTAACGTACGTACAGGTGTGACCATATGTACTTCTAATTTCTAATGTCTAGGTTGTTGTAAGATTAATTTAATCTAAGAGTTTATAATATTGGACCTACCAATTTAAGTTAAAATAAACGTTACATATGTTTTTTTCTCAAAATTTATATGATTTTCTCTAATTTATTAGAGGGTCACGTGATATGGTTTAGGAGCGATTATAGAAGTCCCATGTGGCCCAAAATTTATATGATTTTCTTTAATTTATTAGAGTGTCATGTGGCGTCTTAGGAATGATTATAGGAGTCCCACGTGGCAGCTTGAGAATGTTTGCTAGAAATTTAATGGACTTTTAGTATATAATAGATAGATAATAAATGGCTATATATATAATGGGTGTAAACTTTATTTTAAAATATTGCATTTCTAATTTAGGTATGTATATTTGGAAAGAGCGATATGATGATAAAATTTATATATGTCTGTAAAGACCTAGATTTAACGCTGGTGTGATATTTTAGTTATGAGCTTAGTAGCTAGTTGTCCGCGAATATAGACATAATAATTACCTTACATGGTTACAGTGTACTTATATTTTGCATTAACCCTTCTCCTCTTTACAAAGTACCAATCCAAAAATACGACATATATATGTATGCATTTATATTCCAAAGAAACTATATACAAGGGAAAAAAAGATACAAAAGGAAGGAGAGCGGCGTGTTTTTTTTTGTTGCGATACATACGTACATCATGTACGTACCTATGGGGAGGTGAGAGGCTGGTGGGACCATAGTTGTAGTTGCGGTTAGCTTTAAGACAAATCTAATATAACGGTTTATAATATTGGACCCACCAATTTTAATGAAAATCAATGTACGGATGTTTTGCTTTTTTTCTCAGATTTTCTAGGGTTTTCTCTAATTTATTAGAGCGCCATGTGGCAACTTGAGAGCGTTTGTAGGAAGTTTAATGGACTTTTAGTATATAATAGAAGATTTCTAGATTTAACGTGGTAATATTTACATTGATCTTGCGAAGTGAGTGTAGCTCAACTAGTTAGGTTCCTTGTGGTGGAACCAACCCACCCGGATTAAGTACTATAGTTAGATACGGCCGTGGTGACTTCATTAATCTCAAGATATATATTGACCTAATCTTCCGAAAATGTTTATAGGGGTAGGGCACGCGTTGTGAGCTTATGTGATTGTAACGTGTTTCTAAAAAAATATTTACATTGATCTTGAAACATAACAAACTGTGCTAGCATCTAAGAGGAGATCCCTGTTAGGTGCTAACCTGTAGAGCCTGCAACTGTTGCATAGCATAGCTGATGGCTACAGCGCATGTTACATGGAATCGCATGGACAAGCACGTTATCGAGCAGGACACTGGACGGAGGAGGCATGAGGCCCCTAAGCTGGCGTCCTCAGGGCTCAAGGACCTCAACTGAGGAATACTCGTTGATGGGAAGGCGAAAGGCTTCTTTTCTGATCCTACTTGGCTACTTTCTCTTTGTCTCCGTAGTCTCCCATCTCCTCCAACCTAAATGGATCTTGGAGCCCCATTGATTGGCCTAATAAGTCAAAACAAAAAGGCATAATTTGAATTTTTGAATTTGAATGTGAAGTTAATTTTAAGATATTTTCAACGTTATTTCTTTTTATCATTGTCTTTTAAGTAGTTACGAATAAATATATAATGATTTTACCTATAAATTAATTTTTATTCCCTAATAAGTCGTTTGGTTTATTAGGAAATATGGGCAACCAGTAAAGTTTTTTGTGTTAAGCTCTCGACGGATAAACAATACGCCCGTTATTATAAGCGTTGCATATATTTATCTATAAATTTAATCAGCACTAAAAATTGATTTAAGATAATACTAAAATGCCTTACAATATGTAACGGAGGGAGTACATGATCACGACGTATATCGTCTCCTCTGAAATTTGTGTATGGTGTCTGGACCATGCACAGTTCGCCATCCCAAGTTCGCAACCATGAGCTAAAGCTAGCTGCATTGTTAATTTTCTTTCTCATCGTACGTTTGGTTAACTAATCATCCGGCCGGCCTCTGACAAACATTCCTCCCAGTGCCAACCACAAAAAAAAAAACGGTCGATCCAATCCAAACAGTGGATGGATTGGAGTCCCATGCAATCAATCAATCAATGCATGTCCGATGAACACATCAAGAATTCAAGATACAGAGATCGACAGGCAGGCAAAGATTTATATATAGTCCTATTGTGGGGAGCCATGCTGAGGTGGCAATGGATAAAAATTGGGATCAGAAACTGTGCGACGCCACTGTTCATCTTCCTCTTCCTCGCAAGCTATCTCCATCGAAGCAGAGAATGCCAGATGGTGTGTGAATTTGTGATAGTGTGACTGCGTCCATGCAGACGGACGGGGCAGCTCAACCACCGCGATCTAGGACAGCATCAACCAACGGTGTTCACTGAATCACTGTCCTAAACTCCTAATTAAGCTTAGGTCATTGTGTCCCCTCATGAGGAGATCAATTATTGGCGACCAGAGCTAGCTACCCATGCCATGTTTTACAGAGACTGATTTGCGCTAAAATCTATCACAAGATATTTTTTTGTAAAGTTTGTAAAATATGCTTATTGGCCATCGCTCGCATGCAAATTTTAATGTTAGAATTTAATTTTAGAGTTGTTTTTGATAATTTTTCTCATCGTAGTTTATTTTTCAGCATTAATTTTTAAATAGCTAAGAACACATATATAAAAAGTTTACCTACATATTAGTTTTTTATGGTCTCACGGGTTACAATTAGTTGGAGACAAAACGATGATCGATGGGACTGTAATTCCAGAAGGAATTAAAGTATTAAGCAACAAGATCTGAGTGTACAATTATTCTCTCGATCCATTACAGGCGAAGTACCAGTACAGTGGTGGGTACCCCATTCCTGTAGGCTGTCACAAGTCATCAGCCACTGCATGAGCCCTACACGATTCCTGCTCGCTAAACGGCAATTCCACCCCAGCTAATGCGCTTTGTCTGAACCCTTGCAAATCTCCAAAAAGGTCCAGTTCTTCTCTCCTGCCATTTCAGCGAATTCAGCTAACCATTTCCCGGTCCCTAGCGCTTTGCATTGCATATTTGCATGCAGATGCAGGGCGTCGCCATCATTCCCGGTGTCGCCGCTCGCAAAGACAGGCTAACGGCGACGAATGCACGCAATCACAGGCTAGAGAGGGATAGATTTAGATTTAAGATTGGGGTGTTTTTTGCTCTGAAACTCTGAACCCGTGCTTCTGCATGATGGATTGATGGTAAAAGTTAGCTTACCCAACATGATATAATATATCCAATGTTACAAAGTACACTTTCAGTGCCCATTGCTTGCATGGTTGCATATGTTAGTGTGTGTTAGTGCCCCATTGGCTCAATCTAGTACTTAACTAACAAATATGGTAGTACAAGTGTGATTAAAGTGATTGGCACTGTAGTGCTGGCCTTGATAGCCTCAACACAAGTATACAAGATATCATATTCATATGCAATAAGCAATGATGTACGTATCCTCTACGTTTTCAGTTCAAGAGTGATTTTACGATCCTAAAGGTGCCACATTTTTAGTATCTCCTCTGAAACCATTTTATAGTACAGTAAATTTTTGTCAGTTCAGGGTTTAGCCGTTTAAGTGGACTGTCCGGAACTCCGGATCATGCAGAGGCCGTCAATTGGTGTGATCTTAGTCTGAAATAAATTAATTTGATCATTTCTTCAGGGAAGTCAACATCATCAGAACGAAGGTGTCAGGTTTGGAGTACCGTTGGTCAGATGGGCTCACGGTTCAACTCATCCCTATCTAATCTTCTCTCCTCCAGCCATGACATCACATGATCGCATCGTCTGAAAAAACAATTGATTTATTTTAACTAATGCGTTGATCTGAAACCGAGCAAACGGGTGGAGTTCAACGGTGACTGCGATGCACTGAAACCGAGCAACCTGTTATTTTCTCATTAAGATTTGCTTTCATAATATAAATCATTCTAATATTGTCCGTATTTATATAAATATTAATAAATCTAAAATAACTTACATTATAAAACAGAGTGGGTAGATTATATCTCGATTTTCATTAGCATTTTTTTTAAACTACTAAATAATATATTCCGTGTAAAAACTTTCTATATAGAAGTTGCTTTAAAAAAATCAAATACACTCATTTATCAAGTTTATAATAATTAAAATTTAATTAATTATGTGCTAATTACATGCGCCAACTTAATCTTCAATCACTCGCGTGGCTGCAAACGTAATTACTAATCAGCAGCAAAGCACTTGTGCCGGGATCTGCGGATCGTTGCTGCCATGGAGGAACAGAGGGTTATTCGATCGATCCAAGAATCGCGCGATTGGTTGTGTAGCACGGGTGGGTGATTGATGAACAGGTGATGCTCTGAGAATTCTTTGATATGATTTGCAGTTGCCAAGAAGCCAAGAAGTAGTAGAACCTTTTTTTTATCTACAAGTACATTACAGCAATGGTGTATTGGGTCGACGGAATTAATGGTGGCGGCGTCGTCGCCGGCGGCGGAGATGGTGACATCAGAAGAGGTTGAGGACGTCGTGGATGGCGGCGTTGCAGAGCGGGCAGCGGCCGCGGCCGACTCGGAGCTCGCGGGCGCAGGCGCGGCAGAAGGTGTGGCCGCAGGGGATGAACGCCGCGGCCTTGCCGCGCGCCATGCACACGCAGCACCGCCCTCCCACGCCGGCGGCGGCGCCGGCGAAGCCCTTGTTCGTGCCCGCCTCCGCCGCCGCCGCGTGGTCGTCCGCGACGCGCCTCCGGCTGGCGTCCCCGGCGGCGGCCGTCGTCCACTGCCGCTCCGCCTGCTCCAGCAGCGCCATCAGCGACACCCTCCCGCCCCGCGCTCCCCCCGCCGCCGCCGTCCTCGTCGACGTCGCGGGGCGGTGTCCCTCAAGGACGCCGGTGGGCGGGTGGTCGTGGCCATCGTCGTCGTCGACGCCGCGGATGACGTCGAGCAGCGTGCGTCGCCGCCCCGCCGCCACCACCACCGCGTCGGGCAGCGGCCGCGGCTGGCGGCGACCACCTTGCCCGCCGCCGTCGTCGTCGTCGTCGTCGTTGTCGCGGAGCTTGAGGAGGTCGCGGAGGTTGGACGACGCGGCCATCTGCTCGGCGAGCGTGACGCCTCGCCGCGTCCGCGTCGGCGGCGGCATCGCCCGCGCCTCCATTCTCTCCTCACTCACCTGGAGAAGGAGAAGGAGAAGCAGAAGCCTACGCCTATTTGGACACAGCTTCACGAGAAGAGCCTAAAAATACATAAGCATCTCGTTATCTCACTCGCATCAGCAGCGTCAGCGTGTTGTGTTGTGTTATCCTCTCTTGCAGATGGTCTCGCCGGTTTTACTCTTCTTCTTCTTCTTTTTTTTTTTTTTTTTGCGTGTGTGTGTCCGTTAGTGTGGACGTGGCGGATGGCCGATGATGCGGCTCTCGCGAGGGCCGCGCTGCGCGACCACCACATGGCGACCCACGGGCGCGGTGCGCGCGGGCGAGCGGCACGGGCGCCGGTCGGGGTGGGGTTACGACGATTTCGCCCCGTTTTTGCAGCGTCCGAAGCGTGATTTCGCGGACTCTGACCGTGTCCGGTGACGGAGCAACAAGCTCCTCCTAAAATCAGAAACTCTACCAAACAATTTAATTTTTTTAGATTACAATAAATTGTAGTCATAGAATTTAGAAAATAATTTAGAGTAAGGAGCGAATTTTTCAGGATTTAACGGTTTTGTGCTTTCAGTGGTAGGCAACGTACCCATCAACAGGAAGGCGCCTGTAGTAACTTCGTCAATCTCCAGAATGGATTTGCCGGCCTAGTATTCGATGATGCTCATAGGGATAGGATTTACGTGTGTGCATTTATAGAGGTGAGTGTTGCCGGCCTAGTCTTCAATGATGCTCATAAGGATAGGGTTTGCGTGCGTGTATTTATAGGGGTGAGTGTATGTGTTGTATTGTGTAATTCTTAAAAAAAAAACTCAAAAGGTGAAAAACTCGAGTTAGTTTAGCCGCGGCCACGCGAGCAAGACGATCTAGGCGATTTCGCCCCGTTTTTGCAGCGACCGGCGGGTGATTTCGCGGGGCGTGACCGTGACGGAACAACGGACGGACTAGTCGGCTACGAGCCGCGGTCCGACGAAGCGGCGGGCAGGTTTCCGAAGCCGTTTTTTCTGGTGGATTTTTCAGTGACCGGATTGTGATGGATGGATGGATGGATGGATGGTTGGCGTTGGTTGTTGGCGCGGGTCACCGAAGGAGGTAGAAATGCAGGAATTGGGCGCCGGGCGGCTGGGTGCTTTTGTCAAACGGACAAATCAAAGCGTTATTCTCTGGAAGCACAAGAAGTCCCAAGAAGACCATACTGTGTGAAGTCCCTTTGGATGTTTGGGAAAAATTGGAACGGTACTGAAGGCTTCATTGTTTTATTTTTAAGATCCGCACGCTATTATGCTTATAAGACAAAGCTTAAATTTTAAACTTAATTTTGAATTTTATTTTTAATCTTTTTATTATCGTAGTTTATATTTTTAGTCGCTAATGAAAAGCTTCGCTCACAAATAATTTTTATTAGCTAATAAGCTATTCGGATAAGCATATGAATAAGAGAAACAAATGGATTTAGAGACTATTGCGTATATTGAGTTGTATGTGTTGATCAGTTCATCCAAAAAACCTATATTGAGTTATACGAATCAATCAGTTCGATCTAAAGCTTAAGCTAATACAGGAAGGCTAAACGTGTCACCTTCGCTACTTAGATCTTACGATCCTACCCCCCCCCCCCCCCCCCCATCTTTTTTGTCCGAGACTATTCTTACGTTTTTGTGCTGGCAACAAGAGATGTGCTAAACCAGAAACCTGCAGGTTTTGTGTGCCAGTACGTAGTGAATCGCCATCAATCCGCACGCTATCTGCGGTGAGCTTTGCTTGGTCCAGTTGCATCCAAACAAGCTGTACGCGGCGTTGTTGAGTAGTCTGCTCACCATAGTTGGTTTCCAACGTAGCATCGGCACTAGCACACTAGCATTAGGATGGATCCAGATTGTAACCAAATTGTTTCTTAAAGAAAAAGGTTTGAGTGCAAAAGTAAAGTTAGAACTGGATGTGTTAACAATTATCATCTTGGTTTTTTGCTGGCTTGTGTGACCATCAGATATTCAGATATCAGTATCAGAAAGGGCAAAAAAGAAAAAAAACACTGCATTTCAACACAAGCTCCAGGGCAAACAACAGCACGAACACTACATTCTGATGAAACAGAAAAATTCTCAATAAAAGGAGCATTTTTTTCCATCCCAGATGACAGAGGTAAAAGTATGTAATTACCACTTTTAAATGGACCTAAGGCACGTTACAGTATACACCCCCATCACTCAAAATTTAGGGGTGGAGACTGGAGACATAATAATCAAAAAATATGTAGTACTAAGGTGAACATTGTTTGTTTGGTTGTAAAACAATATCTATGGGCTTCTCCACAGAGCCCTTGCCAAGATATGTATGAGCAGCTCGCCAATTCTGAACATTTGCACACCTCCAAAATATGCTTCAAAAGACAAAAAGGCTGTAGGCAGTATGAACAGATTAACTGCTCAAGTCCACTTGTGAAAAATCTCTTTGACTGAGTAGACAAATGGTAACAAGGCCAACTGGACTCAATCAAAGAAACAAAATGGACTTGATGGATAGTAATTAGTATGAAGACTAACTGAGCCTCTGATTTTCCAAAAAATGACGTTTCTTATCTATTGCTTGCCATTTGAACATGCCCTGATAGAGACTGATTGATGTTGCTGGATGGCAGACATAATTTTCTTAGTCTCCCACCCTTTCGTAAAACAGTATGTAAGCCTCGCAGTTAAGAACTTCCTCCAGAGAGGCTTCTCTGACTTGTGCATCACTTGCATAAAACCATGACTTGGAGCCGGTGCTCCTCTGCTGCCGACCCCCAATCTTGCCAGTTCTCACATATGCAACATAATGCCCAGCTGCCATGGTTCCCAAGTGCTCAACAACGCCAACGAGACGATAAGTTGTATTGTCATTCTCCTTAGACCTGCAGATTACAGAGAATAGGTGATGAGCAGATCAACTCTAAGGCTGCAGTATTCATAAATTACAAATTGAAGACACCAAGTTTAAGACCATTCAGTTGAAATATGCAACAACAAAAGGGCTCAATATCAAGTTAATAACATTGAAACCGAAAATACTGATATCTCGCGTGCAAATCAGATGTGATACATGCACATCTACAACGTTTCTTAGTTCAATTCAAGATTGGAAGCTGGAAGACATTTTTCCCCTATTCTTGTACAGATGGGAAGGCATACTGTTATATACACTTGAGAAGTCATCATGTGTAGATGGTACAAGCTATTAAAAGTAAATGCCTTTTCTTTGGGACATCTATGGGATGACTTTTAACACCAACTCTTGAAATTAAAGAACAGCTGAAAGATTGGATTGAACTTTCATCTACCTAATTTCGTGTGTAACCAGCAGAAGAGAGAGGGCAAGAGGAAACCAGGTCTTGTTTTCTGCTAATCACTACCATATGCCCATATCACTAGGCACTAGCTGGTTTAGGACTGTTCTTTTACAATCTTTTGGACTGGCCATCCTTTCTGAAAAATCATGGGCAAGAATGTACATGCACTGGGTTGTGTATACTATTGTACTACATGGTCAACATCTAGACATGATCCCAAAATTATGAAGCCGATGGGAAATTTCAGAACCATTGCTCAAGTCAAAGTGTTTCAATCAGCATATAAATGGTGAATAACAATTTGCTGCAGCTTCTAAAAGCTAACCAATTTGTATCCACATGATGTTGTTCTCTTTCAATAGATATAACTGATTATTTAGGAATTAGAAAGTTCAAAGAAGCAACCCATTTATTAATCATAGACATAGCATCCGTAAATACAAACACATTTCCAGGTAAACAAAAGAGACATATTGATCTGCTTACTACCTTGTAGTCTAAATCGTGTTGCACTGCTAAATTAACCCAGACCTCCAAATTCACATTGACTATGAAATGTTTTCAGGTATATTACTGTTTATACGACGATAAGGACATGGTGGAGTTGAATACGATAATGCAATGCACTCTCAATGTAACAAAAATCTGATCTACATTTCTTCTTAAAAAGCATGACAAATAGTGCAGCAATTTATCTTCTCAAACAACATTGGCCAATCGCTAGGGATGAGGAACCAAAATTACCTGGAAGCTAAACATTCGCTATCTATCCTAACTATGTGTCTACGACAATTTCCTTGCAGGAGTAATATCAGCTACATAGTTGAAAACCACTTGTGAGGTAATTTGTAGTGTAAATATTTAAATGTCAATGGCTATGCATGGACAGTGGGACCTCTTAGTAGCAAATGCGAATAGACTAATGGCAGATGGTCACAGCTAATCAGAAAGCTGACAGGTTGATAAAAAACATCAGTACTTCTAACTGAAAAAAAAAGTTCAATACCTTGGGTCCATGAATGGCCGCACATCAAGTGTCTCCTTAAAGTGCACATGCCCTTTCAATTTCTTGAACCGACCATGCGAGTCCTGACTGAATCTGTTCAAATTAATTGTCAATACAGGTGGCGCCTTGCTAATAAGGATCCTTCTCATTGCAGATCTGAAAACCTTTTTTCCATTCTCTTTCTGTTCATTTTGGTTATCTTGCCCTTGATGTGCCTTGCCAACCATCTTCATTCGCTTCCTTCTGCCATGATTCCGCGTGACAACATCTTCATTGTCTTTTTCACCTGGTAAGATTCTTTGCGTCTCAGATGGAAGGCTACTAGTAACAATTTCTTCAGCACCAACACCACATTCAGCTTCATTCTTATTGGTTGTGCTGCAAGAGGCAGATTCGTTGTCACAAGAACACTCTGGTGCAGTTGTTTCTTCAGAGGCTACATCCACATTATGTTCATCCTTATGCTGGGCAGAATCATGAGGTTGCTTACTCGAAGATGTATATTCCACTGCTGAGTTGTTCAAATCCCTAATCTCTCGACGATATGCTTTGCTGTCTGCCTGTTCAGTTGTGTCAACAAGTGACGAACCTGTTTTCAGTAAAGCAACTTTCCCATTTTCTGGAAAGTTAGCATCAACTGAGTTGTCAGCACCAACCAAAGAAGAATTTGCACAACCACCTTCTTTACTGTTCATATCACTATTTAAATTATCTGAGCAACCGTCAGTTGCCATAATCTGATCAATGCCCTCCTTTTCGGTGCAGTTAGCGATCAACTTATCACCGTCTTGTGTTTCATCACCACCTGCCATCATCTCCTCACCATCCTTTCTTTCATTGACACTAGTCGCCATCTCATCATCTTTGCCATCATTGGTGTTTGGGCATGCAATAGAGTCAGAGCAGAGCTCACAGTGCCATGGTTCAGAGAGCAACTCCGGTTCAGTAAACAAAGCCAAGCAGCCCTCAACTGATACGGGAGCATTACTATCATCCACCTCGTCTTCAGCACTGTTGCTACTCCAGGCCATCACATCAATATCTTCAACTGTACCTATTTCTTTCTTGACTTCAGAAGTAACTTCAGGCTCATTGAACATATCACCAAGACCAACATAGTCATCTTGATCCCCATCGCCAACAGATGCAGGTTGTGCATTATCTTCTGGCAAGGGAGAAACAGCTGGAGGAGCAACTGCATCTTCTGGTTTCTGTGAATTTTCTGTGGTTCCATCCATTTCATTGGCAGTGGAACCAAATTCTTTGTAAGGAAGCAAGATAACAGGCTGTGAAGATGTTGCATCATCAATAGGGTTTTCACCAGAGTGTTCAGAACCCAAGACCTGCTCTTTCGATAAGGCATCATCCTGTGGAAGAAATGGACCATAAGTAACACCCTTGTCTTCCCAGATCTGTCCCGCTTCAATAGAATCTGCAGAATCAAGAATCTCTGATTTTGCTTCATCTGCATCATCAATGTAATCCAACCAGCAAGTGCCATCCTCCACATTTGAAGTACCTGTTTGTTCTAGATTAGGCACAGAAGCACATGACTCACTGCATTCAGAAGGCTCAGGCTCTTTCTCACTGACAACCTGTCCTGACTCTGAACCAGGAATCAGGGAATTATTGCCTTCAGCAACTGTTTGAATCTTTTCTTTGTTGCTCACCTCTATTGTAGGAGTCACTCGGGTCGAAATCTTCCCATATCTCCGATTTTTATTCCTATCTCTTAGGGATTGTTTGTTCCTCTTTGCTGGTGGTGATGACACACTCTTGGCTGGAGGCCTCCTGGATGGAACTGGTAGTGACAGATCAAGGAATTGGTCATGTTTAACAGAACTGTGTGTGCATTCTGTGCTGGACACTGTACTAGACAGCTGACCCCCAAAGATGGAATCGACAATTGTAGGAATGGTTGCACTTGAAGCTTCATCCGCTAGCTTCCGTGCTTCATTTTCCTCCGTGTGCAGACCATCAAGAAAACAGCGGAGTAATTCATGGCTGTCCTGCATCTGGAAGCCCCTGAACTGCGGGTACTTTGAGCAAATATTTGAGAAGAGATTCTTTGGACTCAGCGCACCTCCTACATCATTTGAAGCACTTGTCTCCATGAAGAGTTTCTTCAATGACATCAAAAGAGCCCCCGTTGGAACATCTGGTCCCAACATCTTACTGCGCAACCTATCAAGCGCGAGGAGGCTCTGCATCACTGCATTGAAGAAGCATGTGTTCCCAAGATTTGGCAGCCCTCTGATTACACTACCATGAGAGTTAACCAAACCTAGATCTCTGTCAGCTGCACCAGCCACCTCTGTTGGCACTGCGGCAACTGTCTCTATTCTAGGCATCTCGATCGACACCTCCTTCTCACACGACAAACAAAACGCAACAGTCGGATCATCAAACCGTGCAGCCCACCAATGCCGGTCCTGCTTGGCATGCCTTCGGGCATGGCCGTACGGCTTGGTCACATCAACCTCACCCCCGCAGAAATGCCGACCGCAGTCCAAGCACACCCACATGTCACTCTTCTCCACCTTCGCCTTGGCCGCGGAACCTTTCGTTCCACCTCCTTTCTTCTTCTGCTGCTGCTTACCCCCTTTCTCCTTGCCACCCCCTTTCTTCCTAGGGGCATCATCCCGGCAATGCTCGCACGACGCGAAATGCTTGGACGTCATGATCTCCAAGAGGACCTTGTCCAAGCGGGCGCTGTCGCCGCCGTAGTGTCCGCACTGCTCCCTGCCGCTGGCCGACGCGGCAGCAGCAGCAGCAGCAGCAGCTTCCTCCGTCGAATTCCCCGAGTCCTGCGCCGCCGCCGCCGCCGCATCCCCAGATCCAGCATCAGAGGGCGCCGCTGCCGTCGGCTCCTGTTGTTGCTGTGCTTTCCTCGGATTCTTGGCCTTCGCCTTCACCCTCTTCCCCATCGCTTCCGATGCCGAGACGCAAGAATCTGAAATGTAATCCATATCGTGAGTATCTCAAGAAACCCTAGAGAAACAAAACCCAATCACGAACTACACGAGCAAATCTTGTCAAGCTTAAGGGGGAAAAAAAACCCACGACCGCGCAGAAACTCCGGGCACGAACCGTGTACAAACCCTACACCAACAGAAATCCCCTTCCGAATCGGAGAGATCAAGACTAAGCAAGAAACCAAGCCGGACAACCAGTGTCAAGAACCCAAACAGAAAAGAAAGAAAGAAAGAAAGAAAAAAAAGAATGGCGAGCTTTACCGGAAGGGTGGAGGCCGAGGCTGGGAGTTGGGCGCCGGTCGGCAAGAGAGCAGGCTCAGCTTTGGCGGCGGCGGCGCCGCCGTGCAGGAGGACGGCGCGGCGGTGAGGCGGCCGGGGTGGCAGAGGGTGGAGGTCGGGGAGAGTGGGGGAGGAAAAAAAATAAGTTTTTATTTTTATTTTATTTTATCCGGCAGCCGCTGCCAATGAGATGGGGAGATGAAGGGGAGCACGAGACGTAACAGGGCCTGGTCAATTTGGGCTGGGCTGGGTTGGGTTGGGCCGTTTGGGCTGTTCGATTCAGTAACAGGGCCTGATTAATTTGGGTTGGGTAAATGGGTTGGTTGGACAGTTTGGGCCGTTCAATTTCGTACTACCTCCATCCCAAAATATAAATATTTTTAGATTAGTACGATACTAATAAAGTAGATGGAAATGTTTGATAAATGTTGTGATTGATTGATAAAAGATAGTATGTGAAAAAATGAGATGGAGAATATTTGTTATCAGTCGAGAGGAGGGGTAGGTGGAGAAATTGTTTCGATTCGAAACAAAGTATGTGCTAGAAACAATTTCGTTTTGGAACGAGGAAGTACCATGGTAGCACGACATTATTACATGTGTATCTCTTACACCGTCTTCTTTATTCATGGCTTTTGAACTAAATATTTTTGGGCTAAAATCATAAATTGTTTGATGGCATTTAAACATGAGCTTATTTGAAGTTGATGTGACCATGGCTACCACGGATGTAACCATTACTCACATCATGGATGAACAAGAAGATATCGAGATCAAGTCCTCCCAGTGCTGGAATCCGATTCGGCCACCTACTACACTGCTGACTTCAAACGGCCGCCGAATCTGCATACGACCTCCGTTTTCAGCCCGTGAGTACTTGATGGAAAGCTCTCGGAGCCCTCTTTCCAACGGATCCAGCTTCTTCTCCGAATTCCATCTCGTGTGGCCGGAATCACAGGAACAAGGTGCTGCGTCACCTATAATGGGCCTGTGGGCTTGTAACTTCATTTGGGACCCCGGCCCAGGTGGGGCCCATGTGGGGTGCGGCCCAAGCTGGTGGAGCACGACCCTAGGACCCTCTTGGTCGTCCTCCCACCTCCTTAAATAGCTAGGTACCCCTTAAGGGTTTCTCGGGTTTTGATAGATTAAAGTTTAGCCATTGCTACTTGCTTGCAGCGCGCGTGTCGGCTAGACCGTCCGTCCGCTTGTTCTTCGGAACCCCAACTTATCATTTGTATTAAATTCCTATTTGCAATATCAGATTGCTTTTATCTTGTTCTTGCTTGTTTCTTCGATTTGCTTGCAGAAATAGGGTTGTTCTGCACCGGCAATGTCGGTGACATGGGACCGGGAGTATCATGACTTAGAGACTTGAGGCAGACACGATCACCCACGTGGCCTAACCCCCTCGGGGGAGGGTCGGGCCCGAGGGTGATACGGCCGCCCTTCTCTTTGTCTCCCCGAGGAGTCGGACCGCTCCCGTCTCGGCCCCGAGGGCCGAGGCGCCCCGACCCCTTGTGGGTTTTGCGCCGCGTATATGGGGTAGGTGAGCATAGCGGGGCTCACCTAACCACATTTATTGCGGTTTGGACGAGCGCGTCACGCCGCATGTAACGCAGTGCAGCGCGCTCGTTTATCCGGTCTGTGACCAGTCACAGACCGATCAGATCGTGGGTTAGGTGGAGACAGGCGGTCTGACGCACGCCTCGCCCCATCCCATCAGGATGAGAGCCTCCAAGCACTCGTCCCTAGCCGGAGCCGGCGTGTTACCTCCTGGAGATGGCACGTTGGTCCCGGTCAGATATATACCAGGCTTCATCCTAACCATTACAAGCAAGACATTGTATGAAGAGGGGCGAACATGCAGATTGTTAAACTGACACGTGGTGGACAAGAATGACCGATTTGTGACCGGTCTGACAATGGTCATGTCGTCAGCAGACAGCTATGTTCCCACGTCGCGCCTGCTTCCGGCGGAAGTGGAGGTAGGTATGGGCCGTCCCATCAGAAGGTCATTCGGACGGCAGCCATACAAATCTCCGTCCATTAATGAAGAGAAGTCAAGTTGGAGGGAAGAGAGGATGAGTCCCCACACAAAAGAAAGAGAGGGAGAGATGGTGCATGTGGTATCCCCTTGAGATATAAAAGGAGGACCTTGCCCACTTAGAGAGGAGGGGAAACGATCCCAGAACGATCGGGGGCTGGCTCGCACTTTGTAGCTTCTTCATACACAGATCCACCAAAACACAGGAGTAGGGTATTACGCTTCTCAGCGGCCCGAACCTGTATACATCGCCCGTGTCTTGTGTGTTTCCACTCTCGTGAACTTTCCACAGGCTAGGAGCTTAGAACCTCACCCAGGGCCCCCGGCCGAACCGGCAAAGGGAGGCCTGCGCGGTCTCCCGGTGAGGAGCCCCCACGCTCCGTCAGGCAAGATCAACAACCCACGGAGAGGTGTATCGATCGCTAAGGCGCAACACAACGTCTCGTACGGTTGTAGTCGGATCGTCAACGTTTATCCCAAATCGTAGTTATCACAACTCACCGAAAGATCGGGCCAACAACAGCCTTGAATGTCGAGAGGAACTCAGGGTTCATCAGAAGTAGTTGACGAGAATCAAAGAAAGTTGCTACTGATTACATGAAATTTAGACTTGAGCATGGGCCAAAGCAGGTGGGAGAAGAGCCTGGTCCATCCACGCATGGACCAAGGTTCCACATTAAAAGTGCCCCTTAGGTCATATTTGACACAAATATATATCTCAGATCTATGGTAGATTTTAATTTGTATGTTAAATTATATTGGTTTAACATTTTAATTTTTATCTAAAATGAGAACAAAATTATTTATCTAAATGTTATCAAAGTAACCGTAGATCTAGATCTATGAATTTGTAGAACTAGAAATGCCTAGCTCCAAAATATCTTAGGTACATAGTTGTGCCAAAGAGAACCTTAATGGCCATTCTGCTACAAACTATCATGCTAAGTAGGGCCACCAACAAAAATAACTGGTATAAAAGGCTACATGTTGGTTGAGTCATGCCATCACTTATTTTTAGCCATCGTTAGATCTTCGCATCTTAACAAATCCCAAACTGGAGGTTGGGCCCATATAGACTCACACGTCTTTCTTTCTCCTTAATCCACCTCACAAGCTACTAATATTGGATGACGCTATAGTTTGACAATTTTTCAACCATTCTTAACTATAAATATCGCTACAAAGTGCATGGTTGTATCTAGTTCTTTCGATACCATGACGATATGTGTATTAACCAACGGGTGAAATTAGGTTTTTAAAGTTAGCAATGAATATATATTAAACCCATGACTGTATGGTTGGATTAGTTAGTAAAGACTCAATTTAAGCCGAGGTAACATAACACTATTGATTACAAGTAATATGCATATAAAATTAAGCGGAAAAGAACTCTATAATAACATAATAATATGATCTAACTGTCACATAATTCCCGCTCTCATAGCTAAACATTTTTACATAAACTACTTATAACAAACAATGAAAAAAATTGACAATAAAGAATCTACGTTGCCATTGTTATAAATACGTTCACGACCAAAAATTCGCTTGCAATCCCTTACAATTTATAAATGCTTTAATTTTTAACCTAATCCATCCCTCTTCTTTCGTCGAACATAAAATAAAATAAAGAACGCTTGGTCGAATTGGGTATCATACTCGTATGAATTTTGACCAGCTAATCCTTCAAGTACATAAATATTTTAGAAAATAGATGATAAACCAGCTCTCTTTTCTAAAACCAAGCCAATAGGGTGTTGATGTTATAGTAAGAAGATGTATCAATTTATGTACATCGGTTTATAGTGAAAATATAGGAAGAAAAAAAATCACATCACCTTTTGCTCCACGCAAACTCAATGATCTGAGCTCATCAGTTATTCTACCGAGCAGCTCTCCGCAACCAACTTCTTGGCATCTTGAAAACCATCCTATTACATCCACTCTGGCTTTTTCCCGTGTAATAAGAATGAACATCGATTTCATTCCCTTTGATATTTTTTCCTCCTTGGCCTGTACCTTTCCCCCAACAATCAATTAAAGATTTTCGACAAATATAGTCCTAATTTTGTCTACTATAGTATATCTCCTTGTTGACCTCTTCCCAAATTACATGCATGATCCGACAATTCTTAAACAATGCTAGGCCGTCTTTATGTTCCTCAAACAAAATTAACAAAAACAATTATGTAGCCCTTTTTTTTATTCTTAATGGTTTAGCCCTCCTCCATTTGTAATCTATCTAAGGCTGATTTGTTCGTTTATGGTTTAGTCCTACTCCATTTGTAATCTATCTAGAGGCTCATATGTTTGTTTATATTTATACTTTTAAGCCAAAATTGAATATTTTAAAACTTAATTTTGAAATTGATTTTATAGTTTTTATCGTAGACTATTTTACATGGTTTGTTTTTCAATTGCTAAGTTTCTCAAGTTATTTTTAGCTGGTAATAAGATATGAATAAACACAAGCGAAAAAAATAGGACCGATCCACATGATACATTACAAGCTAGGATTTCTTCTAAGTTCAGGTGTGTTTGTGCACTCAATTTCTTCTCACGCCACCGTCTCATGGGGTGTACAAGAACCCGGTTCATAACTTTTTTTAATATATTTTATCTAATTTCACGGTATATGTACCTGTCATCCAAACTTAAACATTTGTATCAAACTAAATTATATCTAAATTAGAGTAAAGAAAACGAGTGAAACCCTCTTCGTTTTGTTTTACCTCCGCCCCTGATCATCCCACGAGCAACGGCGAGCTTCGCCATTGCCGAAGGCTTTCTCGCCGAACCTCGCTGGCTGCGAAGACGACGATAGCCACGAAGAATCTTCATCTCACTGACTCCATGGCCCCACCGGGCAGACTCTCTCTACAGAGCCACACAGCTGCAGCCTTCTCCCCTTCGAAAAAAAAATCATCAAAAAGGAAAAAAAAAACTCTCCGCGAACGCGCGAACGCCTCCGCTTCCGCCGCCGAGCACCTCGCATGCGCCGCCTCCGCCGCGCGAGCTCGCCGCAAATGGGCGCTCGCTCCAGGTCGGGCTCGGCGAGAGCAGCGCGCGCGCGGCCAGGCGCGCGGCTGAAGGTGGGAGATGGGCGAGCTGGGGGAGCGGGGCGCCGGAGCGGCGGTGGCGGCGGCGTTCCCTCGCCGCCGCTCCGCGCCTGCGATTGGATGAAGGTTGCAGCAATCCGGGGGGTGGTTTTTTTTTTTTTATGGGGTCCTGTGGGCGGAGTAGAACACGCAAATCATGAGGAAGGTGGTGACAAAATTGCAACGGAAATTTCTTGGATTTAAATGCAGCAGCGAGGAGGGGAAAGGAGCTCATCGTTAGGGTTTCGAGCCAGATTTGGGGAGGCCTCTCACATCCTCCGCCGCCGCCGACGACGACGCCCGACGACGGGTGATCTTGTGCTCTTCGGAGGAATCACGAGAGCTTGGCTGAGTATATCTCTTTCACCTTCCTCTAGCTCTTGCATCGTGTCGTTTCTTTAGCTGCGTGTTGAAAATAATTTCGAATCATTCGGCATAGAGTTGGGGTGTCTGCTGTAGTTCTTGCTTGTGGAAGATTCTTCCAATTAGTTTTGCGTGTTAGAGGTAATGGGTGTGATCTTCGCTCAGAAGAGCAAGAACTCAGCAAGTGAGGCAGACTATTTTTGTTTTGAAAGGATAGGTAGAAGAACTAAGAACAAGGGCATAGCTACATATGTCCTCTTTTATTTATTTATTTATTTATTTTTACGATGAAAATGTATATGCTTCAGCACACTAGTCTGTCACAGGGCATTGATCTATCTGCTAGGGACCGTGCAGTATATTTGCTGCTGCAATCTCAATATTGATAAACTTGATCTATGCCGCCATTTATGTCCAAAGTGAAGTTGGACCGTTTTGGTGATCATTTGTAGTAGACTGCACATGAAAGCAATTTTTGTTGTACTTGGATCAATTTCATGAAATAATTATAGCCTAACAGATAAAAATCCATTGAAGCTCCTAGATTTCTTTGGTTGAAACAATGTCATTTTGTGCGTGATAATGTTTTGCTACTTCATTAATCTATGACCATCTTGAAGCTCATGGGGTATTGCGTCCTTTTAGTTCTGGAAAATATCCACATGCTGTATTCACACCAGTCAAGGCTATTCTATAGTACCACACTACTATGTCTACTTAAAATCACATACTAAGAGGTGAATTCGATGGATACTGCATCAATATTATTGTCTTTGCTTTAAGTGACAGTTCTGGTATATTCCCTAGAAAGGTTGGTGAGATGAGCATATGCCATAAAATGTGTGCCTAGTTTTCGCACACTTTGATCATTTCTTTTTATGGTTTCAATGTACACCGTCACAATTTGAGTCTACCAAACCTTTGCATGTAATGCGCCTTGTAACTGCACTTAAACTTTTCTCTCTTTCTTCTTTAATGCATTAAGACAAAGTATATCTCTTTCCTCTTCCTCTAGCTCTTCCATGTCTGTTGTTTCTTTAGTTGTGTATTGAAAAAATTATATTCTGAATTGTTCGGCATAGAGTGGCTTCTACTGCAGTACTTGCGTGAGGAAGATTCTTCCAATTAGTCTTGCGAGGTTTTGGTACTGGGTGTGGTCTTTTCTCAGAAGAGCAATAACTCAACAAGTGAGATGGAATAATTAAGAACGAGAGCATAGCTGCAAACACATTTTTTTAAAATGAAATATATGTTTCATCAATCATCACACTAGTCTGTGACAGGGCATTGATCTATCTGGTAGTGTATATTTTCTGCAATCTCAATATTGGTAAACTTGATCTATACCCATTATGTCCAAAGTGAAGTTGGACTGAATTGATGATCACTTATAGTTGACTGCACATGAAAGCAATTTTTGCAGTACTTTGGATCGATTTCGTGAAATAATTATAGCCTATTGAGAGCTTTTCTGAATAAATCATATTTAGAGCTTTACCATCATACTTTGCTGAAGAAGTAAATAAACAAAAATCCATTGCAGTTCCTAGGTTTCGTTGATTGAAAAAATGTCAGTTGTGTGTGTGATAATGTTTTTGCTACTTCATTATTCTATGACCATCTTGAAGCTCATAGGGTATTGAGTCCTTTTAGTTGTGGAAAATATCCACATGCTATATTATAGTTATCCTTTATGCATACCAGTCAAGGCCATCTCATGGTTTTCTTGGGTTTTTTTTTAGGGGTTTTCCTGTGGGCGGAGTAGAACACGCAAATCATCATGAAGGTGGTGAGAAAATTGTAACTGAAATTTTTGGATTTAAATGCAGCATCGAGGAGTGGAAAGGAGTTCATCCTTAGGGTTTTGAGCCAGATTTGGGGAGGCCTCCACATCCTCCTCTCTCGCTCAGCCGCTGACTCATCTCGGGCAGCGACTGGTGATCTTTGCGCTCTCCGGAGGAATCGCGAGAGCTTGGCTAAGTATATCTCTTTCACCTTCATCTAGCTCTTGCACCGTGTTTTTTCTTTAGCTGCGTCTTGAAAATAATTCCAAATATTCGTCATAGATTGGCATCTACTGTAGTGCTTGCTTGAGGAATATTCTTGATTCTTCCAATTGGTTTTATGTGGTAGTGGTAATGGGTGTGATCTTCGCTAAGAACTTCAGAAGGGCAAGAACTCAGCAAGTGAGGTAGAAGAATTAAGAACAAGGGCATAGCTACACACACACACACATTTTCTTTTAATGAAATATATGTTTCATCACACTAGTCTGTGACAGGGCATTGATCTATCTGGTAGTGTATAATTTCTGCAATCTCAAATTCTCAATATTGATCCCCGCAAAAAAAAATTCTCAATATTGATAAACTTGATCTATGCCATTATGTCCAAAGTGGAGTTGGACTATTTTGGTGATCATTTATAGTTGACTGCACATGAGAGCAACACACACATTTGTTTTATTGAAATGTATGTTTCATCGCACTAGTTTGTGACAGTGCATTAATCTATCTGGTAGTGTATATTTTCTGCAATCTCAATATTGATAACTTTTTTTTTCTCGAAAACGTAGGAGAACTACACTTCATTTCATTAAGAAGAAACAAAAAAGGAAAATAATTACAAAGGAGAGTAACAAAACTGTCCTCCCCACAGAACACACGTGCGTGCGCGCACACACGCACACACACAACATACACACACACAACACACACACACACACACACACACACACACACACACACACACCCCTAAAAGGTGATACACAAGGCCATTATGTGTCCATTGATTAACTTGATCTATGCCCATTATGTCCAAAGAGGAGTTGGACTGTTTTGGTGATCATTTATAATTGGCTGCACATGGAAGCATTTTTTTGAGTACTTGGATCAATTTCATGAAATAATTATAGCCTTTTGAGGGCTTCTCTGAATACATCCTATGTAGAACTTTACCATCATACATTGCTGAAGAAGTAAACAAATAAAAATTCATTGCAGTTCCTAGATTTCGTTGGTTGAAACAATGTCAGTTTTGTGTGATAATGTTTTACTGCTTCATTAATCTATTACCTCTTGAAGCTCATAGGGTATTGAGTCCATTTAGTTGTGAAAAATATCCACATGATGTATCATAGCTATCCTTTATTCATACCAGTCAATGCCATTCTATAGTACACCGCTATGTTTACTTAAAACCACATACTAAGAGGTAGAAAGGTTGGTTAGACAAGCATATGTCACTAAAATATGTGCCTAGTTTTTGCACACTTTGATTATTTCTCATTTTTAGTGTCAATGTGCATTGTCACAGTTTGAGTCTACCAAACCTTTGCATGTAATGTGCCTTGTAGTTCTGATTTTTTGGTTCACTACCACAATTTGCCTCAAGTTAGGCAGGTTTGACTGAGTTAGGTGTCTGTTTGGTTCGTGCCACGCTTGTAGTAAGATTCCTTCATCATCACATGGGTCCCAGATGTCATTGGCACATAAAAGTGTGGCAAGGTTGCTCTCTTCGAACTAAAGTGTGGCTTCAATTTTGGTAGCCGCATGTTAGGCTGTTAGCTAAAAAAGTATGGCAAGCTTTGACAATTTGAGTATGCCAAACAAACATGCCACATTATAAAATTAAATTAATGTGAGCCTTCCCTATAGGAAAATGTGGGTAACATATTTCATGGAAAATATGCTTTTATTTATTTTAGAAAATATTATGATATTTTTTTCCTTCTATGGATAGCAAAGCACAGGCATTTAGCTAGTAATACAATAAAAAGAACCGATAGTACCCATTTGTCTAGTATATTAGCATCTTTTGAACCATTTCATTTTTATAACATGAAAGGATTTTAATGCATCCGCCTTGCTTTTACTTTGTAGAAGAAACTGAAAGGCAGTAGCACTCAGTGTACTGCTACTACCAGGAATATTGAAGATGGCTTCCTCTATTTCTGTTATGGCATCTGCTGGTCGCAATCGTGGCGTAGGATTTGCAAAGCTTCAAGGTGAAGATTTCGAGTACTTCATGCAAACTTATTCAATCATCTTGGGACGCGATAGCAAGAGAGAAAAGGTAGATCTTGACATCTCTGGTGGAGATCTTACTATTTCCCGCCATCACGCACACATATTCTATGATTTTGAATGCAAGCGGTTTTCCCTTCTAGTCCTTGGTAAATGTGGATGCACTGTTGAAGGTGTCCTTCACCTTCCAGGTGGTAGTCCTATTAAACTGGACTCCCAAGACCTCCTTCAGATTGGACATAAGAAATTCTACTTTCTCCTGCCAACTCGATCTATCTTCGGCACCTCCTCTAATCAGCATGGCCCTAGTGCCTCTGCTGCTTTTCAGCCTGCTAACAATGGCACCGCTGCTGATGAGCATAATCTCACTGCAAGTGCTGCTGCTCAGCCTGCTCATATTGGCACCGCCGCTCCTCCTCCTCATATTGGCACTGCTCAACCTGGTCAAATTGGCATCGTCACTCTTCCTCCTGCTCATATCCAGAACAATGCTGAAAATGAAAATATAGCTGGCATTGAAACACAAGAGGAATTCATGAATCAAAACAAGATGCCTTTTGGTGAATTGGATACATGCAGCAGCCACCACATCACAATTGAGCCAACATTAGCACCTGGCGGTCAGCCTGGTATGTCTTTGACACATTCTTCTGCTAGACCTGATTCCTTCCTATCTTACTTTATTTATGTATTTACTTTTATGAATGACACCTGGTGGTGATGGTAGTGCCACCTTGGTGTATCTGCATAAGTTTGAATGTGTATAATCAGTCTGTTTGTAATTAGGATCTTTTATGGAATATGTAATATACACATTCATGGCATATGCAACATACACATTCATGGCATATGTAGTATACACATTTATGGAATATGTAGTATACACATTCATGGGCTTATGTAGCAGTAGTATACACATTCATGGCATATGTATGCTGATAAATATGCCTGATTCCGTGAATTATCTTTTGTTACTTACCTGGCATGATACCCAATTTCAAATAGGAAACGTAAAACTGGAAATCATACTTCTCAGAAAAACTGTTCAGATGAATCGTAAAGCAAATAATCAGGCATGCATGAGGATTTGTTTGGCTTATTTTCTATTCCTTATGTAGTTCAAATTTTGGTTTTCTGCTGCAAAGTGTATGCAACCAACTCATACAGACAATAAAATTTATGGGCCTGTTTTATTTATAGCCACATATTGGCACACTTCAATTAGACAAATTTCACTGATTTAGGCATTTTTTGGTTATTGCCACACTAGTGGCAAGATTTTTTTAACACCTAGGTCCCATGTGTCATTGATGCAAAAAAAATGTGGCAAGTATGTCCTTTGCTTGCCAAAGTGGCGCAGATTTTGTTCGCATATCCTTAGGCATGCATGCCAAAAAAAATTTGTGGCAGTCGTTGGCACACATTCCCCTGTTCTTATCAGGTTGAAATGGCATCATATTACTTCTTAATAATACTATCACTTCTTTGGCCTATATTGATTTTTACGTTGCATCCCACTGTAGTAGAGGATAAACAATTAGCTCTCATGATTACAGAAACTAATGGTTAGAGATGGACAAATAGAGGTCCATGCACAGAACTGTCCAAGACTACTAGCCTTCTCAATGCTATCTTTCTGATTTTCCAATTGTCATATCATGTGATTATGTGAACCTGTCTTATGATATCCCTTGTTATAACAAAATTTAGTTGATCCTGATCTCTTGGAATAATTAAATTTTTCACTGCTTGTTTTTTCAATACAGAGTTGTGCAAAGTGTTAAAAAAAATATTAACAGAACAAATATGGGATACTACAAGTTTTTGTTTTCCTTTTTCTGCAAAATTGTGGATACACTGAAACATAATTCTAGACTAAATGGTACATGCTATGCCAATTCACTTGTATTATTTTTTTTGTTAACATTATGCTCTTCAGATATGCAAGAAATCAGTTTTTACTACATTTCTTATTTTATTTGTAGATATGCCTAACTAGCTTATTTTTCTTTATGCAGTCAATAATTTAGCAATAAGACCAGCAGACAATAATAAAGACCAGCAGGAGGTCCTTCTAAAGGAAGAGGAATATGTTCTCGCATCTATTGGAATCGTGATATCTGACCTATGTGGTCTTAAAAAGATGATTCCTATTGAAAAACTCCATTCAGAGGTTTGTTGTGGAAGAGTACTCATTTCTGTCCAGTGTCTCTTTATTTCAGAAAGTTAGTGTAACCACCTCCAGATATGTTTTGTGCAGGAATGTGGGTTGTGTTATCCAGCACTTTAATTTTCCTTTCGTACATGTTGCACTAAAGTATCAGCATTTTTGAGAAATAATAATTTGTTAACTAATAGACAATTCCTCTACTCAAAGAAAAAAAAAGAAACAATTCCCTAGCATCCATATACAGAAAAAGGCATTTACTTTCATTTCCATATGTCATCAGGCTACGCTTTGCACTGAAGGACCAAGTATATTCATCAGTTGCACTGTCCTTAGTTCCACATTGAACAGAAATATTTGGGTAACTACATTCATGTGTCCTCATTCTTAGAAGTTCAATGATCCTTCGATAGCCTTGTTGATGTGGCCATGATACCCCTGGTCGCATCACTTGTGCCAGAAGTTATGCATAAACTCACAGGTCTAAAAATAGCCTAAAGTAAAACCTTGCTGTATCTGGTAATCAATGTCAATTTCTGCCTTTTGCATGCATGCAGAAATAACCTTTTTATAAACTCTCTTTAGCATGCAATGTCCAATTTAGTTGTGAAATGTTCACCTACCTGATATGCCCTACCGTATCCTCAGATTAACATGTTGTGGAAGTCATGAAATAAGCTCGCGACCTTTTGGAAATATCCAGTGTCTCTCATTACTCACTAGTTTGGAAATACTTTGTGTCTTTGTCAACTTGAGAGGTGGTACTGACCCTAGGATTGTGAGCTTCCACTAAGGAATTGGCGAATTGCTATTTAAATCAATCATTTTACATGAGTGGTATACTAAATTAAGTGACTACTCAGCATATTACAAGTTAGTGGTGCCTGCCAATTGTACCATTGTCACTATCCTCCCAATTAGTTAGATACTTCAGCTGCCATTAATAGAAACTTGAACAAGACATTGTTACATTATTATGATTTTTTTTTTGCCGGGTCGGCCGAAGGAACGGCGACCGAATTCATTAAGATGGGGGAAGTACATTATTTCGCATTATTGCTGCACCCATGAACGCGAAAACTGATCTGTGATTATTTGCAGCTCGTTGCGTGTTACAGTGCAACATGGCCCCAGCGCCAGGTCCAGATGCACCTGGCACCAGAGGCTGGCTCTTCAGCAGCTGGAACAGAATGCAAACCGTGGCTCAAGCTGATGTACCTACTAAGGAAGTACCCAGAACGCTTTACTGTCATGAATTCATCATGTGATGAGGAGGGCAGGCAACATCGGTGTATGTTACGCTGAACTCCTTGTGGCCTTGTTGATGAAATTGCAGGAGAGGGAAGCTTCATGAAACATACAGCAACATATCAGGGAGTTTTTCGCCTTGGAGGTTGCTCAGATCAAACATTACTCCATGGTTAAGAGAATTGGAGACTGTATATATCCCCAGCTCCTGTAGTATGAGAGCTTTCATGTTGTCTTGTAAACCTGTTTGTGTGTTTCTTTAGGCGTCTGTACTCTTTATGGTGATGGTACTGTTTGTGTGTTCTTAAAAAGAACCTGAACTTGGCATTAGTTGATGGTCCCATGTGGTGATGGTACTGTTTGTGTGTTCTTAAAGAGAACCTGAATTTGGGATTGGTTGATGGTCCCTTGTGGTGATGGTACTGTTTGTGTGTTCTCAAAGAGAACCTGAATTTGGGATTAATTGATGGTCCGTTTCCTGAGCTAATATTTGTGCTTGTTCTATGCACCGTTGGATGTTTTGAAGATTTCGTAGTTTTTGCAGCAGTTTTGTGCATATGATTGCACGTGCGTTGCAACAGGAAAAACTATGAAAGCTGTTACTCCTATTTTGATTTACAAAGTTTTAGTAGTGCTAGGTATCTTGCCTATGCCTTTTATTTACAGGCTACTTCCTCCGTTTCACAATGTAAGACTTTCTAGCATTGCTCACATTTATTTAGATGTTAATGAATCTAAACACATGCATATGTCTAGATTGTCTTATATTGTAAAATGGAGGAAGAATAAGAAAACACCGACCTGAAGAAAAGAAGAATCAGTAATAAGTTCAGCTCGAAGCAACTCACCATTAATCCAATCTAAGGAAATCCCTCAAAGATCTAGGGGCATAACTAAACACAATATACAAATAACAGCTAACAAGTTGACTGCGGTGTCATATAATCCACAAATGAGGAGCAAAGGTTCACTTGCAAATAGAGTAATTTATAAATCTATTATTTGAATAATTGTTCATAGAGACTTGCAAAAATTAAATGGCAAAACTTATGACATGATAAACAATAAAAGCTGCATAACATTTCTAAATCCAACATATCATGCACACGTTTTATTATTATAATATTATATAAAACAGACATTTTTATCACTGAGATATCATAGTAATAGTGAAAGCAGCTGGGTATTCTATACAGGAAGAACCAAACTTGGCATGCCATTGCTATCTGTTGCCGATAGAATTATTTGAAGATTCATAAACACTGATTCTACTAGTACAAAGTATACAGCAACGCACAACTTCAGGTAAGACGAATGTCACAAACTGTAATTGTTACCACGGTACATTACAAAGGTAACAAATTAACACAAAATTTGGGGTACAACCGATTCTCTGAAAGGGCTATGCCAGACACCAAGAGCAAAATGATGGAACAAATGGAAGGATCAGAATACATATGACTGTATGATCAAAACTAGGGAATTCATCTAGCTAGCTTCCTCCACACGGTGCGCCCACGGTTGATCTCGTTCCCGTTCCCAGCAAATCTTAAGCAGTGCAAGAACTGTCGCTGCTCTTCTGGGTGCGGTGCAGCAAATGCGGATCCATTGGAACTCTTCTCCTCTCCTTCCTCGATATAAGTAAGTGAATCTACTATGTCATCATGTTGGCACTCTCTTCTGTAGTCAAGAGTGATTGTTTGTAACTCATGTGTATCAATAATATCTTGAGGTATACTCTGCCATTTAGAAGGAAAAAGAAAGAGATCAGAAATCATCACAAATCAACAAGGATGATAACTGCTCAAAGTAAGATTACAGCCAGGAGAGGGCTGTCAGCCTGTCACATGAAGCAAGAACAGTTAACTGGTAGCAAAACTGAGATAATGGAAAACTTACTTCAAGTACCCAACCAATGTAAGTGACATTATTGACATGTTGGTTCATGTCCAGATCAGCTCTTCTTGGCTGCAATACAGAAATTAATATATGTCAGCACAGAATTGTTTAGGGACAGAGCAAAAGAACCGCATTCTGAGACGAGAACTAACCACTAGGCCTAGTCTTGAGTGCTGTGCAGGATCAGTAAGAACTGGAATCTTTTTCAAACTGCCATTATTTTCCTCGGGGAATGCTAATCTGCACAATGGTAGCTTGTTACAATAATTATTATACCATAACAGTCATTTGAGAAAATACATGTACAATCTTCAGTCAAGCTACCAATGAATTATTTGCAACTACGAATACAAAGAAAACATATTCTTCTGATTCTCGAGTAATTCAAAACCACTGAATATGTATCCAAGTGTGTTTAACAGAGCCAAGTTAAAGAAAGGGAATCTGTGGCTCAATTGAAGAGTAAAAACAGAGATGCATCAAAGCAACAAAAATGTGCATGTGCAAGAAAACTGTGGCTAAATGAGTACAAGAGGAGGTTTACCTTGGAGTCTTTGGACAGTGTACAAAAACCTCATCCCTCACGTCATCACTCACTCTTTGAAGTCTGCGTGTATTTTGGTTCATCATGACCCACTTGCTGGACAAACAAGAAGATATGGCTGTGTTACACTGTAAACACTAAATAATGAAAATGTTTGTTGTTTTCCACCAAAAGAGAACGGTTCGTTCAGTACAAACTACTAAGTTCCAATTAATCATTAGCAGGTCTCACTCATTAAGAACGAATAATTAAGGCTGCTACAATTGCCAGCCAGCAAGTGTAAGAACATTCAAGCATAAGACAAGCACCAAGATCATTGGGCATTAAAAAAAATTCCAGTGTTTCGATTCACGCTCTCTTTTGAGATTGCTAAAATCTAGTACCTGAGTTTTCCTATTTTACAGGCTTACCTTGGTTGAATTCATTTGGAGAAGTGTAGGTGTAATAAGTGGAAATAAGGTGGGGAGAAAAGTAAAGAGGTGAGAAATATTAAGTTAAAACATGTAAGACATCACCAGTGGACCCCCTCAATACCTATTCAGAATCCCAGCATGCACAACATGGTTGAGTGAATGCACATCAGGCAACCACTTTCAAAATAATGTAATTATGAATACTCTTATACTTGAGCAATAAGTACCTGGTAGCTCTGCCGATAACTTCACCATTAGCCAGATCCTTAAGGATCCAATCACGACGAGTACCGATCTTTCCATCTTCTTGGCACCAAGTTTCAATCTCCACAACATCACCCCTGACCAGAGCAGAACCACCAGTCAGAACTAGATCTTGCTAAAAAAACAAGGGTGGGAGCAATGTTCGATGCAATCCTGAAAACTTACCATGCTGGGTACTTGTAGATCTCAATGTGCATTCGGTTGGTCACCCAAATTAGACCAAGTTTTCTCATTGTGGTAGTTGTGGCAAAACCATCAGTGGAGAACCCAACACTTTGTGCATGGTTACACCCTACCTCCTGCATTTACAAGAAATCTTACCATTAAAAGCTCATAGTACAAACAAAATAATGAGATGCTTCTCAACAGTGTTCTTCATATAAATAAAGCCAACACTGATAGCTAAGAAAAATGCTAATAGAAGCAGAAACACTTATTGTTTTTCTGGAACGCGGAAACACGTATTGTTACCACTGGTTATCAATTTTTCAAATTCAATGATCAGAAGTTTTCAGGAAAAAAAAGCATTCCATTTGATACTGCCTTAGTTTTTAAATCAAGATTATATTCAATCCACTATATTCCACCAGAACTAGCTCGATATACGCCCAGTCATATTTTGACTTGTTTGCATGATTTGATGCCAAAGTAGAACTCAAAAATCAGAATTTCAATATTTTTTTAACAGCCACGCACATTCATCCAGACACACAGAACAGAACTACCTAAACTGACATGATACACAACCCCTATTGGAAGTACTTATCAGGTATTTAAGCATAATAATTCAGGAATTATAGCTTTATTATATTTACACATGGACAAGAAAATCAGCATTAGAAAGGAGTGTGATACCACCTAGGAATGCAAGCATATGCCCATGAAATTTCGATGGGCGATTTCGCCGGCTCAGGATTTGTTAATTGCCAGAAAATATAAATAAAAGCAAAAAAGACATCGACTAGAATAAGACTAGAACAACCTGACTTTATCAAAGCTCTAGCTCAATCTACGCAAATGATAGCCCACGGATTTGAGGAAAGTTAGTATTACTAAATCTTGTCACATCACAGCAAATGAGGTCGGATTATAATTGTACGGAGAAATTGGAGCTGTCTAAATTCAGATCCAAACCACCGAATCTATCAAGAACAAGAACGAAGACGATGCTTCCACTCCCCCCCAACACAAACCGTGGCCGCAGCACATTTCGCAATCCGAGAGGACTCCACCCCAAATCGAGCCACGGAGAGCACGAATCTGACCAGCGAAGAGTAGCTTTGGGAGACGGGGAGGAATCCCGGCATGGGTGGTGGGGGGCGCACCTGGAGGAGGTTGGCGATGGTCTCGACGGTGGCCGTCTTGTTGATGCCCACCTCGTAGCACCGCACGATGAAGCTCTCCTTGTACGACAGCCCGTCCTCCAGCAGGCTCCCCAGCCGCAGCCGCTCCGCCAGGCTCGTCCTCTCCCCACCCTCCACCGCCGCCCGCGCCGCCGGTGTCCCCGCCGCCGCCTCGACCCCGGACACCTGCTGCGCGCGGCACCGCACCGCCACCTCGCTCCGCTGCCTCAGCAGCACCCCCGCGCCCGCGCCGCCCGCGCCGAGGCGGCATTGCGGCGGCGTGTGGCAGCGCAGCATCTCCTGTGGGGGGACGGTGGTGGAAGGGGACAGAAGAGATTCGAGTTCGCGCCGCCGCCGCCGCCGCCCGAGCAGCTGGGGGCGCGGGGGGGTTTATAGGGAGGAGATGGGCGAGGCGTGGCGTGGCGCGGCGTGGCGAGGGGTAGGGGGTGGCGCGGCGTGGCCACTAGTGGATATCAGGAGAGCGGCGGGGGCGTTGGGGGGTGGTGGTGGGCACTAGAGGCGATAGGAACGAGGCGAAGGGGAGGGGAGGCTGTCAGGCTACGGCGTTTTTTTGCTCAAATTTCATCAAACTGACTAGAAAACGCCTCTAAAATGGGGGGCCTAACGCGCGATCGATCGCCAGGCGATTGGATCCCCCCACTCCGCTGTAGGCACTCCTCCCACTTCTCCCCTTCCTCCCCCTTTCTTCTCTTCCTACTACAGTACACCATAAAAAAGTTTTTAAAAAATAAAAAGTTAGAAAAATTTATGTATAAAAAATTTAAATTCAAATTTAAATTTGAATCGGGTATGTAAACTTTTGACTTATAAACTTTGGATCTATAAACTTTAGGTGTATAAACTTTATATGTATAGAAATACTATATATAGAAAATATTTGAATTCAAATTTAAATTTGAATCGGATATAATTTAAATTCAAATTTGAACCGGGTATATAAACTTTAGGTCTATAAACTTTAGGTGTATAAACTTTAGATGTATAGAAATACTATATGTGAAAAATATTTGAATTCAAATTCAAATTTGAATCGGATATATAAACTTTAGTTATATAAACTTTAGGTGTATAAACTTTAGATGTATAGAAATACTATATATAAAAAATATTTGAATTCAAATTCAAATTTGAATCGGATATATAAACTTTTGATTTATAAACTTTTGGTCTCTAAACTTTAGATGTGTAAACTTGAGGTATATAAACTTTAGGTACATAAATTTACTAAAATAGAAAAGTAATACGATGCTAAAAAAGAAAACCAGGTGAAGGGAGGGGGTGGGAAATCTGATCGCTCTGGGCGGGCGAGGGCTCTCCTAGTAGCATTTCCGCTCTAAAATTGGGGGGCATTTAACTTTTTATTTTAACTCTTAGATTTGGCGTTTAACCATTTGGCAACCATGTGTCAATGATATGTGGGGCCTTATGCATAAGTAACATGTGGATCTAAGTGATAAATGGTTAATTATCATATATAAGAGTGGTAATAAATAGTTAAATATCCTAAATGTTTGAGGGTCCTTTTAACCGTATGATACGGTAAGGGTTTATTCCGTTTTAAAAAAAAGGATTTGGATTTTTAATAATTAATTTATATAAGTATCATTCGATTTGTAGGAAGAGAGTATATTAAAAAAAAACTTTCCCGCAAAAAAAATGAGTATATGAAAACTAAAAGAATTTTTAGTTTCATATAAGTTGTAGAGAGAAAATATAAGAGGAATAATATAATTATGAACACTCTTAAAGAATGAATAAAAAGACTCAAAAAGAAAAGGTTTTCATACAGTTCAACGTCATGCTAACTTTCCTTCGAATTATCTTTTTTTTTTCTTGAGCATTTCATAGGATTCTTGGAGCTTTATTTTAAAGCACCAAATAGGAGAAATTTTCTAATATGATCCAAATCTTACATAATTTTAATATTTTTCCCCACCAATCAAACCAATTCAGACGGCATTTTATTACTAGTTATTTGCTTACATGGTGTAGTTTATTTAGTAAATGGTATTTTATTAATCCTTTTTGCTGATTTCGAGGCTTCGAGCATTAGCTGAGCACGCCGGCAGTACGGGAGAGGTGTGGTACACATGCTGACAGCGACTAAACGATTCGATCTCAAATTCTTTCTCATTTAAGTCAACTTACGGTTGCAGCTAACGCCTGTGCTTGCATCATTAACTTTGTTAATCAATTATCGGTTTGTATGCAAACACGCAACGTAATTGCGCAGCTGTCTGCTAACTGCATTTTGTTGTTGACTTGTTGGTGTATTATTAACCACTGTAGTAAATGGCCGAATATTACGCCCCTGCAGGATATTTTCCGGACAGTTTTTTGTCATCTCGTCTGAGAAAACAAGGGAGTCTAGAGAAGTTAAATATTCCATTCGTTTCAAACTTTTTATTGTTATTGTGCGTACTATATCAATCATGTCTATCTCTAATTCGTTATCATTAATTTTAATAATCCATACAGTTTGACAACAAGTGAATTATACATCATGAAAGTTTTTCTGATAACGAATGTAAAAATAAAAATCTTATAATGTTAAATTTGTATAAAATAATGATAAGAGGCTGAAATGTTTGACTTACAATAAATCTGTAACGGTAATTAATTTGAAGCATACGAATACATGTAAAAAACAAGTAATATGACTATATATAACAAAAAAAACAATCAATTCTAGTTTTTCTTGATTATAAATAGTGCGCATACACTGGTGCACACTGCGTATGCACACCACACTCACATTTGTGAATACCCTTAACACACATGGAAAATACAAGATTAATATTAAATCTTATTAAAAATGTACCAATGTGTTCGTAATATTCATGAGCGCTATGATTTAAATCTTGACGGGTATAATCATGCATCCATAACCTTACCGCTATATTATCGATCCTTCCCTAAATTTTAAATATTGACATGTACTATTGAAAATATTGGCATCAGGATTTCCCATAGCCGACAAACTATTGAAAATAATAACTCAAGATTTAAATTTCAATATAAAAAAATATTTAGATTCATATCTCTCTTGCGGGCAACCTGTCTTGGGCTCTTGGAGCCGGGTTTTAGCCACCATGGGCTTAATTACTCTGGGCTATTCTGGGCCTGGTCTACAGCATAAACAAAAAGCCCACACCCACTTGTGCCTATAGCAAATTAATTAGCAATAACACTCCTAATTGGAAGTTGCTGCCTAGAATGGATAAAGCCACCCAATGTCGCACTATATATATAATAACTAAATTAGGTGGCTTCGTCAATGCAGTTTCTACGTTGATGTGAAATTACACCAAGTTTTGCATAATCACCACTCCTTTTGCTTTCCTAAAGTAGTTCATATCTTTTTTTGTCGGGTTAACAATCCATTTCCATTTTCCATCTTAGTGGAGAAATCACTCGGGATATACAATAAATGGAACATAGCAGCCCTTAATTATCCCCACTAAGATGCAGTTCCACTGGTTAAGCAACAATGATAGAGGCACGCGAGGGGAGGTGAAAGGAGAACTATGTGGGTGGCCCAGGGTGTAACGGAAAGGAAATATTATCCGGTCCAAAGGGAAATAGGCGTAACAAAGAAGAAAATATTATCCGGTCCAAAGTAAAAACTTTGTTCTAAAAAAAGTGAAAACTTAGTTCAAGATAGTTCAAATTAAAACTATTATAAAAAGTGATCCAATATGTAATTTATTCATTTATCATATATCAGGGATGAAGCTAGCAGCGAAGGATATTATTGGAGTCAGATCCATTACATGGCACCGTGAACCTTGAATTGTACCAATGTTTTACCAGATGATTTTGGAATTTTGTCGGGGCCTCGTCTGACCCCAAACAAACAAGGATTCGTCAACAATGAATTTGAGGCATTTCAACATTCAAATCAATTTGAGGCTTAGTGATGGAGTAGAAGCCAATTGGCCCTGTTTGGGAGAGCTTGTCCTAGCTGCAGCTTTTTCCAAAAAGCTCTTCTGCTAGAATCTGCCCCAAACAGTCTACAGCTTCTGAGAATCTGGGTTTCAGAGCTTTTCCAAATTCTCAGAAGTTGGTTACCAAACAGCTGCTTTTCAGAATTTAAAGCTCCTCCAAACAGGTCATTCTTGTAGCATTTCAACATTCAAATCAAATGGCATCATGTCAATTCATGACGTCCTGACAGACAAAAAAAAAACGCATTTGTCCTAAGGCCAAGCGAAAGCAAATTTGTGGAAAGTGATAAGTATTATTCTTGGTCGAGAAGAGAATCGATGATGGCCAACAATGGCAGAAGTAGCTAGCTTGATCGATGCTCTGGGACAACCAGAATAATTAATGCCACAAAAATTCAGAGGCACTTCACAAAATGGAACACGAATCTGAAGAAACATGCATGAGTGCAAGCTTACTCAATGCTCGTTAAACCACTCGCACAAAATTTTGCAGTATCAGATGATCAATATATGGAATCCGAACAATTTTTGGTGCTGCTTAATTGGCATTAATTATCAGATGCTACCTACCATGTCCATTAGGAGTATGTCAGAGGTTGAAGAGATGGCGTTCGTATCTGAACTCTGAAGTTCTGAACTCTTCTTCCACTGTAGAGCACATATACTGTATCTAGCTATTGATTTGGGTACTATTGTACTTTGATTTGCAGTTGCTGCATCAGATTTTTTTTTTGCATCATTCATCGAGTAAATAGTGCTTAATATTATTTACCTAAGATCAGAAGTACAGATTCTGTAAGTACATAGCTCGATCAATAGTGATACAAAGCTTGATGGCATGCCATGCTACTTTGCATTGCACTCTGATTCTGACGTGCCAAAAAACAAAAACAAAAAAAAAAACTTAATCCGATCATCGTATGAAGCCTAGAACAATGTAGTACACGATCAACACCGGTAATGACGCCAGTGTCCCGAATATAACCCTGGAAGATAAATTTGACAGAAGGTACTGAAGCAGATCAAACTAAAGAAGTTCAGTGAAATCCAGTTAAACCGTATATAAGATTGTCTACTTACGCTGTGCTGAGTATTTCGGCGTGCAGGCCGTACTCCTTTGCGAACACGAACGTCGTGATGGATTGAGGAAGCGCAGCCTGTTCATCACGAGCAGTTTCATCGTGAGGACTTGTGTCATGCATGCATCCGTTTGAATTCAGACAAATTTCAGGTGAAAGAAGAAAAAAAGAACTTGGCGAATGAATTTCGTGTAAATGTGTGTATGCCTGTATGATGGCAAGACGCAGGAGGTCGCCGCGGAGGCCGAGGGCGAAGGCGCCGACGGCGGTGGCGGCCGGGCCGGCGACAAACCGCAGCGCCATGCCCAGCACGGTCAGGCCGGCGCCGCAGACGATGATCTTGTCCTGCAACGCCATGAACAAACCTGCACAGTACAGGAGAGTACAAACACAAACAAATCAAATGCAGATTTCAGTTAGGAGAGTACAGCGTTTTCTTGTTCATTAGTCCTTAGGTCCCGTTCATTTCTCCAACAAGAGTTGGATGAAGATAAAAATTTTCGTGACACGCTTTTCAAACCGCTAAACGGTGTGTTTCGTGCGAAAACTTTATATATGAAAGTTGCTCTAAAATATTATATTAATTTATTTTTTTAGTTTGTAATAATTAAAACTCAATCAATCATACGTTAATACCACATCATTTTACGTAAAAAATTTAATCTGCATATTTATTATAAAAGAAGTTAGGAATGATCAAGTCGTGTGATAGCTGATTATTAATTGGTTAATTACGTACCCATGCTAAACATGGAGAGTCCAACCCCGGTCTTGGACATGATCAGCACTGACCCCTCTATGATGCTTGGCGTTTCGACATGCCACCTGCAAAGCAAGAACGACAGTCACAATAAATCAAGCCACAAATAAAGATAATTCCCTGCAAATCTCTCGAGAATTCATCGTTTGATTTGGGAACAGGATCTTGGAATAATCTGCCATAGCCTAAACAAGCGTAATATGCAAGTTTTTCAGGGGGGGGGGGGGTTGATTAAAGGTACATATCTGATCATTTGCAGCAAACATTCTCTCCTGATTTGAATCAGACAACTTTATGGCAAATTGCCAAAGTTGTTCTCCATATATATGTGCCTGATTGGACTGTCGTCCAATACATATTCAAGTAGTGTGTTGCTTTACTTGTATTCAATTCTTGATTAATATGGGGCAAACATGAGAGATGCTTGTAGTCAAATCAAGTTACTTTAATTAACAAAAATATGGTTTACAAGTTCATGTCAGCCGTTCCACTAACAATGGTTGTATTTGTTCCGATCCACTTTGATTGTCCCTTTTATAGAGTACTAATTAATAAAGAAAGCTCAGTTAGTAGGCTATATATAAACATTTTCCTATGGCCTGTTTAATGTGTTTTTTTACTAACATTTTGACTAGAGAATCTTACATTTCCAGCAAACTGATTTTGTTTTGATAATGATGTTGGTTTATTACTACTACAAATTCATAAAATTACTAATGCGATTAAGCGGGGTAGGGGGACTCGAGTCCCACAGCACCTACGCTGGATCCATCCCTGTTAAAAACATATTAAAAGTTACTTCGGAACTTCCGCAGCAAAGCGCGGGAATCACCTAGTAAAATGAGAGACTCGGACAAAACGAGAATTTCTGCATGCATGCAGTCGCTTACGTAGGCACACCTGTTTGTGACGCACGCCCACGCGACGCCAAGAACGCCCGCGTAGACGTTCGGGTTGCGCGCCACCTTGAGCCACACCGCTCTCACCAGCGGCCACAGCGACCGCCTCGCCGCCGCCGCCGTCGCCGCCGCGGCGGCGCCGTCCTCCACGTCGTCGTCGTCGGTCCCCGTCGGCGGCGGCGGCGGCGCCGCCGCCGCCGTGGTGGCGCGCCTCACCTCGAACGCGAGCAGCAGCAGCGGGAAGTAGACGATGGTCTGCACCACGGAGATCTGCACGATGAGGTCGCGCGCCCACTTCCCGTACATGGCGTCCAGCAGCGGCACGCCGACGACGAGCGTGTTGTTCAGCGTCGCCAGCGAGAACCCAGTGATGCACCACGAGAACCCGCCGCCGCCGCCGCGCTTGCCTCCGCCGGAGCCGCAGCAGCGGGTGGAGGCGGCGGCGGCGCAGGCGGCGAGGGCGAGCGCGACGGCGAGCTTGGAGAGCGCGTCGGCGGCGAGGACGCGGTAGCTGAGGGCGAAGGGGTCGATGCGGGCGGCGAAGTCGAAGGCGAAGAAGGGGACGGCGAAGCAGGCGACGAGGCGGTTCACGGCGTCGCACTGGTCGGCGGTGAAGAGGCGCCACCACCGCACGGAGCCGTAGCCGAGGCCCAGCGCGAAGTAGAGCGGCGCCATGGCCGCCACTACCTTGTACACGTCGCCCCACCCGATCATCTCGATTGGCTTAGCTCTAGCTAGCTAGCTGCACTCCACTGATGAATGTGATGATCAGTAGTGAGATTTTTTTTTGGTGTGCCTTTTGTTGGTGGCGCCTGTGTATATAGAGGGAGAGGTCAGGAAGGTGGTGGATGCATCATGCATGGAGAAAAAAAAAGTTAGGCTCCTTTAATTCGGAGAAAAAAAATAGAAATTTTGAAGGATTTTAATTTTATTGAAAAAATTCCTATAAATGCCTTCGAATTAAATGATCCAATCCTTTAAAATTCATATGGAACTTCCGTAAAAAAAATTCATATGAAATGGACAATTCTATAGAGATTTTGGATGAAACTTCCCTTTAAGTATATTTTTCTCATCCGATTCTTATGTTTTTTTTCCACGATTCAATCAAACGGTTCTGTGTTTTACAATTATCTATTTTACACTTCAATCACTTCCATTCTTGTTAGAGTTATGTGATTTTTCTATTCCTTCAATTTTTTTTTTCATTCCTGCTATTTAAATAGGCCCTTAGGCTAGTATTCCTGTGTATTATTCCATCTGGTGAAGGAAAAGTAAATGTGTAAAAAAAGAAACCAAGGAATCATGCAGAAATCAATACAAGGTACAAGCAAATCAATGTACAGTACGATTCATAGGCAGTGTGTTCCACTGTTCCCAATGCTTGAATTAAATTAGCAGCTTTCGAAAACCGGAGTTTTGACCAAGTTCCTTAGGTTTTTAATAGATGATTTTTAATATGTAGATTATTCTTTTTTTTTTAAAAAAGTTATGTAGTTATCAGTTTTTTTTAACTTGGTTTATCATGGAAGATATATATTTCAAGTATGACTTATTTACACGATTAAATATATGTTTAAAAGTTAATGGCATCGCTTACTAAAAACTGCAGGGAGATTTTTGGCGTGTAGTATATATACCGATCAATTGTATCAAAAGCAGAGTTTAGTTGGTTCATGACGTGAAATCGTGGATGTACAACACCTACGGATCCGGCTCTTTGACTTTGCAAGCGAACGGCAGATAAACACAGTAAAATAAGCCTGGTGCTATGGTACATAACAGTGTTTTGAAGTTTTGGCTGTAGCAACAATACAAAACAGTAAAAACCATTGTGCTAATTCACTATTCACTGATACTGTAGCGTACTTGTTGACGCGAAAAACAGCAGTACTGTATCGATTAATCTCGCTACGGGTGAGAATGGATCAAAGCCAAGGTACTGTGCTTCTCTGACTTCACAAAGTCAGAGGATCTCGTTCCACAACACTATACCAACTAGACCACAGATGACTACCCAAGTTTTTAAGTGCACGTAGATAATTTGGGGTGCATGTTATTTTTATCAATACTTGCAATGTCACCTTTTTGGCCGGGGGAAATAGTAGGCTTCACGTACGATTCTCACTTATGAAATTAGTACGAACGGACGCGAGAATCCTAATTCGCACACGGACACCGGCAGCACGCACTCCCGACTCATATGGCCCACGCGGCGCACGCGCGTGATTTTTTCTTCTCTAACCTACCACCGTTTTCTTTTTTTTTTCACTTTCTTTTTTTCCGTGATTTTTTTTCTGTTTCTTTTTTTTTGCGTTTTTTTATGATTACATTTTAATCTTCCAGCAGTAAGTGTTTTCAATTTTTTTTGTTGAAAGTTTTAAAATCTTGACTTGAAAATTTTTAAAATCTTAATTTAAAAATTTTCAAATCTCGAGTTGAAAGTTTTCAAATTTTGAGTTGAAAGTTTTTAAATCCGAGTTGAAAGTTTTTAATCCCGAGTTGAAAGTTTTTAAATCCGAGTTGAAAGTTTTCAAATCTTGAGTTGAAAGTTTTCAAATCTGGGTTGAAAGTTTTTAAAGTTGAGTTGAAAGTTTTTCAAATTTTACTTAAAAAAAATAAATTTCGAGTTGAAAGTTTTCAAATCTGGATTTAAAATTTTGAAACTATGACTTCATATGTATATTTCTTTTTAATTTGTTAGTTAAAAAAATCTCACAGAAAAAATAAAACCTTATCTACTACCATCATTATTCTAAACTATTATTATCTAATATGCTAATAGATTAGTATAACAATTTATACCAAAAACGAGCGCTGACTACCGTTTTTTTGACAAATTGACCCTTTTCAAAAACTTAATTCGAAACTAACCCCTGCCGAAAACTTCAACCAAAACTAGGCCGTCGGCTCAGCGCCAAGCGCATTGGCGCTGAGGTTGGCCGTGTCAGCGCCAACGGGACTGGCGCTGACATTGTGCCACCGTGGCGGCCGGGCCGATCCCCTAGCTGACGTGGCAGCTACCTCAGCGCCAACCGCTTCGGCGCTGAGGTGCCCAACCTCAGCGCCAAGTAAGTTGGCGCTGACCTTGGCTACTTAGAGCCCGGCCGAGGCCGCCCCAGCCAGTTCTTCCTCCGTTTTTTCCCCAGCCGCCCGCCTAGGGTTCGGTCGCCACCGTGTTCTCCTCGCCCAATCTCCCCCAAAAACCTCTCTAATCGAAGGTGATTTGTGCGACATTGAGTTTGGGATCGGAAGAGAAGGTAAACCCCTCTATAAACCCTAAGTTCCCCAAAGTTTTATTGGATATTTTGCATTGTTTTGGTTGTAGACGTGGTTTGATAATAGTTGGCTAAGGATGGATTATTAGATGGATAATATGGGTGGGGATGAAGTGTGGAAGTGGCATATCTTTATCTATTTGGTTGTTATTGATACATTTGACAAAATATATTTGGAATGGATGTTTGGTGATGCACTAGGGTTTGATGGGAGATGGATGTGTGGTGATGGCCTAGGATGTGGGATGGATTTGTGGTGATTGAGAGGGTTTGAAAGGGGTTGATGTGTGGTGAAGGGTAGGTAATTTGTAGGAGTAGAGTTTTTTTTTTATAAATAATGTGTAGTATTTGAGTAATGTACTTATTTATTGGAAAAATTAGACATGTTGTTAGCTTTTGAAGTATTGGTATTGCAATGGTAATTACATATTATTTTCAAGTAATTAATGTTTATGCATGGGTTTAAAATTGTAGATGGATAGATTGGTCCGGCTTCATTATGGTGGTTGTGTGGTAGATGAAAGTACACATGGAAGCCAATTTGAGGGAATGACAGTTAGACAATTAGTGTTTTTTGCGAAGCCTACCTTTGAGGAGTTAATGTCTCGCATCAAGCATGAATTGGATTGGAATGATGAGTCGGTTGGTATGCAAGGGAGATACGATGTGGGCGGCGGTGTCATGTCACATAAATTTATGTTAGACTTGAATGGAGAGATCGAATGGCAAACATATATAGATATAGTATTGGGGTCACATTTCAAATCTCTTGAGGTGTTTGCATGGAAGAAAGATGGTAGGATAGGGAAGAAAGAACTTATAGAATCACCCATTAGCTGTCACGAACTGTCGGAGAGGTGTAGTAGGAAGGAAGAATTGATTGAGGAAGACGTGGAGGGGGGCGAGGGAGTAAATGATATGGCGGATGTGGAGGTCAGGGAAGAGAATGACCCGGTAAGGGAGGAAGTACATGCAGAGGAGAATGTGCCGTTAAGGGAAGAAGTACATGCAGAGGACAATGTGCCGTTAAGGGAGGAAGTTAATGTGGAGGAGAATGTGCCGGTAAGAGAGGAAGGAGATGTTGAGGATGGTCGGGAGGTAGGAGATGATGTGGAGTTGCCTGAGGAAGAAGCGAATGGTAAGAATGTAAGTATGGGCCTAAGGGAGTTGGCTAGGCTGAAATTCTATACCCGAGAGGAGTGTGAGGAGGCTATGATACGCAGTGGATTGAACCCAGGCTGGTTGGAGTATGATACAGAGGATGAATTGGATGAGTCCGCTTCCGACTCCGATGATGATCGTCCAGTGCGTAAGATGTCAGAGCATGAAAGGACTGTGTTTGCGAAACTGGTGGGTAGAAACCCGGAAATAACACAATTCGAGGATCTTACCAGATCTGGGCTAGCAATTGCTGATGGGGATCCACAATATGACGGTGCCTTCGAACCAATGTGTGATGAACCAAGGAAGGGGTTGGAGTTTCGATCGATGGATGATCTGAAAATATGGCTACAGAGTTATTCTATCCGTGTCCACCGGCCGTACCATGTGAAGGAATCTAATGCGTCAGTAAAGTATACTGTGGCTTGTCTCGATCGCCATTGCAAATGGCAGATTAATGCAAGGAAGAGTGGAGGAGATAGGTGGCGGGTGACTAGGGTGGGCGAAGACCACACATGCTGTAGTGCGGAAGTAACCGGCAAGCATTTGCAACTTACTTCAAGGTTTATTGGAAACAGGTTACAGGCATTTGTGCGAGCTGAACCAACTTTATCTCCAGCAGCGATTGTCGAGGCAGTTGAGCAAATATGGCACTATCGGCCTACGTATGGCAAAGCATGGCGTGCTAAGCAAGTTGCTATGAAGGTCATTTGGGGAGATTGGGACGAGGCGTATGTTCGCTTGCCTACACTGATGCGTGCCATCAAAGCAAAGAACCCTACCATGCATTTCCGTGTTGAGGCTCATCCCGAGAAGTCCAGGATGGTGGATGGAGTACAGAGGCGAGTATTTGGACGTGCATATTGGATATTTGGCCAGTCCATAGAAGCATTCAAGCACTTGAGGCCGGTGCTAGCAATTGATGGCACTTTCTTAACCGGTAAATACCAAGGTACATTGCTCACGGCAATAGGGGTCGACGCCGGGTTACATCTTGTTCCCTTAGCGTTTGCTCTGGTAGAGAAGGAGAATACATCCAACTGGGAGTGGTTCATCAACATGTTGAGAAACAAGTTGATCGGTCCTAATAGAGAAGTGTGTATAATTTCTGATAGACACCCTGGCATTTTTTCAATTACTAATGATTCCATTTTCATTTGCAGGATGGAGCACTTTCCGGGGTTGGAGGATTTCTACGAGGAGAAGCACCGGGCCCCACAGATTGCCAGCGGAGAGGTTAGCATCAACAATATTCCATTTTTTTTATGATCGAATTTATTTTTTCTTCTTTGATTTTAGTTTGTACAGATAGATCATCCATCATAGAGATATCTCAAATCAAAGTTCAGGAGCCTCAAAGCAGAGCATGTAAACACACAGATCTTCTTTTCAGTTTTCTTGCTCAATCCCAAAATTAAAGTTCCTAGTTGCATGATGTATTTTCCACAACCCTTGTATATGATATATTGTCGCTAACTTTATGTTATTATGTTTGTCTATTGATGCAGCGCTTGAAGACCCTTCGAGTCAGAGGTCACACGGCGCACATACTGTTCGACGACTGGTACGTCCCGTACCTACGGCGGGCGAAGCTCTTGGCGTTCGTGACCATGGCGCAGCGACCGGTGCCTCTGTACAACGCCGCTGCTCTGACGGCCCTAGTGGACCGGTGGCGTCCAGAGACACACACCTTCCACCTACCGTGCGGGGAGCTGACGGTCACTCTGGAGGACGTCACCATGATCCTGGGTCTTCCTATCCGGGGTCAGGCGGTCACAGGTGACACAGCGTCAGGGAATTACTAACGAGTCTTCGTATTCATTTGTTAATTTTTTTGCAATTACTAATGATTCCATTTAATTTCCGGTTACAGGTGACACAGCGTCGGGGAACTGGAGGGAGAGGGTCGAGGAGTACCTTGGTCTGGAGCCTCCAGTGGCACCTGATGGTCAGAGGCAGACGAAGACATCAGGGGTTCCTTTGAGTTGGTTGCGAGCCAACTTCGGTCAGTGTCCCGCTGAGGCAGACGAGGCTACAGTACAGCGATACTGCAGGGCGTACGTGCTGTACATCTTCGGCAGTATTCTGTTCCCTGACTCTGGTGGAGACATGGCTTCTTGGATGTGGCTGCCGTTGCTCGCGGACTGGGATGAGGCGGGTACCTTCAGCTGGGGGTCGGCTGCCCTAGCCTGGTTGTATCGGCAACTCTGTGATGCTTGCCGAAGGCAAGGCGGGGACGCGAACCTAGCAGGCTGTGTTTGGTTGCTACAGGTAAGTTCACGCATGTTATGTTTCATAACATTTCAATTTCTTGCTAACATGTTGGAAGCTAACGTATGTGACGCAGGTTTGGATGTGGATGAGGCTTCCAGTTGGTCGGCCCATGTGGAGGACCCATCAGGCTTGGCCGCACCAGGATGCAGACCGACGTCCCACTGTAGCTCACCTGTGGGAATCGGTCCCATCTCCAGTAGTAGGCCGCAGGAATTTGGCGTACTACCACTACACAAACGAGATGGACTACCTACAGCCAGAACATGTAAGCTATTCGGGGTTCTATCACACATGAAGATGGTTTCTTACTATATAGTACTAAATGTGCTTCAATGTGTTTTATTTTTGTTGCTGCAGGTGGTGTGGATGCCATATCAGGCACAGGAAGTGCTCGAGCTAGAACTAAATCCCATGTGCCATATAGAGGATGCGTTGAAGACCCTACGGTGCCCACTGATCTGCTTCTATGCAGTGGAGTTCCAGATGTGCCACCGCGTGATGCGGCAATTCGGGAGGCTTCAAACAATCCCGCACCGTTTCTCCACGAGTATCGACCTACACAAGTTAGTAATTTCACTTAACAATTTATTTTGCTTGCCCAATCAGTCACTTCAACATTTACTACATATTTGAGTTGGACATTTTGCATACGTGCAGGGTGGACCGTCGGAAGAACAAGAAGGTGACTGATTGGGCTTACTACCATCAGGATCATATCACGCAATGGGAGAAGTTCGAGGAGAATGGAGTACCAGACCAGGGTCAGCACAACGGGACGGAGTTCGACTTGTACTTGGCGTGGCTCCACAGGACCTACCGTCTTGTCCTACGTCCGGCTTGGACACTAGCCGACATAGCGGATGACCCCGAGGATGTTGAGGAGCAGAACGAGTACGATACTCGTACCCGTCTAGGTACCACGGTCGAGACGGGACCTGTTCGCGACAGAGTGGTTAGTTTCTAGCATTAATGTTGTATATTATTTCATTTCAATGCCATATATGTTGTGACTTACTTCATTTCAATCCTACAGGCTCGAGAGCTCTTGCGGACCGTCAACGACGCGGGAGTGGCGCTAGGCACGGCTCCTGGCTCCGAAGGAGAGGGCGGCACCCTCCGCAACGCCCTACAGGTAATCGTTGGAAAGAGATGAAACTACGGTGTTTTCTTCCAAAAGCGATAACTTAACATGGATTATTTTTTATGCAGAGACTACGGCAGCAATGTCGGAAGTTGGCAGCAAGGCTCGGCTGCAGGTCGACTGATGTGGTCGAACATGCTCATGCCCACCAAGAGGGGGATGAAGAAGGGGAGGTGGGTGACGAGGAGGGCGAGCAAGACAAAGAGGCGGAGGAAGGAGATGAGGAGGAAGAAGGGGATGAGGACAGAGAAGAGGAGGCGGATGAGCTCGGTCCCTCGCAGCTAGAGGACGCACCAGAGTCGTCACAGCCGGATATCTCGCAGCCCGGCCCGTCTCGACCATGACGCCGGCGGGCTCCTTCGCAGGACTGGAGGTACACCCCCGACGTGCCTCGTCCTCGCACTAGAGGTAGGAAGAGGTGAGTGCATGGTTCAATGGATGGATGGATAGATGGATGGACTTGATGCATGGTTCGATGGATGTATGGACTGGATGTATGGACTCGACTGGATGTATAGACGAGGATCGATGGGATGTTTTTATTTCTTATATATATGGACTTCATATATGGATGTATTGATGGATTCTATGGATGTATGGAATGATGTTGGGATTGATGGATGGATGTATGTTTTGTATGGTTCTCTGGATATATTACTGCCTGTAAATTTCTGTGATTTGATGTTTGCCTCTGTTGTGTGCAAAGTTTTGCTAAAGTTTAGCAGGGCTGGGACGTCAGCGCCATGCTAAATGGCGCTGACATGTCCAAACTCAGCGCCAGTGCACCTGGCGCTGAGGTCCCAGCCCAGCCATCCAGAAGGCTTGCTGGGCTGGGCCACGGCCGAAACGGCCAAGTCCCACCTCAGCGCCAGGTGGGCTGGCGCTGAGTTTCCAACAGTCAGCGCCATTATGACTGGCGCTGAGGTCCCAGCCCGCAAGCCATCCAGCAGGCTTGCTGGTCTAGGCCTTGGGGGTTGCGGCCAAGTCCCACCTCAGCGCCAGGTGGGCTGGCGCTGAGTGTCCCACTATCAGCGCCATTATGGCTGGCGCTGAGGTCCCAGCCCGCAAGCCATCCAGCAGGCTTGCTGGTCTGGGCCTTGGGGGTTGCGGCCAAGTCCCACCTCAGCGCCAGGTGGGCTGGCACTGAGTGTCCCATGGTCAGCGCCATTATGGCTGGCGCTGAGGTCCTAGCCCGCAAGCCATCCAGAAGGCTTGCTGGTCTGGGCCTTGGGGGTTGCGGCCAAGTCCCACCTCAGCGCCAGTCCGGTTGGCGCTGAGGTAGCTGCCACGTCAGCTGGGGATCGGCCCGGCCGCCACGGTGGCACAATGTCAGCGCCAGTCCCGTTGGCGTTGACACGGCCAACGTCAGCGCCAATGTGTTTGGCGCTGAGGCGACGGCCTATTTTTGGTTGAAGTTTTTGGCAGGGGTTAGTTTCGAAATAAGTTTTCCAAAAGGGTCAATTTGTCAAAAAAACGGCGCTGACTATGCCCGAACATACGGCAACCAAACAGACGGCACGGAAACATGGATACATGATGAGAATACAAGTCCTTCATGGCCCAGAAGCCCATATACAAAGTTTACAAACTCTTTGCCCTCTTTTACCTGTTTTCTTATTTATGCTGTATAAACCTAAGTTAATATCTAAACTGACAGTCTGATCTAATCTACAACGATACTAATCTAGACTGCATGCAAAGAGGTATGTCCATCTTAATCCATCTTATTTGGGCATCACAAACATATTCTTTGTTACGCTAGTCGCTTTTTTTTTTCCGTGCAATGTCTAAGAGTAAGACCATGTATTTAGCTCTTGTATTTTTTTATATTAGTATTTTAATATAAACTTTGCTTTGCAAAACATGTCATCATAAACTACTTCGCTTTGCAATTTATTTTAGTATGCATGTGGGCGGAGCGACACAAGGTAAATCTATCCATGTGGGACTAAATATACAGCAGTTAAACACTGGAGAAGTGTTTCATCGTACAACTATTGTACAAAACATATCGTACGTATAGCAGCCCTCGAAAGAGTAGAGCCAAACTCAATGGCATAGGCTGTATTTAGTTCCTAAAATTGAGAAAAAGTTTGAGGAAAGTTGATATTCCCCCATTTCACAATGTAAGTCATTCTAGCATTTCTCATATTTATATTGATGTTAATGAATCTAAGTAGATAACATCAATATAAATATGAGAAATGCTAGAATGACTTACATTGTGAAACGGAGAAAGTAGTTTGGAAAAAAAGTTAGAGTTTATGTGAGTAGGAAAATTTTGGATGTGATGTAATGTGATGGAAATTTGGAAGTTTGGAGAAAGTTTGGTGTGGAACTAAACAGGGCCATACATGTACCATGCATCAGGGTTAAATTTCACTCGAATTTCATCGACCAAATTTCGGTGCTCTCCCAAACCGCCGGCCTTTGTATCGAATCCCAAACTGAATTTCCTCGTTTCAAACGCGGGGTGGGGTGGGGGGGGGGGGGGGCTCGCATTTCAACCCAAGACGATATAAATGCAATCGCAACCGTCACCATGGAAAGCGGGCTCGCTAAAAAGCCCATTAAAAACCACGGGCCGGCCCATGCCCGATCCATATCCAGACCCAATACGAAGTTGGGCCAAGGCCCATGGCCTCGTGGGAGTCGGATCAAGGGTGGAGAAAAGCGCAACGCAGCGAGGCGTGTCCTTTCCAATACTCTCTCTCCTCCTCCTCCTCCACTCCGGCGACTCCTCCGCCGCATCCCGAGCAAGCAAGCCGCCGCCGCCGACGACCTAGCTCCCCGATCGCGGCCATGTCGAGGCGCGGCGACTGGGTCTACGAGAACAACGGCGGGTAAGCCCCCATACTCGATCCCCGCCCGCCGCCGTGGTTTCCTCCGGCTCTCGCTGACGACGGCCGCGGGTTGTTGTTGGTGTGTGTGTGCCTGCAGGACGTGCGTGGCCATCGCCGGCGCGGACTACTGCGTGGTGGCCGCCGATACCCGCCTTTCCGTCGGATACAACATCCTCACGCGCGACCACTCCAAGATCTGCGAGCTGTAAGTCCCGGCCGAATCGCGGCCCCCGATCTGCCCGCTTTGGGCTTAGGGTTTGTTGATTGGGAGGGCTGTGTGGGTTTGTGATGCGCTTGGGAGTCGAATTGGTTGGTGGGATGGGGGATGATTTGGTGATGGCTTTGGTTGATTTAGCTAGGGTTTGGTGGCTGGATTCTTGGGGGGTGGTTTGGGGAGATAAAGTAGGGTTTACTTGTCGTAAGGTCTTGATTGTAGTAATTTTAGGGCAACTATTTTTTAACTCGTGCAGTCTGTACACAACATGGTTTTACAGTATTGCAATTAAGGTACGATATGTAATCAGTAAATTTTCTTGATCCATAGAACAGAGACATTGTTGGGTAGTCGTGCTCGTGGGTTTAACTCCTAGTGTATGCTCATATTTTGTTTGAGTTTAGTGTTGCCCTTGTCTTAGGGTGTTCGATAGGCAGTGTTAGAACATTTATGTACACTATTTCATTCATCTATAGGAATGGTTTGTTCGAATGATTCACTGGGATATGAACATAGGCTGAGGAAATGAAAGCTTGTCGTTTTAAATTGCTGATGTTGTTTGTCTTTTGGGATTGTTTTACCATGCTTGGTGACCTCGGCTTACCTTTGTTCAGTGATTTTGAAAATCGATTTTCTTTTGGGTGGTACCTCTGTTTTTAGCACATAATCTTGCCAAGAGTGAGTGGCGATTTTACCTAATGTAGTCTCCATAAGCATGGTTTTGTGAAAAGGGTAGATAGCACTTACTGTACACTACATAACTACATACAAGTATAACTTAACATTGATGACTTCATTTAGTTGAGCCTTTTCCATGTTCTCAATTCTAGTCTGAATCTGGTCCAATAGAACCATACCATGTGATATTACTTTCTCCTGGAACTACTTGAGTTTCTTCTGTAGTTTCAAACTTGTTATAGAAACATGTTCAGAAAAGCTTTTATTGTTCCCTACTGTTAACTACGTGATAATACACAATTAGTTTATTAAGTCTACTGGTGATAATACGCTGCACTTCTCTAATACCCAATTAGTTTATTAAGTCTACTGGTGATAATACGCTGCACTTCTTTTATTTGGCATGGTTAGTTTGTGATTACACCGATATATTTTTGAGGTGCTATAGGTTACTTTCTTCTAAATTTATTATCTGCTTGCATGGAAGTTACTGAGCACCTTTAATCATGCCACTGCGTGTTACTCCCTCCGTTTCACAATGTAAGACTTTCTAGCATTGCCCATATACATATAGATGTTAATGAATCTAAACACATACATATGTCTAGATTCATTAACATCTAAATGAATGTGGGCAATGCTAGAAAGTCTTACATTGTGAAACGGAGGAAGTATTTTTTTTTGCGGGGAAAAAACGGAGGAAGTCTTGTTCTTTATTGCTATGACATTCCAATATGCTCGTTATCAATAATACAAAATTAAGACATTTTTTCTTTTTTTCGTGTTTAGAGCGGACAAATGCGCACTAGCATCTTCCGGCTTCCAAGGTGATATCAAAGCTCTGCACAAGAACTTGGCTGCCAGAGAATTGGTAAGTTCCCGAGCCATAACTTCTCCACTGTAACAGGGTTGTACTTTCGTTTAGACCTTTTGTTGTTATATCAATACAAGAAATGATAGTTGTTTATTGTGCACTTAATGCTGCTAGTATAATTTTTGATACTAAAGGCAGATGAACTGATTGACTTGCATCTTGCGTCAGAAATATATATTTTTTCTTTTGTTCCTTCTGTTTGCTTCTCTACGCAGCCTCCTAGCTGGTCAGCTGTTAGTTTCACAAATCAAACTTCCCTTTCGTCAGGAACTCTGTTAAGCTGGCTAGGCTGCAATTTATTGGCATTATTTGTTAGTAAAGAAGTTTATAGTTTTATACACTTGGAAGTGTTCAAGCTAATGCAAATATGCACTTCTGAATGTTCAGGATGCTCCCAGTATTGCTATCTAAATTATTGCTGCCCATTTGTTTTTGTAGCTGTACCAGCACCAGCACAATAAAAGGATGAGCTGCCCTGCCATGGCACAACTGCTCTCCAACACTCTGTACTACAAGCGATTCTTCCCATATTATGCTTTCAATGTACTTGGTGGGCTTGATAGTGAAGGTAAGGTGCAGATTTTTATTTATGTTTTTTCTCCTTTTCCAATTTATGTTTTATGTGTTTGTTGAAGCATATATATTTCTCTAATAGCTAATAAACACATATCTTATTTTCACAGGGAAAGGATGTGTTTTCACCTATGATGCAGTTGGGTCCTATGAGAGGACTGGCTACAGTGCACAGGGAACAGGATCTGCTTTGATCATGCCAGTGCTGGACAACCAACTAAAATCACCTAGTCCACTATTACTCCCTGCAAGAGTAAGGCACTGAAGTTTTACTAGTTTGTTACCTGGCATGTGCATTATGATTGATCATGTCATGTGATCATCTGGTTGATTTGACATGCAAGTTTATGTGCCACCCAGAAATAAGTGCTCAACTGCTGATTTGAATAGCTCCACTAGTCCTAAGAATATTTCTGATGCATGCAGGATGCCGTCACACCTTTGTCGGAGACAGAGGCGGTCGATTTAGTGAAGGATGTGTTTGCATCGGCAACTGAGAGGGACATCTACACTGTATGTTTCACCATCTCAGTACTGCAATCCCATCAGTAATGTGTTTCACACCGTCGTATTTGCCACTTTACTGACGCTCGAAGCATGCAAATATTGCAGGGTGATAAGCTGGAGATAGTTGTCATCAACAAAGCTGGGACGAAGCGAGAGTACATCGACCTGAGGAAGGACTAGATCGACGATTATGTTCTTCAGTTACCGCAAATTTGCATCAACAAATTTGCTTCGAACATTCTCCCTGATACGCCAGGGAATCATGCCCTGAACTTGATAGAAACGCCTGTGCTTTCTTGCTTCTATTCTGTACCAGGATTCTCCCAACCTGCTTTGTTGAACTAATCGCTGCCTTGATGCAAATGAGACCGAACATATTTATTGTCAGAAATATCACAATGGTCGATATGTTGAACTGTGCTTGTGTTTGCTCGATATTCGATATGTTTATTGACTAGGTTTGTTTATTTATTTTAGAATGGTGGTTCGTTTATTTTTGGACGGATTGGGAAGGCATGTGTTTCAGGACGGACAAAAATAAATCGCCGCTCTACTTGCTGATCTACTTTTACGCTGGCAACTAGCGAGTAGCGACCAGCCGTGCCTGCTTTGAGTACTTTGTTTTAATTCAGCCTAATCATGTTCTTCTGGGTTAATTCATCGTATTGTTATTGACTTATTGTGATGAATTATCTGGTACACGTCTCTAAAGTCTAAACTCAAACTTTCTCACTGTTATAAGCTTTTCTTTAAAGTTCTTTATTTAAACTATTAAATTTATTATTAAAATAGATAATAATTCGTGAAAACAATCCCTGCCACTGACAAGTGGGCCATACACACGACCGAACCTCTTCGTTTCCCATTCCCAGCGGCCGCCGATTACCCGAAGAACGTCACCTACCGCACTTCTACTCGCGCCGCCCCCCAAACACACCACCACCCAACACTATCGGAATTGGTTCGGGAGCAGGTCAAGCAGGAGGCATGGCGGCGGCGGCGGCGGCGAAGATAGCGCCGTCGATGCTCTCGTCGGACTTCGCCAACCTCGCCGCGGAGGCCGACCGCATGGTCCGCCTCGGCGCCGACTGGCTCCACATGGACATCATGGTAACGTGTGCGATCCCCCTCTCGCCTCGCCCCCCACCTTCTGATCCGCGCGAAAGCAGTGGCTCTAGTAGTATCCGGTTTCCCCCCCAAATCTTTTGACCGTGCGTGCCCTTTGGTTTGTAGGATGATTTGGTCAGGGTTAGGATTGAGCTTTAGCTTGGAGTTACCATGCACTTATATATGTGCTAAATCGCAGGAATCTGATAATATTTGTTCAAAATGACCTTTTGTTCGACATATCCTGTTTCATGTCTTACTGGAAAGTTAGTGTAGCATAGCTCATAGATGTTCAGAGCAAAGACTATGAGAGAATGTTATGTGTGCGTTAGTTTCTGTCTCTTCATTCTAACAGCCTGGTTTTCATGGTGACAATTTCAGTTAATCCTGATTTCTCTGGTGATCACGTTTCACTTCTTTTTTTCCTTTTCAAGAGGATTGTGTGTTATTGATTATGAATCGAAAATGCGAAGCTTGGCTTTTGCTGACCTATGGTTTCTTTCTCCATATGCTCTTGCAGGACGGGTGAGTTTATGTATTGCAAACACCAGAATATGATAGATCAATGGCGATTGAAGTGGTGGTGTTGTAGTGCTAAAGAACTAATTCACATATGCAGGCACTTTGTTCCTAATCTTACTATTGGAGCTCCAGTGATTCAGAGCTTGAGGAAGCACACCAAGTATGGTGGTGCTCTTTTACTCACCTTGTTAACTCTTGTTCCTATATGTACCTATAATGCTCACCATTCTGAAATTTTCTAGGGCATATTTGGACTGCCATCTTATGGTGACCAATCCTTCGGATTATGTAGAACCATTAGCAAAAGCTGGTGCCTCAGGTTTCACATTCCATATAGAAGTATCCAGAGGTAAATATATAATTGTTGAGAAGCAGTTAATGGTTTTCCTTGTCTTACGAAAAACCTGGTGCAGACAATTGGCAAGAACTCATCCAAAGTATCAAAGCAAAGGGTATGCGACCGGGTGTATCATTGAGGCCAGGCACTCCTGTGGAGGAAGTTTTTCCCCTGGTAATTGCTCAATATAACTTCTCTAGATCCCATGCTCTATTTCCACACGCAGTTCATAATTATGACATAAATGCCTTTCTTAACATATCCAATAAGTGCTCAAACTGGGAGTAAGCTTATGTTCATTTACACTCGAGCTGCGCAATTTGTTTCATTTATAGTTATCCTGTTCTCAGTATCCAGGCATATTCCCTCTGTAGTTCTGAATCTTAACTCTTGAACGGTGATCATGTACCAGTCCTGGTTGCTGTATATTCTGTACCACTCTAGTGGCAATATATTTTGCATGTTATTTCTTTGATTGGTAAATAAGCAAATCCTGTTCTTCCCATGTTCAGGCATAGCTAACTTCCCGTTCACTATATCCAGCATTACATGTCTGTTTTCTGCAGCATGACCTGCATCGAAGATCAAGAGACATTTGTTTAACAAAATAATGATCAGGTCTCAAGATACTTGTGATAAGGAGCTAGCAATTTACTGCCTAACCTTTTTTTCCTATTGAATTCATTATAATCATATTGTTGGCTAGCAACTTCACTCTCACTTATCTGAAACTGATTTCTGACAATGCTAGTTAAGGCTGTGGGCATATCTTGCTCTGTGAGTTTCACGCATCATCAATTGTTCTATTGATAACAAATTCTTCAGGTGGAGGCAGAAAATCCTGTTGAATTGGTTCTTGTTATGACAGTTGAACCTGGCTTTGGTGGTCAGAAGTTTATGCCAGAAATGATGGAAAAGGTATTATTACTGCATCAAGTGCCATTTAGTATTCCTGATTGTTTATAGTTTATACTGTATTTTTGTGTATCTATGTTTTACAACTATTCTGATCATTTTGAAACATGGTGCGTTAGGTGCGTGCCCTGAGAAAGAAGTACCCATCCCTTGACATCGAGGTACAATATGTTCTTCACAGTGTAGTGTGGTGCAATGTTATTTATGATTCTTGTCTAAAGCACACTGATTTAATCGTACAGACGCTCGGGGGCTATTTAGTTCCATTTTATCAAAACATATTCGTTTTTGTTTTTTGTTTTAGGTTGATGGTGGTCTGGGTCCTTCCACCATTGATGTGGCTGCATCTGCTGGGGCTAACTGCATTGTCGCTGGAAGCTCAATATTTGGAGCAGCTGAACCAGGAGAGGTCATATCGGCACTAAGGAAGAGCGTTGAAGGATCTCAGAACAAAAGCTGATCTGTGGTTTTGTACTCGGTTTCTATTGTAAACTAGGGCCACTCTGCACGTCTTCTTTACAGAGATCCCCAGATTGCACTACGTGAGCTGTTGAGAGATAATAAAATGTGCCCTTGGCAGTTGGCACTGATTCCAGTGTTACTAAATGTTAAAACTCTTGGGTCCGTTTTTGATGGACAAGTCACAAGTAAAGCTTAATGATACTTTGCATGATTTGCATCCTGCCCTGAATTTGTCAGTCTTTGTCTTCATATGTGGTCGCTGGGTGTTTCGGTTTGGATCCGATTCCTAACACGAGGTTTACATGAATCCCATCCCATACTGTTCAGAGGGAATAAGACATTGTGAATCCCATGGTTTATCTATCGATCTATCTATCTCCAAGGCTGGAGCATCTGCATAAATATGTGACATCAGACTTGTACGAATTCATCGTTCCATGTTTACCCTTTAAACTTTTGACAAATTTATATGAAAAAAAAACCACCAAATTCAAATGAGTTTTGCAGAAATCGAATCCTTTCGTCTCAAAATTATAACTACTTCTAGCATTCAAAATTTATCTCAAAATATAACTTCTTTATTAACAATCACTTTTCATTCAATTACAACCTTCCACCGTTTAATTCCCACTTACCTTTGTTTTTCAACCCATCATAATTTTCTCCTTTTAATTCTACCCACTGTCTTAGTAATTGTGTGTAAAATTAAAAATCCTTATATCTTAGAACGAAGATATGCAAACACTGTGGCACTGTGCCATTGACTCACTCGAATGAGAGAAACGCCCAGGGATCCTCTAGCTAACTCCACAAGATGATGATTTAGTTGGCTTGGGTTCAAAATCTCTCCCCTTCCACTTATTCAATATCAGATGCTTCCCTAGTATTCATGTTTTTTTTTACTACCTCCATCCCATAATACTTGTCGTTTTGAGTTTTTTTTAATGTTTGTTCATTCGTCTTATTTAAAAAATATAAAATTATTATTTATTTTATTTGTGACTTGATTTATCATAAAAGTATTTTAAGTATAACTTTTTTTTTATATTTGTATTAACGTTGCAAGAAAAAAAATAAAACTTTATTTACTGTGGGACGGAGGCAGTAACTCCCTCGAGTGAGACAGATCAATGACAGCCAGGTGGTCCAAATAGTGGAGCTCCAGGCTAGGAAGCATCTGTGCCTCATGTCCCCTGTCCACTGAACCGTACGCTTCCCCATCCCAACCACCCTAGACCCAGCTTTCATACACCTTCACATCCGGCCCCACCTGTCATACACCCGGTGTACAAACACCAGGTCCATGCAACCATCGGCCCCACCACAAAACCCGGCCCATTTTCCCCATCAAATTACTACTTATCCGAAATTCCCAAACTACATTTCTTTTTTTTTTTATTTTCGTTTTAAAAACCGATCGAGAGAGAGTGAGAGGCGAGCGAGAAGATCCCGACCAAAACCCGCGAAGGCAGCGAGATCGATCGGCGGCGGCGGCGGCGGGGAGATCATGCCGGAGAAGGCGGTGGACGACGTCATGGACTCGGCGGTGGGGGCGCACTTCAGCGGACTCCGCCTCGAGGCGCTCCGCCTCTCCTCCCCCTCCGCCCCGTCCTCCCCTTCCTCCGCCAAGGCGGCCGCGGCGGCGGCCGCCCACTCCAACGGCGCCGTCTACGCCAACGGCGTCGCCGCCGACGCCGCGGAGCTTGTGTCGCCATCCGCGCTCAGGCAGCCCTTCGTCATCGGTAGTAACTAATTCGAGCCCTTCCTCGTCGGCATTGTTTTTTGCTTGGTTTAGCCTCTGTTTGCGAGGATTTCTCTTGGATTTTTCAAGGGGTTTCGGGTGGGACGGCGTCGGGGAAGACGACGGTGTGCGACATGATCATCCAGCAGCTGCACGACCACCGTGTCGTGCTCGTCAACCAGGTGTGTGTGCCATCATTTTCTTCTATAGTTTCACATTGATCTGTGTTACTAGCTTAGCTGAACTCTGGGGTTGCATAATGCGGCATATGTGCTAAATCATGGACTGATAGTGATCAGGATTAGGAAATTTTCGAGTAGGTTTGATGTGTCCTTTAACCAGCTTACTAACGTGCTTCTGCCATTTCCCTACTACTTTTTGGAAAAGTAATCTGTTTAGATCTATTCTGCTAGATGAGTGTCTCTATGCATTCATCTTTCTTGCAATTCATTGCACCTAATGCTCATATTACAGCTGTGAAACTAAGCAATGAAACTGTTCACAACCTTATATTTTATATGAATGGAAAACATGGCATGAATGGACACGGGTAACTTGATGTCTGATCAGTTTTTCTGGGATATGCCTGAATGTTACCTCAAGTTGTGCTACCTCTAGCATGAATGCATTTAGGTCACTTACGGTAACTGGATGTTTGGGGGCATCCATTCAGGCACCACATGATCTAGAGGATGGGAATATCAGTTTGTGATAAATGCAACTCAAAATATTTATAGTTAGCAGAAATGTGGCACAACCATGTTTTCCATGGAATAGCAAAACACAGCTAAATGTGTATTGTCCACAGCTCCGTCCTGGCTCCACCCCCTTTGATGTTCTTCTCATGTTTATAAATCCAGAAACCGTTAGTCCAATTTATTTGGGAAATTATCTTCTTGGTGTCTGTGTGACAACCCATATGCCACATTGGTTAGTTGATCTTTCAACCAATAGTCCACCTGTAAATGATGCGTCATTAGTTACTTCAGTTTTTTTCCTGACAAGTCTTAGTGTCGTCTCGCTCCACCAGAAATGCTTTGAAGAGCCAGTAAATTTCATTTGGGTTTTAACTTGCAGGATTCCTTCTACCGTGGGTTAACTGCTGAAGAATCTGCACATGCCCAAGATTACAACTTTGATCACCCTGGTACTTGACTTGTCGTTTGGATGGAATTACACTCCCTGTTTTAGTGATCAGAGCCTGAGTTGGCATTCTTTTGTTTCTAATGTGAACAAAAATATCTTTGCTTGCAGATGCATTTGACACAGAGCAGCTTCTGGAATGCATGGGGCAGCTAAAACGGGCACAGCCTGTAAATGTTCCTATATATGATTTTAAGAATCACCGACGGTCCTCTGAAAGCTTTAGAAAGGTAGTTCTGTGAGCTTTTAATCTAGGTTTCAAGTCATTGGCCTTTTGAATAACATTGAATAGTTGTTGCTTTCCCCCCTAATCTCTCTGCAATGATATGACCATTTATAGCTGATATATGCCCTTTGTACATGAAAAAAAAGAAAATTGACAACATTGCATTTTGTTTCGAATGTTACTGTGCACATTTGTTAATTTTTCTTGATGTATTTTCATGATTCCTTATTAACAGTTAAGCGAATAAACTGCAATGTTGCTTATTAAATGACTGATAAAATTTTGTTTTGCTAGGTCAATGCATCAGATGTCATTATATTAGAGGGCATTTTAGTCTTCCATGATCAAAGAGTTCGCAATCTGATGGACATGAAAATTTTTGTGGACACAGGTTTCTCATTTTCATTATTATGTTGGGTTTGCCTTGAACTGCTTCCTGTTATTAGCTGGAATATTTGTTCACTTCTTTTTTGGGTGCCCATGATGCATCCAATCAGATGCTGATATTAGGCTAGCTCGACGAATAAGGCGTGATACAGTTGAAAGAGGTAGAGATGTTAGCTCGGTGCTTGAGCAGGTACTTCAACTTGTTTTATTTTGCGTTTTTATATTAATATTGTTCTTGTGCTTTGTAAACAGATTTTTGTCTTTTTACCTTTCTGATTTCAATTTTTCTACATATATAATTTGAAATTCTGTTGGCATCTGTAGTATGGCAGGTTTGTGAAGCCAGCATTTGATGATTTTGTTCTCCCTTCGAAAAAATATGCCGACGTGATCATACCACGAGGAGGTGATAATCATGTGGCAATTGACCTGATTGTTCAACATATTCGTACTAAGCTTGGTCAGCATGACTTGTGCAAAATCTATCCACATGTTTATGTGGTTCAAACAACATTCCAGGTTAGATTATTTGCACTTATCTTTAAACTTTATGCTTTTCTTTGCTAAATTTCATAATATTCTTCTACTTTTCATGGTGAATTCAACAGATCCGAGGAATGCATACTCTGATTCGTGACAGGGACATCACTACACCTGACTTTGTCTTTTATTCAGATCGGTTGATCCGTTTGGTACTACTTTTGTATATATAGCTTTTATAACTTCTCTTTAACTTCATAATTTTTTTTTAAAAGATCCAGATTTTGAATTGATTCAACTCATTTGCTATTGGTATGGAAATGCCATGTCAGGTAGTTGAGCACGGACTGGGGCATTTGCCATTTACAGAAAAGCAGATTATTACTCCAACAGGTATTTTCAAATGGTACCACATATTTTTGGTTTCATTCTTTTTCAGTTGTTTAACAGTGTTACAAATTATTCCTACAAAAGACTGAAAAGAGAGCGCACATAACCCATCCTGCCATCAAAACGGCTCCATCCCACTGTGATGCAGGGGGTGCACGGTTTCATTCTGGTTGCTAATGCTAATATTGTTTTATATCATAAGTTCTGAACTGGTGTGAATCCACCTACGAAAAGGAGTTTTTTTAATTGTTCATAGTTGTAAGACAACTGATTCAAATTTGACTAGTGTGCTACATAACAATTCTCTAAAATCACCCAAAAATTTGTTGAGAAAAAAATTTAGGATTGATGCTGCAGATGTGGCCTGCAGCTGGGACTCGTTGTTATGGAGAACCATTACTTAATTAATTCTGCTGCTGCAGACCTTTGGAATTAGCTACTTTCATATGCTTCTGAAATTTTCCCTTCGACGTAGGAGTAGCAATTTATGGTTGGCTGCAAACAGGTTTTTAGGGGTCTGATTTAGTGCAAATAGAAAAACAGCATACCTAGAACTTCCCAACAAGTTTGCTACATGATACTCTGCATGCCGTACCTCTATGCATTTAGTATTTGAAATTAGCTAGCTCTACAATGCTTTCCTTTTTCAGAACATCAACTCATGCATGTATAATTTGTTTCTTCTGGGTCTAGGGTCCATTTATATGGGAGTTGAATTTTGCAAGAAGCTCTGTGGAGTGTCTATTGTCCGAAGGTACGTTATGAAATGATGAAGTAATTAGCAAACTAAAAATTCAAGCAGACAACATTGGCAGGTGCATTTTGAAGGATGGCTGCATACTGAATTGACTCTGTCCAACAGCAATTTTCTGGATCCTTGTGTTGAGATGCTACCTTAGAACTCAAGATTATTTGTTATTAGTAGAATTTTACATTATACTTTGTTTTGTATTGGATTTTGGAACCTCTTCCTTTATGTATGTTATGTGTTCTGTAACATTTTTTTCTAGGTCAGACTAGTGCATTTATCGATCTTCATGGTACCATGCATCATGTCCCAATTTTTAACTCCAAATTACTTTTTTCCTGTCATTCTTCCGTAATGTCGTGAAATATTAGTATTACAGAAGATATTTCAACATCTTTTCATTAACATGTATCATTGTATTGCAGTGGTGAAAGTATGGAGAATGCATTGCGTGCTTGTTGTAAAGGAATAAAAATTGGCAAGATTCTAATACATCGTGTTGGAGACAATGGACAGCAAGTAAGTACATAGATTTTATGATTAATGATTATTGAAAAAGGATCCTCAGAATGACTTAGTTCATATAGTTTGAATAGTTATTATTCACTTTGCCATTGCAGCTTATATACCATAAACTGCCCATGGATATTGCTGAACGGCATGTTCTTCTTTTGGATCCAGTGCTTGGTACAGGTCAGTTTTGCATGGTCTCTCTATATGTATTTTCATTCATTTGTTGGAACTTAAGCTAACTGACTTGTGAACCACTGATCATGGACGACATTGCCTTTGCTATGCATGCCTGCACTTATATATCTTGCATTTATCCAGAAGCTTTTCTGGACATTGGAAGATATTATTGCCTATTGGTTTCCCTGTTGGGAACACCTTGATTTTTTTTAAAAAAGTATAAGGCAAGTATGAATCATTAGTCCATGATTATGTTCTGAATGAATGAACAATCAAAGACTGCTGCTGCTGCAATGTTTGGCTAGATGCTCCACCAGCTTTAGGCCATCTGCAATTTTATTCATAGCGCCAGTATCTGACACTACTTTATAACTGAGTGTCCTTCATCGTTGTTTTGTACTCCGTAGGTAACTCAGCAAATCAAGCTATTGAGCTTCTGATAAGAAAAGGTGTTCCAGAGGAGCGAATCATATTTCTCAATCTTATCTCGGTAAATCCATTAACATACTAAACTAACTGTTCTGTTGCTCTCCGCCCTATTTTAGTTTTAACTGGATCTGTCTACCTTTATTTGTAAACAGGCTCCTGAGGGAATTCAGTGCGTCTGCAAGCGATTTCCGAGGCTGAAGATTGTAACCTCCGAGATCGACACCGGGTTGAGCGAGGAATACAGGGTAATCCCAGGGTTGGGAGAGTACGGTGACCGCTACTTCGGCACAGATAATTGATGCTTCCATAGCAATCGCTGGAGGTGTTGCTCCCTGGAGAAGGATCATGCATCGGAAGCAACATTTCATACCATGATGAAACTATGTGGATGAGTCTTAGCTGTTGTATTTGGCTGCAGTGCAGTACTACATCGTTTGTCAAATTGGTATGCGAGGTAACATGTCAGAGAAATTGGTATGAACCCGGGCGGCCGAAAGAAAAGTATGGTGTACATCTGTAGCTGTTGTTTAGCCTCCAAAAACCAGAACCATGGCGTTAACGGAGGGCAATGCAAATTGTGTGCTAATCGTGATTGTTTGTTTTGAGCCCTTTTTTTTCGTTCAGATGTGTACTGCATGTCTGCATTCCTTGCTGGGAATGCAAGAAATGAGATCTGCCTGCAAGCGCATTCTAATAAGACTGTTCGAATGTAACAGAACAACTAACATGATAAATTAAATATTAGTTAATTTTTTTTAAAAGTATTTTTTCTTCAGGAACTTATTCCTTTTTAAAAAGTGTACTGTTCAGCCGTTTGAGAAAAAACGCTTCTCAAGAGTCAATTCGTTTGAGACTTGGAGAGGTGTACATTTGGCTGCAGCTTTGACGTTAAAGCTTCACAAACGAGTCGTTAACGGGTTCAGGCGAGTATTTTGCCGCGTATGGAATATAGGCCGCACGTGGACCGTAATCCGTCAAAGGGCGTTTTGGATTGAAACCAAAATATGATCGTACTAAAATTTTAGTAACTTTAATAGTAAACATGCTAGTTTGGATTGACGCTAAACAATTAGTAGTGCCCATGCTTAATTTGGCTATACTCTAGAATTTTCTTCACCCATATTAAATTTTGGCTTTTTATTGGTATTAAACCAAACATAGGTGGTGTTTGAATCTCCTGAAGATGAAGTGTTTCACGTAAAACGAGATTGTAATAATGTATGATTAATTGAGTTTTAATTATTATAAACTTGAAAAATGGATTAATTGTAATAACGTATGATTAATTGAGTTTTAATTATTATAAACTTGAAAAATGGATTAATCTGGTATTTTAGAACAACTTTCATATAGAAAGTTTCCGCACAAAACGTACCGTTTATTAGTTTGAAAAGCGTGCAACTTTAATCTAAAATTTAATCCACACTTTTCAGGACTAACGAACGGGGCCTATATAGACTAGCTAACTTTGCCCTATCAAAAAAAAATTGGTAGTGGCACTACCAATTAATTGGTAGGGTAGAGAACCAAATAGACCCAAAAGCCCAAATAATTTCGGCCAGATACACAACTGCAATCACGTTATGCCCTAAATAGTGTGGGCTGCCCGTTCCAGCCCATACAATATAGCTGCACTTGCGCTGCAAATCCGTCCCAATCCAACCAGAGTCTGTACGAATCAAGGCGAGGAGGGGTTCGGACTTCGGAGATTTATGCCCCGAACCCCTGTGAGGGCCATCAACCGTACGATCCACATTGTGCGGCACAGATCGAAGCGGTAGAGGTTGCGTCGCGAGCTTTTGCGCCGTACTCCCTCCGTCAAAAAAAAGACAAATCTTGGTTTCCATGTCCAACATTTTACCGTCCGTCTTATTTAAAAAAATTATGAAAAAAAATAAAAAGATAAGTCACGCATAAAATATTAATCATGTTTTATCATCTAACAATAATGAAAATACTAATTACGGGATAGTCAAATGTTGGACACGGAAACCCAGGTTTATCTTTTTTTTGTCGGAGGGAGTAGGATAAGGAGGAGTTCGGAGATTTATTCTCCGTACCCCTAACATAGGCTTACAGCCGTCAGATCCATCTTGCACGGTGCAGATCGGCGCGGGAGAAAGGGCGTCGCGACATTTGCATATAGGACCCTAGAATTGTTGAATATTACCATTTGCCCCTCGGAGGATAGGTAACCCAGAACTGGGCCTACATTACCGTCCGATCTAAATCGTGCGGTCAAGATCGAGGTAGGAGAGACGTTTCAGATTTTATAGCAAAGCCTTGAGAAAATCACGTAGATTATCTGCGTCGTTAGTTCGGGATAAAATTTCAAACGAAACTAACCAGAATAACCAGATGCCTAACGACTAACGACACGAATTTCATCCAAACTTTTAGCAAAATCCCTATAAATTCGTGACCTGCAAAGCCTCCAACCTCCTCCTCCTCCCCGCCATAGTTTTCTTCTTCAAGCCTCGCCGTGTGTTCGCCGGCGAGCAGAGAGGACGATGGGCGCCGCGCGCGGCGTGCTCCAGGCGGCGCTTCTCCTCGCCGCCGCCGCCGCTGCCTTCTTGCTGGTGAGCCCCGCGGCGGCGGCGGCGGTGAACTCGACGTCGGCGACGCTGGACAACATCCAGCCGCTCTCGACGCTCAACATGGCCGCCGCGCGCGTCGCCATGGACGCCGGCTCCGCCATCCGCGCCTCGCCGGAGCTCCTCGGCACCAACGTGAGTATCACACAGCCTCGCGCAATGCAAGCTTATGAGATCTCTGAATCTCACCTGTTTTTCTTCTCGCCGGCGGCCGGCAGGGCGAGGATTCGGCCTGGGTCACCGTCAACTTCACGACGCCGGCGCCCACCGACGGCCACTGGATCGCGCTCTTCTCCCCTGCCGATTTCGAGTAAACTCGTTATCCATCTCAAGATCAAGATCGATCAACTGAACATTGTTAGCTTCAAATTTCCTAATCCAATCTGACGACCCCTCCACTCTGTGTGTGATGCTGCAGTTTGATCATGGGAGGGAAGCAGAGCAGTAGCAGAATCAATGCAGCAGGTGAAGATGAAGCACCTGCTGGATTACCCATCGCTCCCATCAAGGTTGGTGATTACTTGCTCCGGCATGATAATACTGGCCCTTTTAGACATGGGCGAGATCAAACTTTAGAATCTTTAATTATGAATCATTTTTAATATATTTAAAGGTGAGGTCAAACTTTATAATTTTTTATTATGAATCATTTTTAATATATTTGTCTTTTAAATATGGTGACTACATATATAGATTAGTCCTAAAAATACTGTAATAAAATCATATATTTGTTAACACTTTTATACATATTATAATTAAAAATAATGGTCAAAGTTATTTTTCGAAGACCGTGCTCTTGTCCAAAACGATAAATATTATCAACCCGGAGGGAGTAGTAGGGGGGAAGAAAAACAAGATGTATATTCTGATACAGATTGTGTGTACATCTCAATGGCTGGATGACATTGATTGTTTTGATTGTTTTTGTTGTCTGTTTCATCAGTACAAGTTTGCTAACATCTCGCCGAGTTTCATGAGCTCCGGCAGCGGCGACACCAGCTTTCTTCTGATCAACCAGCGCTACGATTATGCTTTCGGGCTGTTCTCCGGTGGCAAGGACAATGTGAGTTCAGATTTACACTGCATGACTTTAGAACATTGGAACTATGATTAGGATTTGATCTTCTTTGCTGAAAAACAGCAGCTAGGAGCTAGGATAATGTAGCTAATTGTATGATTCTTTTGCAGCCTAAACTCGTTGCAGTTTCAAACAAGATCTCTTTCGCCAACCCGAAAGCTCCAGTCTTCCCTCGTCTCTCACAAGGAAAAGGATGGAATGAGGTGAGTTTGCATAATTTGCATAAATTTTTAGTTGGTTTCTTGATGTAATTGGTGTTCATAACAGATGGCTGTGACATGGACAAGTGGTTACAACGTTGATGAAGCTTACCCCTTTGTGGAGTGGACAATGAACGAGAAGGAGAATGCTAGAGCTAGACGGTCGCCGGCCGACACCCTCACCTTCACAAGAAACCATTTGTGTGGTAAAGTTCAGAGCAACTTACTGAAAAAACATCCAAATCATGTTAAAAAAAACTTTTACATATAGTACAAAAGCTCAATTCAGAATTACAGGTAAGTTGACTCTGTTTTGCTGGAAAAATTTTCAGGTAAACCAGCTAATGCAGAAGGTTACAGAGACCCAGGCTTCATCCACACAGCTTTCCTGAAGAACTTGTGGCCAAACAGGGAGTAAGAACACTGAGAGAACATGCATTGAGCTTCTCAGCAACAATTTTAATTTACAATATTCATGTAATTTTCATGCTTTTGTTTTAGGTATTCTTATCAGATTGGGCACGAGCTACTAGACGGAACTATAGTATGGGGCAAGTCGTCCACCTTCCGTGCATCACCTTCCCCTGGACAAGCTTCACTCCAGCGAATTGTCATTTTCGGAGACATGGGACTCGTAAGAATTTCATCAAACTTGTGCACATTCTGATGACAATGTTCACATTTTATTTGAAAATGCGTGCTGATCTGTTTCCATATGTTGTAGACTTGTAATATGCTTTAAATTTTAAATTTAAAGTGTAGCAGCTAAGAGTTTCTGTTTAAATTTAATTCTGAGATGCGCTCATAGCGTTGTGGCAGGAGTTGCCGGCATGCACCTTTTTTTTTTGCGAACGCGCAAAAGGATTGCACGTCAATATATTAGAAGAATATAGTTTTTGTTACATGACGCACTCAGCCAGACCGGCCTATGCCAAGGAAGGAAGAAAATAAAGATAAAAAAAACAAGGAAGAAAAACCATTGATTCGATTCTTGTTGAGCACGCTCACTAGGAATATTTGCTTCTCCTTGAAACCATTAAAACCATTGACACTAAGTCATTCCTTGGTGTCTAACTTTAAATTTAAACCTAAAGTGTAGTATCTAAGAGTTCCTTTTTAAATTTAAATTTGAAGTGTAGAAGCTAAGAGTTTCTGTTTAAATTTAAATTTAAATTTAATACGTAGTGGCTAAGAGTTTCTGTTTAAATTTAAAATATACTGTCTATACATGTTTTTTTTTGTGTAAATTTGAATTTGGAGTGTATTGGCTGAGTTTTTTTTTTTTTGTTGGGACAGGGGCAAAGTGATGGGAGCAATGAGCTCGCCGGATTTCAGCCGGGGGCGCAGGTGACGACGGAGCGGCTGATCAAGGACCTGCCCAACTACGACGCCGTCTTCCACATCGGCGACCTCTCCTACGCCAATGGCTTCCTGGCGCAGTGGGACCAGTTCACGGCGCAGATCTCGCCGGTCGCCTCCCGGGTGCCCTACATGGTGGCGAGCGGCAACCACGAGCGCACGTCCCGGGACACCGGCGGCTTCTACGGCGGCGACGACTCGCACGGCGAGTGCGGCGTCCCCGCGGAGACCTACTTCCGCGCGCCGGCGGCGGCGAACCGCGGCAAGCCCTGGTACGCCGCCGACCACGGCATGTTCCGCTTCTGCGTCGGCGACACGGAGCACGACTGGCGCCCCGGCACGGCGCAGCACGCGTTCCTGGACGGTTGCTTCGCGGCGGCGGACCGTAAGCACCAGCCGTGGCTGGTGTTCGCCGCGCACCGCCCGCTCGGCTACTCGTCGAACGAGTACTACGCCAGGGAGGGCTCCTTCTCGGAGCCCATGGGGCGGACGCTGCAGCCGCTGTGGCAGAAGCACCGCGTCGACCTCGCCGTCTACGGCCACGTCCACAACTACGAGCGGACGTGCCCGGTCTACGAGAACACCTGCACGGCGGCGCCGGCGGCGGCGGGGGGCGGCGGGAACGGGAGCTCGCCGGCGGCGGCGTACACCGGCGCGCTGGGCGGCACGATCCACGTCGTGGCCGGCACGGGCGGCGCCAGGCTGAGGGGGTACGCCGGCGGCGAGTGGCCGCAGTGGAGCGCGGCGAGGAGCGAGAGCTACGGGTACGTGAAGCTCACGGCGCGCGACCACTCGCGGCTGGAGCTCGAGTTCATCCGCAGCGACGACGGCGAGGTGCTCGACGCGTTCTCCATCACCAGGGGCTACAAGGACGTGCTCGCCTGCGCCGTCGACGCCTGCGACCCCCACACCTTGGCCAACTAACTAATCGTCGCCTCACCAAATTCAAATTAAAAATTTGAATTTCACATGAACATGGAGTAGATCAGTAGGAAAACTGTTCATATTATAATGAATTAGCTGACTGAGTTGTGAATTCTACGAGGTAATTAAGGATTTAATTGTTTGATTATATATATATATATATATATATATATATATATATATATATATATATATATATATATATATATATATATATATATATTTCTAAATATTTTAATTATAGTTCACTGGGTTGTGAATTCCTCTTGCCCCGATCCAACCAAAACCAGTACGAGTCGAGGCGAGGAGGGGTTCGGAGATTTATTCGCCGAACCCCCTTGAGGGCCATGAACCGTCCGATCCACATTGTGCGGTGCGGATCAAGCCCGGAGAGGTGGGGATCTGCTTCGTTTGCATTCAAATTTGAAAATAACTTGTTTAATTTTCAGACGAGGAGTAATTAAGGATTTAAAACACATAATTTTGTAACATTTCTTTATTTGACTTAATTTCGAAATATTTCGCAATTCAATTTACACACGATTGACAAGTCAAGATTACAGACGAGGCCCGCAAGCACCACCAAGCAGCAATAGTGCACACGTCGCCGGCAGACTCGCCGGCGGAATCACCGGAGCTGGATCACGTCGCCGGCGGGATGGTCGGCGGGCAGCTGTCGGCGACGCAGGCGAGCACGTCGCGGTACTCCCGGTGGACGGTGAAGCTGTCGTGCACCTCGCCGTCGCTGGACCGCCTGTACTCGTAGAGCAGCGACGTGTAGTTGAACGCCGTGAGCTTGACGAAGCCGTAGTCCATCTCCCTGTACACGCTCCACGGCGGCGCCTCGGCGGTGAAGTTGCTCAGGTGGCTGCCGCCGCCGCCGACCACCGCGTGGATGGTGCCGCCCACCGCGCCGGAGTAGCGCGACCTCTCCGGCGACGCGCACCGCCCGTCGTAGACCGGGCACGTCCGCTCGTAGTTGTGGACGTGGCCGTAGAAGGCGAGGTCGACGCGGTGCCGCTGCCATAGCCTCTGGAGGCTCTGCCTTGCCGTCGGCTCCGCGAAGGCGCCGCCGGCGCCGTAGAAGAAGCCCGAGGAGTAGCCGAGGACGCGGTGCGCGATGAACACCAGCCATGGCTGCTTCTTCCGGTCCACCGTGGCGAGGCAGCTCTCGATGAACGCGTACTGCTCCGTGCCTTCCCGCCAGTCGTGCTCGCTGTCCGCCACGCAGAATCTGAACATCCCGTAGTCCGTCTTGTACCTGCCCAACAAAGTTCAGAACAAATTTCGAATATTTTAAATTTTAGCAAAAAAAATAAAAGATTGTTTGTTCAAAATTCAGGCATTCCGGTCTACAATGGCAACCAGTTGACAGCAGGGTTCACAATTTCGGAATGAAAATTTCAGGTCGGTGGATCCCAGTAGGACGTGCAGAGTCCGCAAAACTGAACTGCTTTCTGAAACGGTTTCCCCTATTTTTTTTTCATGAAATCCGTTGACTACCGATGAAATTTGACCAAATTTTGCCAACAAAATTCAGATTTAGTTTGAACTTTTTGAGCATCACCGAGCCAGTTTGTGATCTCGACCTTACTCGAAACATCCGGTTTTCAAAAACAAAAATGCCTTTTCTGTTGGTTTTATAAACTAAGAATGTGCCTCCAACTAAAATTTAGAAAAAAATATTCAAAATTCAGTACAAACGTATTCAATTTTTTTTTAAAAAAATGGAAATTGAAATTTGAGTTGATTATATATACAGAGAGAGTCTGAGACTTACCAGTAGTTTGCCCTGTTCTCTGTGGGTGTGTAGTACATGGTCTCAGCAAGCACCCCACACTCCCCTCCAGAATCTGTCCCATTGAAGAAAGATCCACTGTTTGGCCAATCCCGTTCATGGTTTCCACTGAATCAAACCAATCGTATCAAACATGTTAGTAATTATCATAGAATTAGTTAACCGGCTTGGAGATTTAATAAACCAAAGATGTTCATCAAGAAAGACCTTGCAATCATGTAGGGGACTCGAGCAGTGATCGGCTCGACTTGCTGAGTGAACTGATCCCACTGGGAAATGTACCCGTTGGCATAGGTAATGTCACCGATGTGAAATACAATGTCGATGTTGTCAAGGTCCTTGATCAGTGTGTCAGTTGTGTTCAGTGATCCAGGCTGGTAGTTGCTGTACTCGTTGCTTCCATCCCTCTCGGCCTGCAAGTGATAAAACCATGTGAATTCAGAAGAAACATGAGGTAGTTTTGCTTCAGGACTGAGCTAAGCAGTGAACTTAAAAGTTTAACTAAATCTTGTCCCAAACGATAAATATTTTTGACCAGAGGGAGTAATTATTTTTGAAGGAGAGAGTACTAAAACTATCGATACATTTTGCGCTGGTGTATATTTTACCTTTCCCATATCACCAAAAATGACAACCCTCTGCAGTGACTTTTGCCCAGGAAAAGGAGGTGCTTTGAAGGAGTAAAATTTGCCCCATACAATTTTTCCATCAGGTAGCATATGTCCAATCTTGTAATAGTATCTAGCAGGAAAAATGGCATAGTCAGAAGACCAGTATTCACAATTGAAAAAAAATGTTGATAGAGCCATAGGAAGTAATTTACTCTTTATTTGGCCATAAATCAGTCAGGAATGCTGTGTGTATGAAACCTGGATCTCTCCAACCAACAGTACGGGCAGGTTCTCCTGCACAAGCAAAAACTACTGTGAGGAACACAATGTACTAACTTCAGACAATTTAAACCACATCAGGGCATCAAGATTGGACATCTAGGATTGTGTAATTTTGACATTTTTGCAAGCTCCTCACAAATTTCATGCTATTATATGCATATACAGAAGATAATGCATAAAAGGGATCTTTTATACGGTCCATACCGCATAAGCTTTCGCGATCAAAAGTGACGGTGCCAGCTGCTGTGCGCGTAGGAGGGCTCCATTTCATGCCCCATTCAACAAAGGGATATGCCTCTTTGATGTCATAACCACTAGTCCATGTGACAGTCATCTAGCAAGACAAAGCAACAAATTCTTCAGAGATTTGACGTTTTAAGCTAGGATGCATCTCATATTAGATCTGTATATCTAGATTTGCAAATGTGAGTCAGAGAGAAGAGGATGATTTGCAAATGTGAGTCAGAGAGAAGAAGATAATTCACCTCATTCCAGGATTTGCCTTGAGCTAGACGAGGGTAAACCGGAGCTTTCGGGTTTGCGAAGGCGATCTTATTTGATACTGCGATAAGCTTTGGCTGGAAATGAAATACATTAAGTCAGTTGCCATTTCTTTAGTAATAAGGACTGGATAAAATTACAATGTGAATTATCTAAAAAAAAATTACAATGTGATGTTTTGAACTCACATTTGAGAGACCACCAGTGAACAGTGCAAAGGAGAAGTCCTGCCTCTGATTGATCAACTGAAACTTGAGAGTGCCTTTTCCTGTCTTGCCATAATCTGAAGAATAATTTGCAAGCTGATACTGAAACCAGACATACAAAAAAAATCAGTTTAGGAGTTCATTTGCAGAACTTTTACAAACATGATGCTATTATTCCTACAAACCTTTATTGGTGCAGAGCATATAACAGGTCCTGAGTCTGATCCAGAAGGACCGGGGCATGTGGACGCGCTGCAGGAAAGTGCAAGAGTTCATCAGATCATGGTCATTGTGATTGTAATCTACAAACTCACATCACATGGTCTCACTATTCAAATTTTGAAATCCATGGCAAATATACTTGTTTCATACTTGAAATTTGAAGGAGAGAATACTCCGATCCAATCGCCGTCACTCGCATGCGGAGCTGCGAAATCAACAGTTACCCAGGCAGTATCTTCCCCCTGTATCCACAACAGTGTCAGATAAACAATGGAAATGGGTCAAAGAAATCCTGATTTTCTTTTTACGAGGAGACAAATCTTGATTCGATCACATCGAATACCAATAGGAGCAACAATAATTTAAGATAAAAACGAAATGGGATCAATCATGCAGATCGTAGTGCATCAAAACCGTACACTGACAAATGGAAAGTCGAAGCAAATACCATTTGACCCTATCAGGCGTGGGAAGCAATTCCATGTGGCCTGTGACCACACTAGCAATCTAGCACAAGCATGGGCAATACACTCAAACCCATCCACCAATCAATCAATCAATCAATTTCGAAGAATATCCATGGTACATTTCGCCACTAAAAACATGGCATCACTACTAAAATTGGAATTTTGAAGAAATTGGACGATGTGACGGAAAGTTGAAAATTTATGTGTGTAGGAAAGTTCGATGTAATAGAAAAGTTAGAAGTTTGAAGAAAAATGTTGGAATCTAAACAGGGCCCCGATCCCCAGCTTTTGTTCATGACTCATGCAGAGGCTAGTGATGTAATCATCTTCTCCATTTTTTTTAAAAAAAAAAGAAAATCCAATCTGGCGAGAGGAAGAACGATTGATATCATTAGGAGATGTTTGAGATATTGAGAAATTTGATTTCGTTCCGAACTGCAACGGCGACGGCGATTGGCTTATCTATCCAAATTTTGTACGGTTCATCGCGCAAACACGTCGTCGTCTCTCCTCGCCGCGCCAAACACAACGGCGAGCTGAGCTAAGACGAAACCGGCCGGCGAACCACCGCCGGAGCTCGGGATTCCGGCGAGCAGGGCGAAGAGACGAGTGTGTACCTACCTTGACACCGAGAAGCCGAGGCGACGCTTGCACGGAAGCCGCGGCGTCGATGCCGACCGTCGCGCGGTGGATGCCGATCAGCGACAGCGGCTGCTCGCCGATCCTGGAATACGACGACGACGACGACGACGAGGAGAACGCCCACACGCCGCCGCCGCCGCCCGCCGCGGCGGCGGCGAGGAGCACGAGGAAGAGGAGGAGAATCCCACCCAGCGGCATCGCCATTGCCACTCGCACGCACTCTTTGGCGGTATCCCGATTGACCGAGCTCGCTCGCCGAACTAGTTTGTTGGTTTGCTCTCGTGAGAGAGGCCGGCCCCGCTCGTGTGAATGTGGCGAGCGGCCGGCGCGGCGGCTGCTGTTTTAGGGCGCCGCGTGCGACGCGACGACGGCGGCGGCGGAGTGGGTTTTTCTAGGGGACGCGTGATGATGTGATCATCTCGTCCGAATATTCGGGGGGTACTACGCATGATCAGTTGCGAGTCAACCGATCGGATGGGTTTGAGTTCACATGCGCGGGGACAGATTGATAAGTTTTGGGGCCGGGAGTTGACTCGACGCGCGGTATTGTTTGACCGGTCACTATTTTTATTCGCATTACTTGTGATGAAGGATTTTTACACTTTCATTTGATTAGTTTGAATTTCGTCGGATCTGATCCTCTAAAATTTGAAGTAAATCGCTCGGGTGTGTTTAGTTCACGCCAAAATTTGAAGTTTAATTGAAATTAGAATGATGTGACGGAAAAGTTGAAAGTTTATGTGTGTATAAAATTTTTGATGTGATGGAAAAGTTAGAAGTTTGAAAAGAAAACGTTGGGAACTAAACCAGGCTTGGCTTGTGTGGTGTCGCTAAGGCTGCGTTTCAGATGAGTGGTTACAGTAGTGCATGTTTTTAAAACTGTTAAACGATACACCTTTCGTTCGAAAATAAGTGTAACGCTGTAGTTCAAATTTGAATCATACGGCTGCACTTATTTTGAGATGGAGGAATATGTCTTTTAAATTTAAAAAAATATAGGAAACTTGTTTAAATAGTTCATAGTAATTATTTTTCAAGTTTAAAATATCATGTGCTAATTGTTTATCTCGTTTTGAATATCTTCTCATTTCTTTTTCCTCAAACACTGCTAGGCTCGGTTTGATACAACGGAATGGATGGCTTTTCCTTGGTACGTACGAACAGTTATTACCCAACGATTAATTGAATATTAATTATTATAAATTAAACATAATTTAATAAAAAATTACGTACAAAAGTTTTTTTTAAAAAAATATAACTTAATGGTTTGGATAATGCACTTACGAAATACGGGGTAGTAGCCAACTGAGAAGCTAATGCAAACTCTCTCCATTTAACATTATAAGTTATTTTAACTTTTTCTAATCAATTTTTTTAAAGTTTGATCAAATTTATACAAAGTTATAGCAACAAAGACAAAAATATTATCACAATATATTAAATGTTAAATTTAATAAAACTAATTTAAATTTGATGTTATAAATGTAGCTAAATGTTTCTAGTGATACTATCAAACTCAAAAAAAGTTTGAGTAGAAAAGGTTAAAGCTACTTGTAAGATGTAATGGAGCGAGTATACCTAATTAGGTACGCGCAATGTTGCTACTGCGTAGTGTGGTCGAGTACTTCACTCGTTTCAAAACAAACGTTTGACCGTTCATTTTATTTAAAAAAATTTTATGATTATTTTTTTATTATTAGATGGTAAAACATAAATAGTATTTTATGTGTGACTATTTTTTTTAATTTTTTTAAATAAAATAAACGGTTAAACGTTGAACACAGATACTTACGACATCACTTATTTTGAGACGGATACTTATGACATCACTTATTTTGAGACGGAGGTAGTAGCTTTGCCGTGCGTTGCAGAGAACGCAGAGAGCGGCAGGAACGGAGGGCGCACAGCAAAAGCTGGATTAAAGGACGCGCACGCTCACGTACGTACCTGCGCGCCGAGGAGCGACGGCGACGCCCGCACGGCGGCGGACGCGTCGAGCGCGACGCGCGCGCGGTGGATGGCCACCCGCGACAGCGGCTGCACGCCGCCGCCGTGCCCCACGGCGGCGATGGCCGCGACGACGACGAGCAGCCACGCCAGCCAGGCTGCGCCGCCGCCGCCGCCTCCTCCTCCCATATATACCACAGTCGCTGCTAGTGCTAGGTGCCCACCAAGTTCTTTTGCTTAATTTGCTCGCTCTGGAGCAAGGGCATTTTATAGTCATCCCCCGCACGCGATTTTTCTCCCTTACAACTTACACGAATCATAGGGTCTGTTTGGTAAAGCTCCAACTCTTAAATTTAGCTGCAAGAGTTAAGTCTGGAGTGGAGTTGTGAAGCTATTTAAACCTAAATCCACCTCTCGTTCATTTTGTGAGAGAGCTCCACCCAGCTCCACACTAATTTTAGATGGAGCTGAAACTGTTTGGCTGAGCTCCAGCTTGAGGAGAGGTGGAACTGAAGTTGGAGCTGTGCCAAACAGGCTTTCAGCGCGTATCCATAATCTCAGCATGCATTCGACGGCCAAAATAAATCGATAGGTTCAATTTCCTCCTAAATTTTGCGTGTGTATATGATTTTGCGTTAGTCTTGGGGAAAGAAAAGAGAGTTATGAAGTTTAGAGTTTTAGATTAATTAGCCGGTTCATATATGATATATCCGCTGATCCCATGTCACGTACTCGTAAGAATTTAGATTATTTGCGTATTGGTCGGTGTCGCGGACTAATTGCGAGTTATGCTTCGGATATGCCATGATTCGTGTCACTGCCTATGTTATCTGTATAGTTTGGTGTAATAATTTATAGGGAAGGAAGGAATTTCATCCAAGGCAGTTTCTCCGAGGGTATTGACTTGCAACAGACTAGCTATATACTACCTCCATCCTAAAATATTTGACGCCGTTGACTTTTTAAAAAATGTTTGACCGTTCGTCTTATTCAAAAAATTTAAGTAATTGTTAATTCATTTTCTATCATTTGATTTATTGTTAAATATACTTTTATGTATACATATAGTTTTACACATATCACAAAAGTTTTTGAATAAAACGAACGGTCAAACATGTTTAAAAAAGTCAACGGTGACAAACATTTAGGGAAGGAGGGAGTATATTCGTCCCTGAACATCAAAGGCTCTAATCACTTCTACAACACGTTATGTGAAGACATACCCTTAACCAAGTGTGTCCCTTTAGCTTAATTTGCAGCTAATTCAATCTCATGCATGGTCATTCACCATCTCTTGAATTGTCAACGTAACATTGATCCGCCTCGGCTAGTATTCATGTGCCTACTCCCCCGTTTTATATTATAACTCGTTTCGATTTTTTTTTCTAATCAAACTTCTTTAAGTTTGATCATGTTTAAAGAAAAATATAGCAACATTTTATAAAACTAAACAGACATATTATCAAAATATATTTAATGTTGCATCTAATGAACCTAATTTATTGTTGTACATGTTGCTAATATTTTTTTTATAAATTTGGTCGAACCTAAATAAGTTTGACTAAAACAGTTAAAATGTTTTATAATATGAAATGGAGGTAGTATCACTTTTTCTAATTTTATAGCCGTGTATAACCTTGTAGTAATTAGTTGTGATTTCTTTGAAGTGAAGATCAGAAATGAATTTCATTAACAAAAAAGAATAGACTCAGTTTGTCAAGCTGCCACCGACATGGGCCTGGTTGTGAAGGCCGGACTCTATCGTCCGAGCCCATCACAGCCCAGAAAGCCCATATCAGCACAGGACCGGCCCATGTCGGACTCCCTTTGCCCTTAGGTCTTCGGACTCCACCTCTGCTGCGGCGGTGGCAGCGAGGCGAATCCGGCGACGGCGCGAATTCCGGCGAGGTATTCGCCGCGTTGCCATGGGGAAGATGCTGGATCCGAAGCGTCTCATGTCTGCGCGACAGGAGCGGCATCGCCGTCGGCGGCGACGGCAACTCCGACCCCGCAGTAGCCCTCCCTCTCCTACCTTCTTCTTCTTCAGCAATTGTGTTTGATAGCCACGATTGCTTTTTTGGGGAAAAAAAGAGCATCTCGCTTGCAAGCAATTCAAGAAGGGGCAATGGGACATTATGATCTGTGGAATTTAGGAACAAAATAGTGTAGAATTGTTTTTTTCTTTTGGGAGGTAAAAGGTAGCAATGCTCGGTTGAATTTGATTTGTAGGAAGTAATGAAACAAATTGGAGTGAATACCCGCTCTTTTCACAAAAAGCTGGACAACTGAACCAAATTGAATTGTTCGTGTTCATTCATGTGCTTTGATCTGATGTTTTCCCCTGTTGATTGATGTCTGCATATAACCACGCAAATGATGTGTTTGTTCAATTGCTTCACTGGCTAAAAGGAAGGGCTCATTCTGTCACCACGTTGCAGATTCTGAAGGCGCCAAAAGAACAAGATATTCAGTGCCTAGCCTTCCAGAGGTATGGTACCTAATGCTGATAAGAAATACTTATATTAGAAGCAAAGTGGGTCACTATGATTCTATGACTGCTCTAAGTAGTCTCTAACTACACACTGGTGGTCATATGGTGGCTAGATCAAAAGGATTGAGATCCTCTACCTTCAAACTCAAAGGTACCATGTCTTTGTCACTGACAGATGGGTCCATGGTTCATTGGGCCTACATGTTAGTGACAAAGGCACGTGCCTTTGAAGTTAGAGGAGCCTGATCCAGATTTATGAACAGATATTTATAGCTGCAATCTTCTACAATTCTGCATGAGGGCACCTTTTCTCTGTTCTAGCTGTTGCACCTTTATCACTCAAGCAGAAAATTGTTTGTGATGGCGTCACCTTAATAATCTTGTTAAGGCAGTTCACTTTCTAAAGGTTCTTCCTCACTTATCAGCGGGTTCCTGTACTTCTTTTATGTGATTACTCTGGTCTCGACCAGTTTCCTGATGATCAATGTTTATGTTTACCAGAACCCCCAATGTGCGATTTGTCCTTAAGATACATGTTTATTTTTTTCTTCATTACCTTTGACTAATTTATAGGATGATATTGTAGGGAGAAAAGCATCATTTCATACATAACATTGTTGACTACCGCTGCATACTTCAAGCAAGAATAGGTTTCATACTATGTGATCATAATTAGTCACTGGCTACAATCTGCTTTATCTTTTTCCCGATAGCCACTAAGAAAACTTTGAAAGGGAAAAGGAGAAAAATGAAAATGTGCCGTTCAGTTTGCGTACCACAAATCCCAAAGAGCTATTCCTTATAAGCTACTAATAGTACTGCTTTCCCTTCCAATTGAACCTTCACAATTCTTTTAAAAAAACTTTTATCCTTGCTAGTGCTTGTAGGAAATCTGGTGCCATATACACTCCCTAATGTCATTCAAAGATGCTGCTCGTGCAGCATGCGTGTCTCGTGCTTTTCGTCATTCCTGGCGATGCCATCCCAATCTTATATGTTGTATTGGAATACTGGGCTCGGATTTCATCAACAAATTTGACCGCATTATGAAAAATCACTCAGGAATTGGCATCAAGTCGGTAAAGTTTCAATATAATAGTTTTTACAATACTAGAAGGAGCACTAGCATCAGCCATCATTTCGATAGTTGGCATCAGATTGCTATTACACCGTGGATCGAAGAACTCACCATTAGCCTATCTCTATCTTCATTCAATATGGAGTACAGCTTCCCATGCTCACTTCTAGCTGATGGGAGAGCAAGCTCAATGCGGCATCTTTATCTTGGCAATTGTGGATTCCATCCCACAATCAACCTTGACTTGAGAAACCTGACAAGGTTGCATCTGATTAATGTACATATTACAGGAGATGAGTTAGGGTGCCTTCTCTCAAATTCTCATTGTTTGGAGCAGTTAGAACTTATGTATTGCAATGGAATAATTTGTCTGAAGATACCTTCCCTGTTGCAGTGCCTCAGCCACCTAGAAGTGTTTGATTGCAGAATTCAAGTAGTTGAGAATAAGGCTCCAAATCTTTGCAGTTTTGACTTTGGAGGTAGGCAGGTACAACTCTTACTTGGCGAATCGTTGCGAATGAAGAGACTATCCTTGCACTACCCCGATGCTATGTATTATGCTCATGCAAAGCTTCCATCCAATGCGCCAAATCTTGAAACTCTCACCCTCTGATGCTCGACTGACAAGGTACTCAAAAAACATAAATGATCATAGACTTGTGATGTCCATATAACAATATTCATGCCTTCAGCCTGATGATCTTTATGCTTTTTATGCAGATGGTTGATACACCAATATTGCCTAGCAAATTCCTCCATCTCAAGTGCTTGACCATTGATCATACCATTATCTCATCTTCCCCAGCTTATAATTATCTTTACCTGGTTTATTTTCTCGACGCTTGCCCTTCCTTGGAGACTTTCCTTTTGGGTGTAAGTCAATTTTAATCCTGCAAACTTATGATTAAGTGACTAGCCCATCAAATGAAAAAGTTTATTATTGGTTTTCATGTCCAGATATCGCAGAACCACATGGAGCATGACTCGATTATTGGAGATTCCTCACATATGAGGCAAATGCCAGGACACCGTCATGACAACCTCCGGAGTGTGGAGATCACCGGTTTCTACTCTGCAAAGAGCTTGATCGAGCTAACATGTTATATTCTTGACAATACAGTTGCACTCAAGTACCTTACACTGGATACAACTCGTGGTTTTTTCAGCTGTTCTACAGGTGAACACGACAGATGCTTTCCTATGGACAAAATCATGATAACGGAAGCCAAAAGGGCAGTCCTGGCTATCCAAACATACATCGAGCGAAAAGTTCCTTCCACGGTCAAGCTAAATGTTGTGAAGCCTTGCAGCCGTTGCCATGCTGTTGAATCATATTTGTAATTATTATTTTTCTTCAACTTAATTTTCTTGGTAATTCGGTGATTTTAAAGTGTCCGGTGCTTTCTCTCTTGAACTACTAATTAGAACTGTCCAATAGATAATTATATAGTTTTGCTTTTATCATCAAATCTTGAACAGGATAATACAATTACTATAACTTTTGCTTGTGAAATTTTAACCATGGTGCATCAGATGTATTGCAAGTTCCCTTATATTAACAGAAAGAAGGGAAAATATTTGTTCTAAAGTGTCAGGTTAACAAAAAAAAAGGTGTAACCAAAACTGACGCGCGGAGAATATTTGCAAGTTTCCGTTTTATCATTAGAAAATATGAACGACCAAGATTCAAATAAAATGAAAATAATGTTTTTTTTTGGAATACATAAGAAGCACATTTTGTATCAAGGAGAAGTAAAAGTTATTTACAGGGATAATACAAAAGGGGGGAAGGGGACATGATAAAGGAAGGAAAACCAAAGAAACTACTCCCCTGTACCTTAATACAAGGAATTTTGATATTTTATTTGTACTGTTTGATCACGTGTTTTATTTTGAAAAAATTGTGTAAATATAAAAAACAAAAAGTTATGCTTAAAATACTTTGGATAATAAAGCAAGTCAAAAAAAAATAATTCCAAAGTTTTTTGAATAGGACAAAGGTAAAACAATATAATAAATGTCAAAATTTCTTATATTAAGGGACGGAGAGAGTAAAGAGTAAGATCTAATCTCGCAATGACTGGTGCGACCAAACATTCCCATCCGACAAACGAAGTGTCAGAATCGCCATCTTTGCTAGGAAAATGAGAAGAAACTTAACAGGACTGGATAAGATGCAGCGGCCGTACGTGTTTCTCCGTAAGTCAAAAAAAAAAGCTGATTTTTTTTGTTTTTTTATTAAAACGACATTTGTCCAGATTTTATCAGTTCATTAATGATCTGGGCAAAATTCAAAGATACTAGTATCATCTATGGAAGGTTTTTATTCGGTATTAGGACTATGAACCTGAATAGATCAGAGTATCAGACCGTAGTACTACAAATCCCTCCGTTCCATATTACGATGAGTTAAATATCTCCTTTCTCTCGCACCTAGCAGCGCAACTCCGCGAGGCTCCAGATCAGGGCGACGACGACGTACGGCCTCCGGCGAGTTCTCATCTCCTCCTCCTCCTCTCCCCTTGAACAAGCGAAATATATAGGCGGAGAGAGAGGGAGAAGAGCGGCGAAATCGTCGATTTCTCTGCTTGATATCGGATCCCTCCGCCGCGTCAGCGTCATGGGGAAGCGGCGGCACATCCGAGGCCGTGGTAAGCTTCCCTCCATCGTGCCTCCTGCCTCTCTAATCTAATCTCCATATATACCGTCTTTGCCATCTGTAACCTGTTCATATTACTGTCGGCCGTCGCAACAACATTTACTCGGCAATGTTTGTGTGATATTCGCAGTTTTCTTTTTGTTAGACCGACACTACTACAGACAAGATTTCCCCGTGCGGTTGTACGGCCCGTCTGCAGCCGGGTGTCTGTGAAAATCAGCATTTTTGTGTGCGGGCAGAACGACCGATATATCCGTTCGGTTGTGTTATTCCACCCGGAACAAAAAAAAAACCAAAAAAAAAAAAGCAAAAATCGCCGTCGGCCGCCGCATCGCTGCCTTGACGATGCACGTGACGACCATGAGGAGGACGACAAGCGACGACGAAGCCTTGCCTCGCTGCTCGCCGCCGCCTCGCCCACGCCGCTGCCGCGCCCGACCGCCGCCACCCGTTGGTGAAGAGGCGGCGCTGGCGGTTGCGGACGGTGACGGCGCGGCCCTCGGCGAGGACGTGGGGGAGGTAGGCGTTCTCGACGAGGTGGTGGAAGGTGTGGCGGTGGTGGAAGGTGAGGCGGTGGCGCCGCAGAAGTCGTCGGCGACAGCCCCGTGGTCGTCGACGGTGAGGGCCATGCGGTCAGCGCCCTCGGCGACGTCTTGACGGCCGCCTCACTGCTCGCCGTCGCGCCCGGCCGCCGCCTCGCCCAGGCAGCCGCCGTGCCCGACTGCCGCCTCGCCCAGGCAGCCGCCGTGCCCGACTGCCGCATCGCCCAGCCGCCGCCTCGGCCCGGCGGCCGCCTCGCCCAGCCGCCACCACGCCCGACCGCCGCCTCACGCCCAACCACCGGCCTCGGCCCGGTGGCCGCCTCGCCCGGCCACCACCTCGGCCTGGCCCCCGCCTCACCTAGGCCGCCGCCGCGCCCGAGCGCCGCCACCTCGCCCCAGCCAGTTGAGGGAGTGGTTGAGGGAGAAGAGATAAGGTATAGAGAGAGGGTTGAGGGAGGCTGAGAGAGAGGACGGGATAAAAGAAGAGATAAGGTAGAGAGAAAGGGGAGTGATTGAGAGGGAATAAAGGGGAAAAAGGAAGAGAGAGATAGGAAAAATTTGAAGTGGGTGTGAGGGAAAGGAGGGAGGAATATCCCGTGTGGTTGGATTAGGACGTCCGCACCGGAAAATCAATTTTCCCGTGCGGGCGACACCCTAGCGCCGGTTCCCTATTTTTCCGTGTGGTTCCACTTATGGACCGCATGGAAACAAAAAGGGGGGCATCCAGTAAAATCAATCGTGCAGTAGTGCGATGAGCAATGTTTATTTTGACTGTCATCATCCATGCACTAAAAAAAATATGAGATCGACTTTAGGTGTGAAAAGATAGATATTTGCTCCGGTCTAGCAAAAAGTATATCGAGTTACCGGTACCTCATGATATCAAATCATTTTTGATCGTTAGATCTAGTTAGGTAGGATTGGCATTGTTAGATCCAAGAGATTTGCTCCGTTCCAACGATTAAAAACGATTTGATGTCTCACGGTACCGGTAGCTCGATGTACTTTTTATTGGATCGGAGCAAATCTCCCAAAGATAACATGGGAGCCTCCGTGCCTAGTTTTACTGTAGTATGGGTTGTATGGGGGTAAATATGGGGTTAAGTTGGGAGGAACTAGGAAGGAGTGCAATGTCTCCATGGGGGAACCGATGAAGCTAAGCACCCATAAAACTATATTGCATTTGTTGCTTCCAATGACCAATATAAGCAAGAACTTGACACAGTTCACTACTTTTTTCTATTGAAGCAAGAGATTACTAGTACCCTGCTTTGGTTGAAAGCATATAAGGAGGTTTTGGGTATAGGACAGCTGTTAAGGACACCACCTTACTATTTTATTTCCCTGTTCATGTCTGTACATAACCATGCCTGATGTATCTGCAGACGGTTCGATTGATTCAGCGGCTAAAAGAAAGGGATCACTCTGTCAACAAGTTGCAAATTCTGAAGGCAACAAAAAAACAAGATATTCAGGGCTAGACCTTCCAGAGGTATGTCACCAAAAGCCGACAATGGAAGACTCTAAGTAGCCTCTAAGATATTAGAAGTGAGGATTCACTATGAGTCTATGACTGCTAGTAGCCTCTAACTGTGCACACCGGTGGTCCTATGTCAGTATGTCACCTAGATAAAATTTTGTGAATGGATCTTTAGTGCTCCTATGCCTTATAAGCTACTAGTATTGTTTTCTCTTCCAATAGAACCAGTTGTTTACCTTCACAATAGTTTGTTTTTTAATCTTTTATCCTTGCTTGTGCATGCAGGAAATCTGGTGCCATATACACTCCCTAATGGCATTCAAAGATGCCGCCCGTGCTACATGTGTGTCTCGTGCTTTTCATCGTTCCTGGCAATGCCATCCCAATCTTATATTTTGTATTGGAATACTGGGCTCGGATTTCATCAACAAATTTGATCGCATTGTGAAAAACCACTCAGGCATTGGCATCAAGTCGGTAAACTTTGAATATGATAGTTCTTACAATACTAGAAGGAGCACTAGCATCAGCCATCATTTTGATAGTTGGCTTCATATTGCTATTACACCATGGATCGAAAAACTCTCCCTTAGGCTATCTCATTATTCATAAAATGTGGAGTACAACTTACCATGCACAATTCTGTCTGATGGGAGAGCAAGCTCAATGCGACATCTTTATCTTGGCAGTTGTAGCTTCCATCCCACAATCAACCTTGACTTGAGAAGCCTGATGAAGTTGCATCTGTTTAATGTCCATATTACAGGAGATGAGTTAGGGTGCCTTCTCTTCAGTTGTTATGCTTTGGAGTGGTTGGAACTTGAGCATTGTGATGAAATAGTTTGCATGAAGGTACCTTGTCAGTTGCAACGCCTCAATCACCTGAAAGTGTTTGAATGCAGAATGCTGCAAGTAATAGAGAATAAGGCTCCAAATATTTGCAGTTTTGATTTTGGAGGTAAACACGTACAACTCTTGCTTGGTGAATCGTTGCAGATGAAGACACTATCTTTGCAATACTATTGCAACGCTGTCTATTATGCTCGTGTAGAGTCTATACCCAATGTGCCAAATCTTGAAACTCTCACCATTTGCTCGTATCACGAGGTACACTCAAAAACTCGAAAATACACTTGCGGTATTCATATAACAATACTTACACATTAGAAGAATGTCTCCAGTCTGATGATCATCATATTTATGCAGATGGTTAACACACCAATGTTGCCTAGCAAATTCCTCCATCTCAAGTGTTTGACTATCGATCTTGCTGAAGTTTCCCATGCATATGATTATTTCTCTCTAGTTTCTTTTCTTGATGCTTCTCCTTTCTTGGAGACTTTACTTCTGGGTGTAAGATAATTTTCATTCTGCAAAGTTATCTAGTGTCTATGGTAGTAACCATCAATTAAAGTATATTTGGCTTTTCATCTCCAGATACCAAAGGACAGCATGGAGGATGACTCAATTTTTGGAGATTCCTCAAATATGAGGCAGATGCAAGAATATCGTCATGACAACCTCCAGAGTGTGGTGATCACTTGTTTCTGCTCCGCGAAGAGCTTGATCGAGCTAACATGTTGTATTCTTGACTGTACAACGTCACTTGAGTACCTTACACTGGATACTACTCGTGGTGTTTATAGCTGTTCTACAGGTAAACACAGCCAATGCTTTCCTATGGACAAGGCCATGATCCCTAAAGCCAACAGGGCTATGTTGGCTATCGAAACATAAATTGAACGAAAAGTTCCTTCCACAGTTAAGTTAAATGTTGTGAAACCTTGCCCCCGTTGCCATATAATTGAATCTTAGTTGTAATTCTTTTTTCAACATGATTATCTTGTGTGTTTGTTCTCTCATGCTTTAATTTCTGTCTCAAATTACTAAGTATATTTTGTACAGTTCAATGTTTAATTTTGTATTTTACATTGGTCACGTTCTCTTCATTAACCCCAAAGACCATGATAGATTACGGAGTCTCTCTCCCCTTCTGGGAATTATTTCGCCGGGTCGGCAAACAGCCGACCGGCTGTGTTCGGCACAATGACATTGTGAGTTTGTTTGTTTCGTTTTCTGCGCGCACGCTTCCCGAACTACTAAATAGTGTGTTTTTTGAAAAAAAAATCTATAGGAAAGTTGCTTTAGAAAATCATATTGATTTATTTTAAAATTTAAAATAGTTAATAATAAATTAATCATACACTAATGACTCATCTCGTTTTGCGTATCTTTCCAATCTTATCAATCCCCTTCTCATCAAACTCAGCCAAGAGAGGAAAGAGAATTTACAGGTCACCAGGCATGCCACGGAACATGGCGTGTAGTTATAGCCGTAGGCTGTTCTAGAAATTTCTGAGGGTGGCAGGAGTACCGAATTCCATGCAAATTACCGGGCGATTAGCGGCGCCACGTGGCGCAGGCGGATTGAGTCGCGCGCAGCCATCGGGTCTCATCTCGTGCGGTGGACCTCGTTGCAATATACTCCCTCCGTCCTATAATATAAGTGATTCTGAGTTTTTTTTCACTATTTGACCACTCGTCTAATTCAAAAAAAAATTGGAATTATTATTCATTTTTTTGACATACTTTATTATTCAAATTACTTTAAGCACAACTTTTTATTTTTTATATTTACATAAATTTTTTGAATAAGACGAGTGGTCAAACAATGCAAATAAAAACTCAAAATCTCTTGTATTATGGGACGGAAGGAGTACGTAGTTTGCGGAGGGTTTTTTTGCAAAAGCGTTAATCTGAACTCGGCCATCTTCGGCAGCTCCGCCAGTCGGACTCCTCTCGCTTCGCCGCCAGCGCTGCTCCTCCCGTCGTTCGGCCGTTGTCCGCCGCCCAAACGTAGCGCGCTCCGCCGTGAGCTGCATCCTGCAAGGCTACAACCAACCACCGCTCTCCGATAGATGTCGCCTCCGCCGCATCCTCCTTCCGCACCACCCATGCGCTCCCCCTTCCATCGCCTCCTCCTCCGAGACCACCGGTTCCTCCTCCGATTCGTCGACCTCGCCAAGCAGCTGTCCTTCCGGCCTACGTCGCCTACCCTGACACAGCCGCACTACGGTCGCCGAACCCCTGCAACTACAAGTCGGGGAACGGCGCGAGCGCGGACCGCGCCTTCCACCTGCTCGACGAAATGGGCATCCTCCGGCGCCGCACGCCTGCTTCACCACGGCCACCGCGGCGCTCTCTTACGCTTCCCACCCGGGCGCACTGCTCGCCGTGCTGGACGCTACGGCTGCGGATGGCATTTCGCCCGACTCGGCGTGCACGATGCTCGTCGGGTTGTACGCCTCCAGTGATTGTTTTGACTCTGCCAATGAGGTTGTGTGTTGGATGGTGGCGAATGGTATAGCCCCGGACAGCCAGACATGGTCACCTACTTGATGATGATATCTGGGCTGCGCAGTGCTGGGCAGGTGACTGAAGCTCTTGGCGAGTAGTTGATGCTCGGAGCCTTGGCTGGGAGTAGTGGCCGGTAGTACCAAGTGATTGAAATTCTGCAATATGGGGTCTCCACGAATAATAACAAGAGTTGTGTTGTTATCTGGTACAGTCGCATTGAGGACAGAGAATATCATAGCAGTGTTTAAGATGATAGTGAAACTATGGAAGTAAAGTTTGCTGTTGCCTGTTGAACTCACTTGATCATGTGCTCTTCCTTTTTGTCCTTAATTAGCAGCTTGATGTATTTCCTTAATACGTTCATGTATACTATCCCATTTTCATGTTAACACAAACTTGTACTCATTCTGTTGGTTCTAAACACATGTTTATTTTTTAATTAAAAAAAGGCCATATCTCTTATACCGAATTCCATGCAAGTTACTAGGTGATTAGTGGCGATAGGGAGGTGATGCCAAGATGTCCATTTATTTCAGATAGGAGTGCTAGATGATTTTCCAAGTAGCATCTACCACATTTTACTGCCCCTTTATTAAGCCTCTAGCTATAAGCCTATAACACATTGCACACACCAGCTTACTACTCCTCTGTAACGCTCCGCTTTTCGTGAGACGTTAAAAACTAATTCGGCAAAATCCTAATTGCGAAAATTTTTGTTCCTTGTGTGCGAGTCTAAGTTGTGCCGTGGATCTCAATTCAAATCTGTCCTTGATCCCTCTCGTCGCCATCAAATCCTTCTCCTCGAAATCCCTATTCCGATTCAAGTATTCGAGATTCAAATCCTCTCTTGAAAACCTTGCCAAATATCCGCACGACTCCAAAAATATCCAAATTCCCATTTTGCATTCAAATTCAAACTCCATATCAAATTTCTCTCCAAATCAGATTTCCCAGCAAAAGTCTATTTTGCCTCCTCTTGTTTTGGATGGGCCGGATTTCCTCCCATCAGCCCACTTCTCTCCCTCAGCCCTCCTCCCTCCCTCAGCTGCCTTCCCCCTTCTCACGTGCGCCGCACGCGAGCCGCTCGGGAGAGAAAGCTCTCTCCTTCCTCTCGGTTCTCTCTCTCTCTCGCTCTCTCTGTTCCTCTCTCCCCGTCACCGATTCCCGCCGCCGCCATTTGAACCCGCCACCGCCTTCGGTTCCCGCGCACGCGCCGGTCGTGGCCGACCGCCCGGTCGCCGCCACCGTCAGCGCCTGCGCCGCGCTGCCGCTCGGCCCCGCTGCCTGCCGCGAGCTCTGCAGCGCATGCCCGAGCCGCTCCACGCGTGTCCTGCCAAAACCGTGAGGCCGAGCTCCCGCTCCCATCCCTCTCCCTCCCCAACTCGGCAAAGAGCAGAGCCCCCTTTTTTTCCCCTCCTTTTCCACTTTTGCCCGACACCGCCAGCGTCATCACCTGCCGCCGCCTTGGCTGCACGCGTCGACGACCGCCAGCTCGTCGCCCCTGCATCCCTTGACCGCCAATGTCGGTTTCCCTCCTCCAAACCGACCTCTCCCCCTCCGCTATAAAAACCCGAGCCCCCTCAGCGTCTCGACCTCCCACTCGTTTCCTCCCACAGCGCCATTGCCGCCGAACCACCATCCCCGCCATCTTGCCGCCGTCCTCGCCTCCCTCCACCGTCGCGCGTGCTGGTGAAGCCGGCGTGCGCACGAGGAGCTGACGCGGACTCCGGCCACCCTTCTCCTTCCCCTTCCCCGGCCCGAGGCCGGAGAGCTCGCCCCGCGCCGTCGGCCGCCCATCACTGCGCCCGGCTCGGTAGTGCCTCCTCCGTTCTCCCTCCCGCTCTCTCTCGTGCCCTTATCTTTTGAGCTAGCACCCGTAGCTCTATCGAACGCGCGTGGACGCCGCCCCGAGCCCCGCTGCCGCCCGGCATGGCCTCGCCGCCATTGTCGTCCGCTCCCGGAGGCCGCCGCTCGTCGCCGGCCCTCCTCGGTGCACCTCCGTCCCATCCGGCGCCGGAAACACATTCCTTGAATGCCGGAGGTGCTTCCCCCACCGTGAATCGATCCCTCTCCCCCCCGGCGAGTTTCCCTCTTCCTCTCACCAGCGGTGACCTCTGCCACGATTCGTCGTCGTCGGCCCTTCCTCTTCTAATCTGTCCCGTTGGCTCGCTCCTCCTCGCTCCGCTCATCGCTCCTGTGGTCCCCCTTCCTCTCGCCGCGCCTCGCCGCCGTTCTGCCGATGCGTGCCGCCGTCCGCCGTCCATCTCGGCCTCCCCTTCTTCCTCCTCCCGCCGGCCCACGTGGCTGCCACGAAGGCGCCACGTCGGCGCCAGCTCGGCCGGACCAGGTCAAGCTGACCCCGGTCAGCCGCTCCCTCCGTCTCCCGCTCGCGCGCGCGGTCCACCGCGAGCCGTGAGGCTGCGCGTGGGCCCGACGCGTCTCGGTCCATCCGGCGCACCGCCCGTGCGCCATCCCCACCGAACCCTAGCGCCGCCCTCGCGGGCGCCCATCCCACCGTGGGCCGTGTCACCGACAAGCGGGCCCCACCTGGAACCCGCGAGGTGCACTCGGTCCACCGGACCGCTCCCTCTCTCTTCCGCGCGCCCTAATGGGCCACCTTCCCCGCGCCCGCGCCGGCCCAAATGGCTCGGCCGAGCCTCCTTCAACCCTCGGGCCGCGCCCTTGCCGCCCGAAAAAGTCTAATATACATCCCTCGTCCAGCTTCGTGAAGACCTTGAGCAAGGCAAGTCACCCTTTGACCAATTGCTCCTATAATTGGAAAATCATTATTATTTTGTTGCAACTTGCATTAGTAGAATCACACACTTAACTTGCTTGGCCTCGGTTTGCGTGCTAAACCGACGGACCTACCTAGTAGTCGCACAAATTCCTATAGGCTGTACTACCCTGATTCCTTGTCGCTCCACTCTTGTGGTACCTCGGTATTCGTGCTCTCTGAGTGCGTATACCAAATATCCCACATACACCGTTGATTGTCGAAAACTTGGGAAATGGGTTTGAGAAGCCTTGAAAACCCGACATGTGGTGTCGGCGTGTTTGAAAATAAAATAAATTGTGAAAACTCGCGATGCGGGGGTTGTGCCTGTGTGGCACTGTCCCGTATTCGCATATAAGGACCGATTCCTGTGGGAAATTCATCCGAGCATATAACAAGTGCGACCACACGGGTGCAATGGGACGCCCCTGGCTGAGTAAATAGCAAACCAGGGAAGCCTTGATGCCAAGAGACATGTGGATTCAACAGGGTGGTGTCGGGTAGAACCCTTGGGCTTCCTGGCACAGTATGGTCTGGGACCTAACCTGTTGTCGGTCTGGGACCCCTCTCGTTGGCATATGGCAATCCTGTGTTGGCTTTCGAAATGCCTTGTCATGAAAGCCTTAAGGTCTCCCGACGTGGCTGATCTCACGAGCTGGGTGATCCGGTGTCACGCCCCGAACTAGTCCCGAGCGGAACTAGCCCGTGACGCTTCAAATTAACCTGTTAATCGATAC